TCATCTATGTTAATGATTGTGCCATTACCACTCAAGCAGAGAGCTTTGAGATGGTAGAACAGAAGCTCTCCGAAGCTCTAGGTGCTCTTACTGCCTATTACAGGGAAAACCAACTGATCCCTAATCCATCTAAAACACAGGTATGTGCCTCTCACCTTAAGAACAGACAAGCATCCCGAACTCTGAGGATGACCTGGGAAGGGATCCCACTGGAGCATTGCAGCACACCCAAATACCTGGGAGTCACTCTGGACCATGCTCTGACCTACAAGAAGCACTGCCTGAACATCAAGCAAAAAGTGGGCACTAGAAACAATATCATACGAAAGCTGACTGGCACAACCTGGGGATCACAACCAGACACAGTGAAGACATCTGCCCTTGCGCTGTGCTACTCTGCTGCTGAGTATGCATGCCCAGTGTGGAACACATCTCACCACACTAAAACAGTGAATGTGGCTCTTAATGAGACATGCCGCATTATCACAGGGTGTCTGCGCCCTACACCACTGGAGAAATTACACTGCTTAGCCGGCATTGCACCACCTGACATCCGCCAGGGAAGTAGCAGCCAATAGTGAAAGGACCAAGGCAGAGACATCTCCAGCTCATCCCTTGTTTGGGTATCAGCCAGCACGTCAACGACTTAAATCACGAAATAGTTTTCTTAGATCTACAGAGACGCTTGCTGGAACACCTCAGCAAGCGAGAGTCCAAAAGTGGCAGGCTCAAACCCAGCACCTCAATTTGTGGGTGATACCAGATGAGAGACTCCCCCCTGGGCACACAGAAGACTGGGCGACTTGGAAGGCGCTGAAAAGACTGCGCTCTGGCACCACGAGATGCAGAGCCAACCTTCAGAAATGGGGCTACAAAGTTGAATCCATGATATGCGAGTGCGGAGAAGAGCAAACCACTGACCACCTGCTTCAATGCAACCTGAGCCCTGCTACATGCACAATGGAGGACCTTCTTGCGGCAACACCAGAGGCCAGATACTGGTCAAAGGACATTTAATCAACTACCAAGTTTGCAAAATTTGTGGTTTTTTAATCTGTTTGTTTGTTTTGTTCTGTTAGAAATGTAATACAATGGTATGGTTGCTGATGACATGATAAATAAATACTGTATATGATTGTAAAGGCATGTAATGTTTGCCTGCGTATGTAAATGCTGTAATCTGTTCAGAGTCCCCTAGAGAAGAAGGGCAGAATATAAACAAAGTGTGTTGTTATTGTTGTTGCTGTTGTTATATCTCAACATATGTCTAATTCGTTAATTAGGAACCTTTAATAATCTGCACAGGGTCCAGGTTGGAGTAGCGGTGGTGCAAAGGAAGGGGCGTTGAGTCTCTGCATTCCTTCTGCATTTCATGACTTTGGTGTGTGACCAGAATGCTAACTCGCGTTGCTGCGTGAGGCTGCTCCTAATTCATAACATGCCAGTGGAAATGGAAGGCATTTGCCTTGCATCCTCCCTAACCTACCGTCATATTTAAAATTAGAAGGTGTAACAAGTGGTTGCTGTGGTTCTCCCCCTCCCGAATAAGGGGTGTGAAATACTCTCAATTCCATCCCACGCTCAAGCGCCAGAAGGTTGATTCACAATGCAGTCTTTCCACGCTGTTTCTTTCCAGTTGCCACAGCAACCATGTGAAAGCCCAGTCTGTAGTAACACATACCTTAGGTTTATGGTTTTTTTTTCTTTTGCTCTTACAGGCTTTTCAAAACAAACAAAATCCACTCCCAACAGAAAGGAGAGCATGCTCCTTTCCTCTCCTTTCCTCTCTGTGGTTGTCCCCAGGGGTGCTCGAGCCTGCATCTCAATGGCCGCCCTTGGAAATGTATGGGGGACGCTGGTCTCCACTCTTCTGCCATAGTGACTCAAGCACATATCGTGGGTGGGAGGAGAGAGTGCGCAGGATAGTACCAGCTTCCTGTTTTTTGCCACGTGATGCCCTGCAGTTAGCTTTTACAGAGTGAGCTTCTCTGGAGGCATAATAATAATAATAATAATAATAATAATAATAATAATAATAATAATAATAATAATAATAATAGAAAAGTCGACAACAGATCCCAAATGTAAACTCTGCAAGGAAGCAGATGAAACAATAGATCACATCCTCAGCTGCTGCAAGAAGATCGCACAGACAGACAACAAGCAGAGGCACAACACCGTTGCTCAGGTGATCCATTGGAACTTGTGCCACAAATACTATCTGCCTGCGACAAAGAACTGGTGGGATCACAAGCCGGAAAAAGTTACAGAGAATGAACACAATCATCACTGACAAAATTACCATCTGCCAGCTGCAAAAGGCCACCTTACTGGGATCTGCACGCATTATTCGTCGATACATCACACAGTCCTAGACACTTGGGAAGCGTCCGACGTATGATCCAATTCAACAGCCAGCAGAGTGTCTGCTGTGGACTCATCTTATTGTGTTTCAAATAATAATAATAATAATAATAATAATAATAATAAATGTAGACTCTGCAAGGAAGCAGATGAAACAATATCAGCTGCTGCAAGAAGATCATGCAGACAAAATACAAGCAGAGGCACAACACCATTGCTCAGATGATCCATTGGAACTTGTGCCACAAATCCCATCTACCTGCGACAAAGAACTGGTGGGATCACAAGCCTGAAGAGGTTACAGAAAATGAACATGTCAAACTACTCTGGGACTTCTGGATTCAGACAGAGTTTTGGAGCACAACACTCCTGAGCTCACAATCATGTTAAAAAACAGAATATGGATCGTCGATGTTGCAATCCCAGGTAATAGCAGGACTGAAGAGAAACAACTGGAAAAATGTACACGATATGAGGATTTAAAGATTGAACTTCAAAGACTGTGGCACAAACCAGTAAAGGTGGTCCCAGTGGTGATCGACACACTGGGTGCAGTGTCTAAAGACCTTGGCCTCCACTTAAACACAATCAGCACTGACAAGATTGCCACCTCTCAGCTGCAAAAGGCGATCCTACTGGGATCTGCATGCATTATTCACCGATACATCACACAGTCCTAGACACTTGGGAAGTGTCCGACGTATGATCCAGTACAACAGTCAGCAGAGTGTCTGGTATGGACTCATCTTGTTGTGTTTCAAATAATCATAATAATAACAATAACAACTTTATTTTTATACCCTTGCCTCCATCTCCCCGAAGAGACTTGGGGCGGCTTACATGTAGACATTACTTGATTCTTTATACCTTTCTTTTGTACCATGATCTTCATACGTGAGCAGAGCTAATATATAAGTGTGCCTGGCTTGAGCCTTCCTGAGAGATCTGCTGTCATTTGAAGGCCGCTTCTCACCTTAAGTAACCGCTGCTTGCTTTTGAACCTCAGGTCTCTTAGAAGAATGTATGTCTTCTAAACAGGAGGTATATCAGGTCCTACAGGATGTTCTTGTGGAGGTATCCCTTGGTCACCTTCCTTTGTGTGCCACTACCGAGGGGGGGAAGGAAGAAGCCTGAAGCTGTTAGGAATTGTGGGAGTTGAAGTCCAAAACATGTGGAGGGCCCAGGTTATCCCATGCCTGGACTAGATGCTTGTTTTGAGTCTCATGTGTCCTGCAAAGGAACATAGAGGCCAACAGCATGGCCCTGCTTCCTGGTCTGAGAAAGCTTGTTTTCTGCTGTTCTGGAGACTAGGATGCAGAGCAATGGCTTCAAACTACAAGAAATGAACACCTGAACATTAGGAAGAACTTTCTGACTGTGAGAGCTATTCAGCAGTGGAACTCTCCGCCCTGGAGTGTGGTGGAGGCTTTTCAACAGAGGATGGATGGCCATCTGTTGGGGTTGCTTTGAATGTGATTTTCCTGCTTCTTGGCAGAAGGGTGTTGGACTGGATGGCCCATGAGGTTTCTTCTGTTGTGGCTCACTTTGAGCCTGAGCTTTCTGAGCCTGAGTTTCCTCAAGATAAGGAGGATGATGGGTTATAGATTTCTGAACATTTCCCTGTTATTGAGGCAGACAGTGTTGATTCTGAAGAAGAGACAGCATTTCTGTTTTCCAGAGAAAGGAATGTTGTTTTAGATAAAGATAGTGTAACTTCACAGCTGCAGGTGGAAGAGCCGGCCCCATCTGGGAGTTCAGTGCCTCTCGGTTCCCAGGGTGACCAGTCCCAGGATAATGAGGTATCCGTCCTTGAAGATGGTGGAGATTTGATTAGAGAGGACCGTTTGCAATTAAGGGTTCGCTGAAGTGCACGGCTTGCCAACAAACGGGAAATTCGAGGTCAATGTAATGTTTTCATGCTGGGGAAACATATTTAATGATCCAATTGAAGTCTATCCTTTGTCAGTGCAATGTTGCTTACACCCTGTTAACTTCTCTGAAATTACCTCGGCTTTTGGGGAAAGCTTCTAGCTCTTTGGGACTTTGGTTTTGATCTTGATTTTTGGGGACTTTGTCATGCTGCCATGGATTCTTGTTTAACCAATGCTAAAGGATTATACTTCATGTTATTTTCCTTTGGATCTTGGAAACTTTGCCTTTGCATTTAAGACTCTGTTTTGGCTATTGAACTTTTTCAACTTTACTTCTATGTTTTTGATTTTGCTTTTTCTTCAATAAACTACAAAACCTACAGCCTTGGTGTGTGGTGGTGTCTTGAGCAAGGTGAATCTATCCTGAGTTGCAACATCTTCCAACTCTAGGATTCTAGGTCGCAGGTTGCTTGTTGTTCTGTGCATTCATAGAATGCCACAGTTGGAAGGGCCTTCCATTGCCCTTCCATAAAGGAACACACAATCTAAGCCCTCCTAATGGATTACCAACTAGCCTCTGCGTATAAACGTCCAGAGAAGGAGATTCCACTGGATTCCCAAGGCGTGTCTGTTCCCCTGTTGAACAGCTCTCCTTACCGTCAGGAAGGCTGTCCTCCTATGTAGGTGGAATCTCTTTTCCTGCTACTTGAGTCCATTGCTCCATCACCCATTGTTTTCTCCTCCCCTCTTTTTGTTTTCCTGCAGGATTGTGTCCTCCTGTGAAGTGCCCCTGATGCTGGACTCCGCTGCAGCCCCGCTGAGGCTTCCCGGGATGGCAGCAAGCTGATGGGCGGCTGAGGATGACCTTGACTGACAGGCTGCGGGAGAAGATATCCGGGGCCTTCCACAAGCACGGGCTGCTCTGCGCTTCCTACCCCATCCCCATCATCCTCTTCACGGGACTCTGTGTCTTGGCCTGCTGGTAAGCACTTTCCTCCCAAATATCAGTTAGTGCGTGGTGTGTCTTGAGACAAATGAAGATCTTTGTACATTTTGCTCTCAGTAGCAACAGATTTCTCAGCAACTGTGCTGTTTTCAAATAATATTTGCAGATCATGACCTATGATGTGCTATTTGTGCAGTCCCTTTCTGCACAGAAAACTGTATTTTCCACATGGGAAATTTTCCACCCAGGATTTCTCATTCATCCTTTTTGGCAGGGTTTTCTGATATTTGGGAAACCTCTTCTGTCTCAATCTGGAACTTAGTGTAGTTCTGGGCCTTTCCAAAGGTCTTTTTGGTTCTGGACACAGGCACACATCATCATCATCATTATTATTATTACTATTATGACAACTTTATTGGTGGGAAATATATATAGTATATACTGTATACTGTCTGTCTATCTATCTCTCTAGCTAGCTAGCTAGCTATAGTGTGTGTGTGTATCTATATAAATAAAAATGTAATGTTCATTTGTGGGATTAACCTAACTCAAAAATCACTGGCCGAATTGACACCAAATTTGGACACAGTACACCAATAATAATAATAATGATAACGATAATGATAATAATAATACAACTGTATTTATACCCCGCCACCATCTCCCCAAGGGGACTCGGGGCGGCTTACATAAGGCCATGCCCATCTATACAGAAAACACAATATAACACAAAAACACAACAGAAAATCAGAAAATGAAATAACATAAAATACAAAACCAATGTAAATAAGCAGCACAACAATATAAAATCAAAACATTAAAACACTAAAAAATGATCACTGAGGGCAGGGCCAATTCAAAGATTAAAATTTTAAAACACTGGGACATAGGACAGTGTAAAATACCAGGAAGGGGATCTGGGGGATGAGGTAGGATTTCATTGCACAAACCAGAGAATAAAGTGCTTCTGAGGACATTTTATGCAGAGTTTGGTGAGGGATTATCATACATTTAGTCATTGAAGGCACATTGGAACAACCAAGTTTTCAGGCTCCTCCTAAAACTTTCCAGGGTAGAGGCTTGTCTACTATCTCTGGGGAGCGAATTCCAGAGCCGAGGGGTCACCACAGAGAAGGCCCTCTCTCTGTCGTCCCCACAAGTAGCACTTGCGATGAGGGCGGGAGCGGGAGAAGGACCTCTCCGGAAGATCGAAGAGGGCGCGTGGGTTCATAGACGGAAATGCAGTCAAAGAAATAATGAAAAACACTGTGGAAGAGACTTAAAAAGCCAAAAAATCAAAAATACATTACAACGCATGCACAAAACTACATATATGTGCAAACACACATATATAAACAATTATATTCTCACATATATACACATATATATACACACAAAACAAATATAAACAGACTGGGCCCATAGCAAAGCATGGCAGGAGAAGGCTAGTGTGTGTGTGTGTGTGTGTGTGTGTGTGTACAGTATATAGTAGAGAGGCTACCAAGACCGCCAAAGGATACCAGGTGCTTTCAGCTCTGTTTCAGAGAAAGGAACTAGAAAACCACCACTAAGGAATCCTTGCTGAAGAAAATCCAGTGACATTCATGGGGGTGCCATAAGTCATCAGGCAACTTGAAGGCACATAGAAACTCACAAAGGCAATTCTCAGTAGTCTTGTACATTTGTATAGAATCGCCATCAGTTTATGTCTGTTTCATTTACATGGCCCTGTTGTCGTTTTCATTTCCCGCTTCCGAAAACGGGTGCCTTTCCAAATGGGTGTTTTCATTCCGCATCCGAAAGAATGAATATTTTCAGACCATTGGTAGCAATGGGAGTGCTTCCAAGGCTCCCCCTCCCCACCTCAGTTTTAGGGCTAGAGAGGTGAAAATGGCCACACATGGAGGGCATATCTACCAGGTACAGAGCCAGGTACAACAGCATAGAGATAGAGAGAGATTGAAGGTTTGATAGAGAGATAGTGGTTTCCCCCTCAGCTGCTTAAGTTTCAGAGGGAGGGAAAGGAAAGGACCTGAGGCTGCTAGGAATTGTGGGAGTTGAAGTCCAAAACACCTGGAGGGCCCAGGTTGGCCCGTGCCTGCTCTCAAGCATGTATTATTTATTTTCAAAGAGGAAGAAATATGTTCTTCTGTTTCAACATTTCCATGTCCTGTCTGTCTCCATTAGCCGTGTAACATTTGTAATGTTGTGTCAGGTGGTGGTGCACGTAGAAGTGTGAATAGCAGCAACATCAGCTCTGCAGCATTGGATGTGACTATACCACAGTCTTGATGGGTAACAGGCAGAACAGTGGCCTTTTTGTCAGTCTTGGCAGCAGGAGGAAGTGCCATGTTCCCTTTCACATGGAGAAGCATTGCAGGACAAGAGCCATGGAAGGGGAATAAAGGATTCCTTTACTTCACATGGAAAGCCTCCTTTCCCAGGCAGACTCCCTTCCCTGCCTTTGAGGTTCAAAGAGAGCGTTCCAGTGGAAGGAATCCAGAGGGAAAGAGGCGGGGAAGAGGGGCCCCAAGCTCAGGGCGTCTGGGTTTAAGAAAACTGAGGCTCCACTCACCAAAAGCTGTTTGCTTTAAGTATCCTGCACTGGTGTATTTCTGGAAAAGTTTTGCTTGTTTTGCAAGTTTATCCCAGGAGTGGCTGGATACCCAGAGAGGGAAACATCAGGCAGAAATGGAAACTTTGATAATTATTGGGTGAGTGGGCTTATTAACAAAAGACTCTCCTCATAAATGAACAGAATATTAGCAGCAGTACGACCCAACACCAGTAGCCAAAAGTGATGAAAAGACCAAAAACACACCGACCAATGTCATTTCTTCCATGGGAGGCTTTTCTTTGTAATAAAATAATATGCACTATTTATAAGATCAAGGTTTTCATAATACAAATAAAGTTCTTTACACTTCCTTCTTTGCTTCCACGCTGGGCTTCTTTCTTATGCAGATAAACAGCTTCACTCTCACAGAACCTCTTTTCACAATGAATTCACACAGTAGCTTTTTACACTCAGCAGCCTTCACACTGGAGCTTCACACATGAGGCCTTCAACCTGGGGCTTTTCTCACACTGGGGCCTTCTCATATTGAGGCCTACCTCACATTATTTATTTATTTAGCTTGTATATCGCTACTTCCAATTTGGCTCGGAGCCTTGGCTTGATGCCTTTCTCCCACTGAGGGTGCTCTAGACTGAGGCCTCACTCACACACTGGGGCAAACTAACACTGAGGCCTTCTCATACTGAGGCCTACCGCACACTAAGGTCTTTCTCCCACTGAGGGCTCTCTCAGACTGAGGCCTCTCTCACACATTGTGGTGAACTATCACTGAGGCCTTCTCATACTTAGGCCTACCTCACATGAGGCCTTTCTCCCACTGAGGGCTCTCTCAGACTGAGGCCTCTCACACACTGGGGTGAACTAACACTGAGGCCTTCTCATACTGAGGCCTTTCTCCCACTGAGGTTTTCTCATACTGGTGCCTACTAACATATTGAGGCCCTTCTCCCACAGAGATCTCTCACAGACTGAGGGCTACTAAGCTGCAGGCACACCTGCTTATATTGAACTTAAGCTTTTGCTAAGTCATTGCATCCATTTAAGTGCTTGACTCATATTTTTGTAATTAAAAATAACTAGTTACTTTTTAATATTTCTGACAGTAATAACTCAGTAGTGGGCAGTCCTTGAAGCTGAATGTCTTTCTTTGCAAGCTTAAATTGACTTCTTACTACCAAACGCTTCTACTTCTTTTTTAAGATGCCAGTCCTTGAGAGCCTCTCTAGAAAGACTGTCCTCTTTCCCTTCTGGGCAGGCTTCCCTCTGGCACCTGTTAGGCCGGTTTTAGGTTCAGGATTTCCACTTTTGATTCTTCGGGAACTCTTGTGGTTTCATGACTTGGGCTTGACTTTGTGTTTTTCCTCTGCCTTGCAGCTATCCATTGCTGAAACTCCCATTGCCGGGGACGGGCCCTGTGGAGTACACCACCCTTGCCAAGGACTACGCGCCGCCTCCCGCCTTCCCTGCGCACCAGCAAGGAGAGCCCAGCGAGAGGCCCGACTGGGTAGGGATTGGGGACTCTCTGGGCTGAGGTCCATTTGGGTGGCTCAAAAGGAAGTGGGCATCACCTGCATCTGCATTATCTGATATTAGCAATTTCAGAATGACCTTGTTGTTTCTTTTGCCTCTCCTTCTGCTTTGGCTCACAATGATACCTTTGGTGTCTGAGATAGTTTTGCTTCCATCCCAACATCTCTGCTTCAAAGCCCAGCATGCTTTTCCTGCACCTGTAGCTAGCTTTTAACCCATAACCACCCTTTCCTTGCTACTTCTATAGAATGAAGGCGGGGTTGCGGTAGTCTACAAAAATTCAATCCTTCTGACCAGAGGCCCCATCCTACAGTCGACTAATTTTGAATGTGTCCACCTGAGAGTGGGTGACCGGGACAGAATAGGGATTCTGTTAGTGTACCGCCCACCTCGCTGCACTACAGTCTCCCTACCTGAGCTAGCAGGGGTAGTCTCGAGCCTGTCATTGGAGTCCCAACGGCTTCTTGTGCTGGGGGACTTCAATATACACGCCGAGACTGCCTTAGTGGGAGCGGCTCAGGACTTCATGTCTTCCATGGCAACCATGGGGCTGTCCCAACAAGTAACTGGCCCCACCCACAGTGCTGGGCACACATTGGATTTGGTCTTCTGTCAAGGATGGGAGCAAGGTGGCGGGGTCGAGGAGTTATCCATCTCTCCGTTGCCATGGACCGACCACCATCTGGTCAGCTTTAGACTTACTGCACCTCCTAACCTCTGCAGAGGTGGGGACCCATTAAGTTGGTCCGCCCCAGGAGGCTTATGGATCCGAATGGATTCCTGACGGCTCTTGGGGATTTTCCCGCCGCCTCGGTTGGTGATCCTGTTGATGCCCTGGTCTCTCTGGAACGGGGAGATGGCCAGGGCAATAGACACGATCGCTCCGGAACGTCCCCTCTCAAGTAGCCGAGCTAAACCAGCTCCTTGGTTCAACGAGGAGCTGGCAGCAATGAAGCGAAAAAAGAGGAGACTAGAGCGTGTGTGGCGTTCGGATCCGAGCGAGTCAAACCGAGCACGGTTTGTTGCCCTACTAAGGGCATATGCCGTGGCAATAAAGTCGGCAAAGAAATCTTTCTTTGCGGCCAATATTGCGTCCGCAAAGAACCGTCCGGCTGAGCTGTTTCGAGTTGTCAGAGGCCTATTAAAGCCCACCACTCCGGATGGGAGCCCTGACAACTCGACAGCTCGCTGTGAAGCGTTTGCACGGTTTTTTGCGGACAAAGTCGCTTTGATCCGTTCGGGCCTGGATACCATGTTAACGGCGGTCTCTGAGGATGTGACGAGAACACCTGTCTGTCCGATTTTGATGGATTCGTTTCAATTGGTGAAACCTGAGGATGTGGACGAGGTGCTTGGAGGGATGAGAGCAACCACATGCATCCTAGACCCCTGCCCATCCTGGCTTCTAAAGGAGGCCAGAGGGGGATTGGCCGAGTGGGTGAAGGTGGTGGTTAATGCCTCCCTTCGGGAAGGCATAATTCCAGCCAGCTTAAAACAAGCTGTAATAAAACCGCTGTTGAAGAAACCATCACTGGACCCCACTCAATTCGTCAACTATCGGCCTGTTTCCAATCTCCCCTTTTTGGGCAAAGTCCTGGAACGTGTGGTGGCCTCACAACTCCAAGCATTCTTGGTAGACACTGATTATCTGGATCCGGCACAGTCTGGCTTTAGGCCGGGACATGGTACCGAGACAGCCTTGGTCGCCTTAGTGGATGATCTCCGGCGTGAGCTTGACAGGGGGAGTGTGTCCCTGTTAGTTCTGCTGGACCTCTCAGCGGCTTTCGATACCGTCGACCACGGTATCCTTCTGGGTCGCCTCGTGGGAATGGGCCTGGGGGGCACTGTTTTACAGTGGCTCAGGTCCTTCCTAGAGGGTCGTACCCAGATGGTGTTGCTGGGGGACAACTGCTCGCCCTCACAACCATTGACTTGTGGGGTCCCGCAGGGTTCAATACTGTCCCCCATGTTATTTAACATCTACATGAAGCCGTTGGGAGAGATCATCCGGAGTTTCGGGGTGCGGTGTTATCTGTACGCAGATGACGTCCAACTCTGTCACTCCTTTCCACCCACTACTAAGGAGGCTGTCCAGGTCCTGAACCGGTGCTTGGCCGCTGTGTCGGACTGGATGAGGGTGAACAAATTGAAACTCAATCCAGACAAGACAGAGGTACTCCTGGTCAGTCGGAAGGCCGAACAGGGTATAGGGTTACAGCCTGTGTTGGACGGGGTCGCACTCCCCCTGAAGACGCAGGTTCGCAGCTTGGGTGTGACTCTGGATTCTTCCCTAAGCTTGGAACCCCAAGTTTCAGCGGTTTCCAGAGGAGCATTCGCACAGCTCCGGCTCGTGCGCCAGCTGCGCCCGTATCTTGGGAAGTCAGACTTGGCCACGGTAGTCCATGCTCTTGTCACATCCCGCATAGATTACTGCAAAGCGCTCTACGTGGGGTTGCCCTTGAAGACTGCCCGGAAGCTTCAGATGGTCCAGCGCTCGGCAGCCAGGTTGCTAACGGGAGCGACACTCAGGGAGCACACCACCCCCCTGTTGAGCCAGCTCCATTGGCTGCCAATTTGCTACCGGGCACAATTCAAGGTGCTGGCTTTAGCCTATAAAGCCCTACACAGTTCCGGCCCCACCTACCTCTCCGAACGCATCTCCACCTATGAACCGGCGAGGACTTTAAGATCGTCCGGGGAGGCCCTGCTCTCGGTCCCGCCGGCGTCGCAGGCACGGTTGGCGGGGACGAGAGACAGGGCCTTCTCAGTGGTGGCCCCTCGGCTATGGAATGCCCTACCAGTGGACATCAGGCAGGCCCCTTCGTTGCTGGTGTTTCGGAGGAGGGTTAAGACGTGGCTCTATGAGCAGGCGTTTGGACAACTATGCAATGACAACTAACTCAGTAAGACGGCATTGAACAAGGAACGAAAAAGGACTATGAGAACGGGATCTGATTCTAATTGAGGCGTTGATGACTGTGTGTGTTGTTTGTGTATGTACGTCTTATATATTGTCAGTGTTGCCATTTTTACTGTAAACCGCATTGAGTCGCCGTCGCAGGCTGATATATGCGGTATACAAATGGAGTAAATAAATAAATAAATATTCTAGAGGATTTAGGTAAGTCAGAAGAGCATAAGGAAAGAGAAAAATGCCTTCTGTCTAAGCCAGGCGTGGGCAAACTTTGCCCCTCCCTCTGGGTGTTTTGGACTTCAACTCCCACAATTCCTAACAGCCAATAGGCCAGACCATCTGCTCAGATTTCCCAGGCCCACAGACTAGGGTTCTTTGTTTGACCTGCTATTTTAGATCCTTTTAATTCAGAGGTAGGGAAAATTTTGCCATATGTACATTTTGTAACTCTTAAGGAGCCCTCCTGTTCTCCCTACTCAAAAAAAATTGAGAGATGATTTTTTGGGTCAGTCTGAGTATGGTACTAACTTTCTCCTATCCCAAGCATGGGCAAACTTTGGTCCTTCAGGTGTTTTGCACTTCAGTCCCACAATTCCTAACAGCTAGCATTGATTTTGCCACTGGGAGTTGTAGTTGCTGGATCTTATGGTTAACCTACAATCAAAGAGTATTCTGAACTCCACTAACGATGGAATTGGACCCAACTTGGTACACAGAACTCCCATGACCAACAGAAAATACTGGGAGGATTTGGTGGGCGTTGACCTTGAGTTTTGGAGTTGTAGTTCACCTGCATCCAGAGAGCACTGTGGAATCAAACAATGATAGATCTGGAACTTGGCATGGATACTCAATATGCCCAAAGATGAACAGTGGTGGAGTTTGTGGAAAATAGACTTGACATTTGGGAGTTGTAGTTGCTGGGATTTATGGTTAACCTACAATCAAAGAGCATTATGAACTCCACCAACGATGGAATTAAACTCCCATGGCCAATAGAAAATACTGGAAAGGTTTGGCGGGCATTGACCTATCCATCCCACCCTTCCGTTCTCTTTTTCCATTTCCCCCTTTATTTTTAACCTTATTCCCCCTAAAAACTTTCAATAAAGCTTATTTAATAATCAAAAAGACATTCGGGAGTTGTAGTTTCTGGGATTTATAGTTCCATCTGCACTCAGAGTCTCTTGAACCCCACCAACGATAGAATTCGGCCAAATTTCGCACACAGAACCCCCATGACCAACAGAAAATATTGGAGGGATTTGGGTTCTTAAGACCATCAAAAATATGTGACTTTGGGACCCCTGTGAAACCCCTCTCGCAACCCCCCCAGGAGTCCCCCAGGGGTCTCTAGAATACTTTACAGTACATATGGACAAACTTGGGCCCTCCCTCCAGGTGTTTTGGACTTCAACTCCCACAATTCCTAACAGCCTACTGGCTGTTAGGAATTGTGGGAGTTGAAGTCCAAAACACCTGGAGGGAGGGCCCAAGTTTGCCCATGCCTGCTTTACAGTCACACCATATCACTGCTGCTTGCTGTGAACTGAATGCTCTGCTAAGTATCCTGTTTTTGTATTTTTAAATAATCTACTATTTTGGGTTATTTACCTAACAATGTCAAGTTTTCCTAACGGTGTGTTTCCATTCCTCTCTCTCCCTTTGCTTCTCCCTCTAGTACACGGGGGCTCCCGTGGCCTACATCCAGCAGGTCCTGGTGAAAGCCACGGTCTCCCCTTGGCCCACAACCTTCCTGGCGGTGGATGTGTTCCGCTCTCCGCTTTCCCGGGTCTTCCAGCTGGTGGAAGAGATCAGGAATCACGCCCTGCAAGACGGGTAGGAGGCCCCAAGCGAAAGGCAAAGATGGCTTCCCCTTCTTTGTTTTGGCATTTGGTGCTCCCAATGGGATTGGGAAGTTGGGTTTTGGTGTAAGCTAGGATTGTGCCGCTTCATCTTGTGAGGGGCTGCATTTGTCCAGTGGAGAATCCGGCCTTCTCAGAGCGTCTGATTTCTGAGTTCTGTTAATCCATTGATCGTCAAATCAATGACCCTTCTGCTCAGAAGCTCACGGCAATCGGTTAACCATTACACCATCAAATAATAAATATTATGTAAACAAAACAGGAAAATTCAGTGGCCTTAAGTGTTAGTCCAACCTAGTGGATGAACAATGTTTATTTAGTGTATCCTTTGTGTAAGAAACTATTGGATTAAAGGGCCACTGATCTAAATACAGTTAAGCTAATGCCAAGAGGCCAAGATGAAGTCCCTTGGCCACATCGTGAGAAGGAAGAAAGGCTTCAAGAAGACAATGATGCTGGGGAAAATTGAAGGAAAAAGGAAGAGGGGCCAACCAAGGGTAAGATGGATGGATGGCATCCTTGAAGTGACTGGATTGACTTTGAAGGAGCTGGGGTGGTGACGGCTGAGAGGGAGCTGTGGCGTGGACTGGTTCATGAGGTCACGAAGAGTCTGAAACGACGTAACAAATGAACAATAAAACAAGCTAATGCAGATTAGATAGACATTGTATTGTCGAAGGCTTTCATGGCCAGAATCATTGGGTTGTTGTGAGTTTTCTGGGCTGTATGGCCATGTTCCAGAAGCATTCTCTCCTGATGTTTCGTCTGTAAGACCTCACAACCTCTGAGGATGCCTGCCCTGAGGATTTGTTCGCCCCCATCCAGACTGCCACAGCCACCAAGCAATGGTTCAGGACCTGAACAGCCTCCTTAGCTGCAGGTAGAAAGAAGTGATAGAGTTGGATGTCATCTGCGTACAGATGGCATTGAACTCCAAAACTCTGGATGGTCTCTTCCAGCGGCTTCATGTAAATGTCAAACAATATGGGGTACAATATTGAACCATGCGATACCAAAGGCTATGGGGCCAAGTAGGTGTCTCCCAACAACACCTTTTGAGAGTGGTCCTCCAAGAAGGACCAGAGTCACTATAGGACAGTACCTCCAAGCCCCATTCCCATTGGGTGTCCCAAGAAGGATACTGTGATTTATGGTATTGATGTGCGACCAGAAGTTGCTGCTAACTGTGAGAGAAATAAGGGTGAACACTGAAAGCCACCCACTACATGGCTATCAGCCTCCTCCCAGTAGACTCCATTCAAGGAAAAGCTTCACGAGAACCACCACTCCTCTTAACGTTCCCTCAGCAACATCAAGAGTATCCTTCTGGGCAGCTAAACCAGGACATCCCAAGTGGATTGCCCCCCCCCCCCCCCCACAAGGGAGAAACCAAGAATGGGCAACTTGGAAGTCCCTGAACAGACTCAGAAGCAGAGTGGGCAGATCAAAAGACCAGCTGGCAAATTGGCACCACCTGGAAAAATCCTCCACCTTGTACAACTGTAGAGCAGAGCAGACAACTCCACATCTGTATACTTGTCCACTATGCCCTGCCTCATGTGCAGAGGAAGAGTTGTTTGAGGCTACAGACAATGCGGTTGCTGTTGCCCATTTTAGGTCTAAAACTATTTAGTCTCTTGTTCGCCTTGTGTTTTTATCAGTTTTATACTAATTTATGTAATACTTTGATACAAGGTAAAATAAAATGGTATTGAAGAACACTGAGAGGTTCAGGAGAACCAACAGGGACACAGTTCCCGGTGTAGATCAGCCATTAAGGCAGTGGTTCTCAACCTGTGGGTCCCCAGGTGTTTTGGCCTACAACTCCCAGAAATCTCAGCCAGTTTACCAGCTGTTAGGATTTCTGGGAGTTGAAGGCCAAAACATCTGGGGACCCACAGTTTGAGAACCACTGCACTAAGGACACCAAGGCTGTTTCAGTTCCATGGCCTGGCCTAAAGCCAGATTGCGCCAGATCCAGATAATCAGTTTCCTCCAAAAACACATGGAGTTGCAAGGCCACCTCACGTTCCAAGAATTTGCCTAAAAGGGGGAGATTGGACAAAAGTTGTTCAATCCAGTGCAGAAATGCTTGACATTTTAATGCCAGCACAGTTAAGGGCAGGGTTTAGTTCTTTGAGGCCCACCACAAACCTGGCAGTTGTTCTTTGGTCCTTATCCTGCCAATCTTGTTTCCTTTCCAGTTCCAGCGTCAAAAGCTTGGAAGAAATCTGCCTCCAGGTAACGGACCTCCTTCCTAATTTAAAGAAGCTCCAAGGCCTGCTTCCCGAACATGGCTGCCTGCTGCTGTCGCCAGGGAACTTCTGGCAGAACGACCAGGAGCGCTTTCGGGTCGACCCCGATATCATCAAAACCATCCACCAGTATGAACCAAAGACCCTACAGACCTCGGCTACCCCCAAAGGTAGGCAGGTTTGGGGCTATTTGGGATTGTCCTGATGCAAATGCATCAGAAACGAAGTAACCGAAGCCAGTTGAGAAGCTCCCCTCCTACCCTTCCCAAAATGGGTGAGACAGTTGGGGCACCCAAATCCTCCCGAAGGCAGGATGTCCCCTTTGTGAAGAGTGATTTTATCACCATGGGGCACTTCTGTCAGGTGGCCATGCTCCGAAGCCTGAAGGTGTGCGCCTATTGTATTGTCCATGCAATAGGTTTCTGTTGAGTCCTCTCAGTCAGGGGATCGTCTATCCCAGGAAATGAGAAGATTTTCCTGAGATCTTTGGTGTGCTGGGGTCACGAAGAGGTGGCATTTCATATTTTATACAGACATATATATGGGTTCATAAGGCATATATTCATAAAGAGGGGAAAGGATTCATATCAACCTTCTCCACCCAGAGTCCATCTCATAAAGTTTTCAGTTACCTTCTGCTATATATGAAATTTAGGGCATAAAACCTTGATTAAATGTACACACTATCTGACATGGGAAGGGTCCCTGTTGTTGTTGTTGTTGTTGTTAGTGTCTTTGCAAATTGACCAAGACTTGACCCCTATTATCCACCCTGATGTCCTTTTCCTTAGCAAAACTATAAGTTACTGTCTCTTATGGGGGGGGGGGGTCATGTTCGACTTCACAAATACATCAGAAACGAAGTAACTGAAGCCGGTTGAGAAGCTCCTCTCCTAGCCTTCCCACTTTCAAAGCATGTTCCTGCTGTTTCCTCAGATCTGCTCTTCGGAGTCCCAGGGAAGTACAGCGGGGTGAACCTCTACAACCGGAAGCGCGTGGTCACCTACACCATCACCCTGGGCCTCCGGCGTTACGATTCGAGGTAGGACTTGGTCGGGAGACCTCAGGATTCATGGCAAAAGTTCTCGGCAGACATAACTATAATTTATTTATTTATCGTATCAGGAGCGAACCAAGGGTACTGTTGTAACGTATTCAAAAACACAAAGTTGAAATACTTGGCATTCTATTAAATGTCCTTTGAGCAGTAGCTGGCCACTTGGAGTGCCTCTGGTGTTGCCATTAGAAGGTCCTCCATTGTGCATGTGGCAGGGCTCAGGCTGCATTGTAATAGGTGGTCTGAGGTTTGCTCTTCTCCACACTCGCAGGTCGTGGACTCCACTTTGTGGCCCCATTTCTCTCAGTGAAATGCCAAGCTTCTTGTGACTTCTGCACAAGCTAGACCAGTGGTTCTCAACCTTCCTAATGCCGTGACCCCTTAATACAGTTCCTTATGTTGTGGTGACCCCCGACCATCACATTATTTTCATTGCTACTCCACAACTATAATTTTGCTCCTGTTATGAATCATCTTGTAAATATCCGATATGCAGGATGTATTTTCATTCATTTGGCACAAATACTCGATACGCCCAAATTTGAATACTGATGGGGTTGAGGGGAGGATTGATTTTGTCATTTGGGAGTTGTAGTTGCTGGGATTTATAGTTCACCTACAATATCAAAGAGCATTCTGAACTCCACCAATGATGGAACTGAACCAAACTTGCGACACAGAGCTCCCATGACCAACAATAAATTCTGGAAGAGTGTGATGGGCATTGACCTTGGGTTTTGGAGTTATAGTTTACCTACATCCAGAGAGCACTGATGCATCTGGACCAAACTTGGCATGAATATTCAGTGTGACCAAATGTAGACACTGGTGCAGTTTGGGGAAGATAGACCTTGCCATAGTGGCTGGGATTTATAGTTCACCTACACTCAAAGAGCATTCAGAACTCCACCAATTATAGAATTGGGCCAAACTTCCCACACGGAACCCCCACGACCAACAGAAAATACTGTGTTTTCTAATTGTCTTTGGCGACCCCTCTGACACCCCCTCGCGACACCCCTAAGGGTCCCGACCCCCAGATTGAGAAACACTGAACTAGACAAATACTGCCCATGCTGCTGAGTGTTATCTATACTGTAATGAAAAATTAAGTTCTATTTTTCTTTTATTTTTGGGTTATGTGTGCAATACATGTTGTGCAGCAAATGCAGCATGTACAAATACTTGAAAAAAAAAATACCCTTTCCATATTCCAAGACTTCTGCAGTCGAAACTCTTGGCCCCAGAATATCTCCCATAGCCAGGCATGGGCAAACTTTGGCCTATTGGCTGTTAGGAATTGTGGAAGTTGAAGTCCAAAACTCCTGGAGATAGGGCCAAATTTTGCCCATGCCTCGTCTAAGGACATTTGAGCTCTGGTGGTCTTTGCTGTGCTGCCCACAGGCCATTTGCTTGGTGGGGCTCATGGCTAACGGGAGCCTCTTTTCTGCCTTTGCGCAGGTTCCTGTCCAGCTTGCGCTCCCGGCTGAAGGCGCTGCACCCCAGCCCCAACTGCACCCTGCGCGAGGAGCACATCGTCCACGTCCATTTCAAGGAGGAGATCGGCGTCGCGGAGCTGATCCCCCTCGTCACCACCTACATCATCCTCTTCGCTTACATCTACTTCTCCACACGTACGCCTTTATTTTGCTCATTTTTTGAAATTCAAAAATAAAAAAGTTGCAATAGAAGACCAAAGCTAAAAAAATCTGATTTTTCTAACATATGTTGCTAAAACTATGAAGCTACCTATTATTTATTTATTTATCTATCTATCTATCGTGTCAGTATTAACCAGACAATTGTATTACATTTTTAACAATTTTTAACAAACAGACAAAACAGAGTTTGCAAGCTTGGTAGTTGATTAAATGTCCTTTGACCAGTACCTGGCCACTTGGAGTGCCTCTGGTGTTGCCGCAAGAAGGTCCTCCATTGTGCATGTGGCAGGGCTCAGGTTGCATTGCAGCAGGTGGTCAGTGGTTGGCTCTTCTCCACACTCGCATGTCGTGGATTCCACTTTGTGGCCCCATTTCTTGAGGTTGGCTCTGCATCTCGTGGTGCCAGAGCGCAGTCTGTTCAACGCCTTCCAAGTCGCCCAGGAGGGAGTCTCTCATTTGGTTGAGGTGCTGGGGTTGAGCCTGCCACTTTTGGACTCTCGCTTGCTGAGGTGTTCCAGCGAGTGTCTCTGTAGATCTTAGAAAACTATTTCTTGATTTAAGTCATTGACGTGCTGGCTGATACCCAAACAAGGGATGAGCTGGAGATGCCACTGCCTTGGTCCTTTCACTATTGGTTGCTACTTCCCAGCGGATGTCAGGTGGTGCAATACTGGCTAAAGACTGTAATTTCTCCAGTGGTGTAGGGCGCAGATTCCCCGTGATAATGCGGCATGTCTCATTAGGAGCCACATCTACTATTTTAGCGTGGTGAGATGTGTTCCACACTGGGCATGCATACTCAGCAGCAGAGTAGCATAGCGCAACGGCAGATGTCTTCACTGTGTCTGGTTGTGATCTCCAGGTTGTGCCAGTCAGCTTTCGTATGATATTGTTTCTAGCGCCCACTTTTTGCTTGATATTCAGGCAGTGCTACTTGTAGGTCAGAGCACGGTCCAGAGTGACTCCCAGGTATTTGGGTGTGCTGCAATGCTCCAGTGGGATCCCTTCCCAGGTAACAATCCTCAGAGCTCGGGATGCCTGTCTGTTCTTAAGGTGAAAGGCACATGTCTGTGTTTTAGATGGATTGGGGATCAGCTGGTTTTCCCTGTAATAGGCAGTAAGGGCACCTAGAGCTTCGGAGAGCTTCTGTTCTACTGTCTCAAAGCTACCTATGACACTGCGACATACTACAGGCCTACTTCAAATGCAGACACACTTACAAAACACATACCTTCAACAGCATTGATGCACATACTATACTATACATACTATAACCTATAAACACAGACAATCCTACAAACCTCACACTCACTGTCTCTTGATTTTAATCCTGTATTACTCTACTCACTTTAGATAATACTATATAAGCACATTTCTACTTTTAGTGATAGTCATCTAATTTGTAAATCCTACAATGGACAATTGCATAGGTACTTTTGAGGAGCATCTGTGGGCCTCTTCTTGGAATCCAGCTGGAGAAGGAGACCTATGGCTTATTTGAGCAGACAGGTTGGACTGAAAATAGGGTTGAAATCCTCTTGGTTTCAGAGCTGAGGCCTTTTGGGGCTCAGTTGCATCTCTTACTTTTTTGCAGCCTTTGGGGTTATACGTTGCTCTTTCTGAGAGCAACTTTGAAGGTGTTTCACCTTAGAGAAGGCCTGAGCAAACTTGGGCTCTCCAGGTGATGTGGACTGTAACTCCCACAGTTCCTAACAGCCTACAGGTTGTTAGGAATTGTGGGAGTTGCGGCCCAAGACACCTGGAGGGCTGAAGTTTGCCCATGCCTGTCCTAGATTGTTGGGTCTCCTTTATCTGAGGGTCTGGAATGAAAATTCTCCATGTGGACATGGTCCGATGTTCTCTTCCTCAGGCAAGATTGACATGGTGAAGTCCAAATGGGGCCTGGCGTTGGCTGCCGTCGTGACAGTTCTCAGCTCCCTGCTCATGTCTGTCGGCCTGTGCACTCTCTTTGGCCTGACACCAACACTCAACGGAGGGTAAGTCTTTTAGCCCAGCTTAACCAGTGCCAAGAATGTTGGGGTGGGCCCCACTGAACTGCTTTCTCCCTCATGTCCTGGGTGCAGGAATTCCACACCAAGATGTCTATATTGTCTGCCTGCTTTCCAAGGAGCCTCTCGTGCCCACTTGAGTGAAAAGGACATTGTGTCTTATGGAGCAACTTGGGAATTAATGAATTCTGTTTGGCATAAACATTGGCATATTGCTGCCTAGGTTTATGATGAACAGTAAAAGGTAAAGGTTGTCCCCAGACATTAAGTCCAGTCATGTCCGACTCTGGGGTGTGGTGCTCATCTCCATTTCTAAGCCGAAGAGCCGGCATTGTCCATAGACACCTCCAAGGTCACGTGGCTGGCATGACTGCATGGAGCGCCGTTACCTTCCCGCCAGAGCAGTACCTATTGATCTACTCACATTTGCATGTTTTCGAACTGCTATGTGGGCAGAAGCTAGGGCTGACAGCAGAAGCTCACGCTGCTCCCCGGAATCGAACCTGCGACCTTTTGGTCAACAAGCTCAGCAGCTCAGCGCTTTAATCCACTGCGCCAAAAGTATTCATGACAAACAGCTGATAAACTGGCTAGGATTTCTGGGAGTTGTAGTCCAGAAACATCTGGGGACCCCAGGTTGAGAACCACTGGTTTAGGGCTTTATAGGTAATAACCTGCACTTTGAATTGGGGCCGGAAACGTATTAATTCAGGCTATCTTGGAAGGAGGTGAGTGGACAGGCTGCATTCCTCACAGATCTGCCACACTTTTCTGAGTGAAAAATGTCTCCTTATGTAGACGTCTTTGCTGCTGTGGTTCTGGATTGTTTTCACAACGTGTCGTTCACCTAAAACTTGCTGAAACTCCATCAATTCAGAAACAGATATTGTCTTTGTTCCTTAAAGTCAGAACCATTGTTTCTGACTTCCTTAACTTAAAGAGTCATTGTCTGTGACTATGTAAACATGTGTTGTTTACACCAAAAGTTCTCAGGTCAGATATGTCGGTTCAACACTTGTCATGCCGCACTTAATCTAATCTTCACCACCTTTGTTTCTCCATAATGCCATAGGCTTTAATTTTAAGATGGTATCTTCAGTCTTGCCAGGCCTTAATAGTCCCTTAGACAGACCCCAAGCATACATCTCTGTATACGAACCCAGACGATCTCTTCGATCATCTGGAGAGGCCCTGCTCACGCTTCCACCACCATCGCAAGCACGATTGGTGGGGACGAGGGAGAGGGCCTTCTCTGTGGTGGCCCCTCGACTCTGGAACTCACTCCCCAGGGATATTAGACAAGCCCCAACTCTGGCAGTCTTTAGGAAGAGCCTGAAAACGTGGCTGTTTCAGTGTGCCTTCCCAGAATAAGGAAACTCCCAGCAATATGTCCTCAAGCACACTTTAATAATGATTTTGGATTGTCTGCACATTTCTTCCCTCTTCAAAACCTTTATTCCAATTACATGCTACCTGTTCATGCCCAGTATTATTTCTTAAATTTTTAATTATTGCATTTGGCCCAGCCATTGGTTTTTAAATGCGTCGTGTTATTGTTTTTGCTTATTTTGCTATGAGTTTTATATTGTTTTTGTATTATTGCTGTTATTGTTATTGTTGTGTTGTGGGCTCGGCCTCATGTAAGCCGCAACGAGTCCCTCGGGAGATGGTACCGGGGTACAAATAAAGTATTATTATTATTATTATTATTATTATTATTATTATTATTATTGTCGAAGGCTTTCATGGCTGGAATCACTAGGTTCTTGTGGGTTTTTTCGGGCTATATGGCCATGTTCTAGAGGCATTCTCTCCTGACGTTTCGCCTGCATCTATGGCAAGCATCCTCAGAGGTAGTGAGGTCACCTCACTACCTTTGAGGATGCTTGCCATAGATGCAGGCGAAACGTCAGGAGAAATGTGATTATTATTATTATTATTATTACTATTATATTATTTCAACATCATAGAATCATAGATGCTACATTACTTGGCAAGATAAGCCTCTCACAGAGGGCCTTGAGATGTGCTCAGCCCGTTCTCCTCCTCCGACCTGCCTGCCCTTCATCACACCCTTGCGTCATGGTCATCTTATGCAAACAGCCGATACAGTTGGACAAACATGGAAGAGAATTGCCACACTTCCCTCCCCGTGCCCTTCATTTTGGGATGACACAATGCTGCCTGTCTGGGGCACAAGGCCTGGGCTTCCTTGGGTTGCATGGTCCACGATGGGGCCATTGAGGCCACCTTGGATCCACGCCATGTTGACTGAGAGCCCAGCTACCTGACTTGCCCTCTTGTTGGCTGACAACCTTGGCATCTGAAGTCTGTTTTGACAGGTGTCTTTACTTATAGCAGAATATATTGCTTGCCTTCCTAAGGGTATTTATTTTAGAATAATACCAACCTTAGTTTGAGAATTTTTATTTTATTGGATTTGAGGAAACGGTCATCTCAGAATGTGAGTCGCTTTCCCCACTTTGGCCGCAAAGCACCTTTTCCATCGTTGCCTCTTCTTAGAGGAACCTGCTCCTGACCCAGTGGTTCTCAACCTTCCTAATGCCACGACCCCTTAATCCGCTTCCTCATGTTATGGTGACCCCCAACCATAAAATTAGTTTCATTGCTACTTCATAACTGTCATTTTGCTGCTGTTATGAATAGTAATGTAAATATCTGATATGCAGGATGTATTTTCATACACTGGACCAAATTTGGCACAAATATGTCAGAGAAATTAGGGGGTATATGCGCAGCGGAAGAGGTTGCTAGATCAACAGACACAGGACTCCAAAAATCAGGACTCTGCAGTCTTACAGTTGCAAAATAACACAAAGTTTACTAAGTTTACTACACACGTCCATTCTTAGTGGGCTATAATCAGGAACTACAAAGCACAGCACAAACGGTTTCTGAACATCTGCTTATCAGTTCTCTGGCTGTAACCGGATCCTCCTTCTACTTCCCACAGCCAGAGAATGTGTTATTTCACTTCTGTCAAGGTTATATTTTCTCTGCCTCTCACAGTAGTTCTTATACACAATTGAACATAATAGAATCCATCTTGAAACACATCTTAATCCATCTTGAATTACATAGAAACACATTGAAAAACACACATGCATACCTCAATAATCCTGACAATATACCCAACACACCCAAATTTGAATACTGGTGGGATTAGGGGAAGGTATTGATTTTGTCCTGTGGGAGTTGTAGTTGCTGGGATTTATAGTTTGCCTACAATCAAAGAGCATTCTGAACTCCACCAACGATGGAATTGAATCAAACTTGGCACACAGAACTCCCATGACGAACAGAAAATACTGGAAGGGTTTGGTGGGCATTGACCTTGAGTTTTGGGAGTTGTAGTTAAACTACATCCACAGTGCACTGTGGTCTCAAACAATGATGGATCTGGGCCAAACTTGGCATGAATTCTCAATATGCCCAAATGTAAACACTGATGGAGTTTGTGGAAAATAGACCTTGACATTTGGGAGTTGTAGTTGCTGAGATTTATAGTTCACCTACCATCAAAGAGCATTCTGAACCCTATCAACGATTGAATTGGGCAAACTTCCCACATAGAGCCTCCATGACCAACAGAAAATACTGTGTTTTCTGGTGGTCTTTGGTGACCTCTCTGACACCCCCTTGCAACCCCTCAAGCGGTCCCGACCCCCAGGTTGAGAAACACTGTCATAGAATCATAGAATCAAAGAGTTGGAAGAGACCTCCTGGGCCATCCAGTCCAACCCCATTCTGCCAAGAAGCAGGAATATTGCATTCAAATCACCCCTGACAGATGGCCATCCAGCCTCTGTTGAAAAGCTTCCAAAGAAGGAGCCTCCACCACACTCCGGGGCAGAGAGTTCCACTGCTGAACAGCTCTCACAGTCAGGAAGTTCTTCCTCATGTTCAGATGGAATCTCCTCTCTTGTAGTTTGAAGCCATTGTTTCACGTCCTAGCCTCCAGGGCAGCAGAAAACAAGCTTGCTCCCTCCTCCTGTGGCTTCCTCTCACATATTTATACATGGCTATCATATCTCCTCTTAGCCTTCTCTTCTTCAGGCTAAACATGCCCCGCTCCTTAAGCCGCTCCTCATAGGGCTTGTTCTCCAGACCCTTGATCATTTTAGTCACCCTCCTCTGGACACATTCCAGCTTGTCAATATCTCTCTTGAATTGTGGTGCCCAAAATTGGACACAAGTTTCTAAGGATTGTCTCTGTTTTTGTTTTCAGGGAGATTTTCCCTTACCTTGTGGTTGTGATTGGCCTGGAGAATGTGCTGGTTCTCACCAAATCAGTCGTCTCCACGCCTGTCGACCTGGAAGTGAAGCTGCGGATTGCGCAAGGTGCGTGGAAACGATAGCCTTCCATTCTGTATGGATCAAAGATGGAGGATTGTGCCAGGCCATTGGTGCATCTAGCCCAGTTGGACGCAAGTGTCAATAGAATTGCATTAGCTGCTCATGTTTTCTTGGACAGTTTCCATACCAGCCCACCACACTGTCTGCAATAATTCATTCCAAGGCTTGTTGTGGCCTTTCTCTGAAGCTGAGAGTGTGACTTGCCCAAGGTCACCCAGCAAGTTTCCATGGCAGAGTGGGCTTTTGACGTAGTTCAGCACTCAGATCATTTCACCACATTTGCTCTGTTCAGTTTATATCCCACCCCTCTTTCCATTATTGTGTAACAAAATGGCTTACAAAAGCTAAAACACAAACTGTATGTGCTAAAATACGTATAGAGCATCAGTAATCAAGTATAAAAGTTAGTTTCAAAGTGTACCGTATATACTCAAGTATACGCCGGCCTGAATATAAGCTGTGGCACCTAATTTTACCGCAAAAAACTGGGAAAACGTATTGACTCAAATATAAGCCGAGGGTGGGAAATGCAACAGCGAATGGCCAGTTTCAAAATAAAAATAGAAACCAATACAATAACATTAATTGAGGCATCAGTAGGTTAAATGCTTTTGAATATTGACATAAAACTAATTTAAGATAAGACTGCCCAACTCTGATTAAACCATTATTTTAACCTTCTTCAGTGTAAATGTGCTTATGTATCCTTTCAATAATAATGAAGAGAGTGAAATAATGAATGTGATAAAATAATAATAGAATAAAATAATGTAACTGTAATAATAATAATAGCAAATAGAGTAAAATAATAAATGTACTACTAATAATAGAGAAAAATAATAAATGTAATAACAATAATAAATAGAGAAAACTGAATGTAGTAATAACAACAACAATAATAAATAGAGACATATAATAAATGTCATAATACTATTAAAGAGAGTAATATAAAAAGTAATAATACTAAAAATAGAGTAAAATAATGTAAATGTAATAATAATAATAATAGCAAATAGAGTAAAATAATAAATGTATTACTAATAATAGAAAAATAATAAATGTAATAATAACAATAATAATAGAGAAAAATAAATGTAATAAGAACAATAACAAATAGAGAAAAATAAATGTAATAATAACAATAATAAATAAAGAGAGTAAAATAATAAATGTAGTAATATTAGTAATAGAGTACAATACTGTAAATGTAATAGTAATAGTAAACAGAGTAAAATAATTAATGTAATAATAATAATAATAATAATAATAATAATAATAAACCAATAAAATAATAAATAACTTTGACTCGATGATAAGCCGAGGGAGGCTTTTTCAGCCTAAAAAAAGAGCTGAAAAACTCTGCTTATTCTTGAGTATATAAGGTAATTAAACAATCTATCGAACAGAATCGCTGTCTCCTTCCCTCGATCCCTGGATTTCATTCCTTGTGACTTCTTGACTTTCCCCCCTCAGGTTTGAGCAACGAGAGCTGGTCAATTATGAAGAACATGGCCACGGAGCTGGGGATTATCCTCATTGGTTACTTCACCCTTGTCCCAGCCATTCAGGTATGTGGGCGCACAGCAGGTGCTGGGACATGTTTCTCTGCCATCACCGGACAGGCATCTGGTCGCTTTTGGCTGTTGTATTGGATCACATGTCGGACCCTTCCCAAGTGTCTAGGACTGCGTGATGTATCGGCGAATAATGCATGCAGATCCCAGTAAGATGGCCTTTTGCAGCTGGCAGATGGTAATTTTTTCCACGCCGATTGTGTTTAAGTGCAGGCCAAGGTCTTTAGGCGCTGCACCCAGTGTGCCAATCACCACTGGGACCCCTTGACTGGCTTGTGCCAGAGTCTTTGTAGTTCAATCTTTAAATCCTCTTATGTCAGCTTTTCCAGTTGTTTCTCTTCAATCCTGTCACCTGGGATTGCATCATCGACGATCCATACTTCGTTTTTTAACACGATTGTGAGGTCAGGAGTCTTGTGCTCCAGAACTCTGTCAGTCTGAATTTGGAAGTCCAAGCGGAGTTTGACGTGCTCATTTTCTGTAACTTTTTTCCGGCTTGTGATCCCACAATATTATTATTATTATTATTATTATTATTATTATTATTATTATTATCTTGCCTCTTGCAAAGTCTTTATGGTTGAGAGAGCACGGCATTTGATCACGAAAATCCTTCAGTGGGTTGAGATGTGCTTGTTGTGGAGAAGACATCCTCTCACTAACTGTATATAAGGGTCTGTGCTCTGCTGGAAGGTCTTTGTGATGGCCCACGGCCTAAATCTGAGGGAATTCCTGTGATGTTCTCCTTAAAAGCACATTTTCAAGAGGAATGCTTGGGAGAGTGGTGTTGTTTTTCCTCCTCTGTTCTTTCACTGTCTTCATATTTTCTGTGTTGATGAGATGGAGTAGGTTGAACAAGGCTGGTCTGAACCCCATGTCTTTGAGCCTAGCTTTTGCATGCGCTGTCTCATAACGTCTGCTCCTTAAAATTGCAGTGGGTTTGCATCTCTGTCCCTTATCTGCGTCCTTGAGCCTCTGAAGGCTGCCAGAGAGATAAAGAATGGCATGATAGTCAGAGTTCAAGGAGTCAGAGAGATAGGAAGCGGAATTGCGACCCGGGCGATCCATGGCCTTGGCACCTAATTGGTAACCCACTAGAGAATTATGGAATAGTGCAATGGCAATTTGGAATGGCCATGGATTATGACTGTGGATAATTTGATTTTAATAGCGTTTCAAGGTTTAATATGTTTTTAATGATTCTTTAATACATATGTTTATTTTATTATGTATGTATGTATGTTTACATGGCATTGAATTGTTGCCTATATATGTAAGCCGCCTTGAGTCCCCTACGGGAGTGAGAAAAGTGGGGTATAAATAAATAGATTGAGAAGTGGGAGCCTTGGGACCTCCAGAGCAGCTGCCTCTGTCCAGATCTTGGCCAGTCTGAATCCACCAGCAGGAAGGCTTTCCCATTGTTGCTTTCATACTCACACTTTGCCCAGAAGGCAGAGAAAAGATGGAGTATAAATATCTATACTAACTTGCTTACTTACTTAGGTGATCCCTCGTAGCTCAAGGATGATGGTCTTCCAGATGTAGTGCCTTGGTGGTGGGTCCATAGGTGGCTGTGGAGCCCTATTCTTGACCTGCATGTTCTCCCGCAGTGAGGATATTGGTTTCCAGACAGAAGGCAGTCCTGGTCAGGGTTGGCTTGACGTGCCTTCCTCTTGGCACGTTGCTCCTTTTCACCCTCCATTTGTGCCTCTTCGAATTCTGCAGCACTTCTGGTCACAGCTGACCTCGAGTTAGAGTACACAAGGGCCAGGGTTTCCCAGTTCTCAGTGTCTATGCCACATTTTTTGAGGTTGGCTTTGAGCCCGTCTTTAAATCTCTTTTCATGTCCACCAACATTCCGTTTTCCGTTCTTGAATTCGGAGTAGAGCAACGGCCTTGGGAGACGGTGATTGGGCATTCGGACAACGTGGCCGGTCCAGTGGAGTTGATGACGGAGGAGCATGGCTTCAATGCTGGTGATCTTTGCTTCTTCCAGCATGCTGACATTTGTCCGCTTGTCTTCCCAAGAGATTTGCAGAATGATGGAATCGTTCAAGGAGTTTTGTATGATATGTGTAGACAGTCCACGTTTCGCAGGCGTATAGCAGAGTTGGGAGGACAATAGCTTTATAAACAAGCCCCTTGTTCTCCCTATGGATGTCCTCAAACACTCTCTGCTTCATTCAGAAGAATGCTGCACTCGCATAGTTCAGGCAGTGTTGTATTTCAATGTCAGTGTTCACTTTGAAATACATATACTTTGAAATATCTATAGTGCTGATGGAGCCAGGAAAGGATCATAGTGCTTCCAAGAAGGCAAAAGATGACTCAGGTTCCTGTCACGGGGACTAAGAGCACAGCATGCCAAACTGGGCAGATAAGTTAAATATAAACACATGCAAATTGCATCGCCCATACCAGGGGTCCTCAATTTTTTTAAACAGAGGGCCAGGTCACAATCCCTCAAACTGTTGGAGGGCCGGATTATAATTTGAAAAAAAATATGAATGAATTGCTAAGCACACTGCACATATCTTATTTGTAGTGCAAAAACACTTAAAAACAATACAATAATTAAAATGAAGAACAATTTTAACAAATACAAAGTTATGATTATTTCCATGGGAACTATGGGCCTGCTTTTGGCTGATGAGATATGATTGTTGTTGTTGTTGTTGTTGTTGTTGTTGTGTGCTTTCAAGTAATTTCAGACTTAGGTTGAGCAAGGGCCGGGTAAATGACCTTGGAGGGCCATATTTGGCCCTCAGGCCTTAGTTTGAGGACCCCTGGCCTATACCAATGGTTCCTAACCTTGTTTTGACCAGGGACCACTCTCCAATACTAGTACCAAAAGAGTTACGAAGCAATTGTTGGTCAACTTCATATTTGGTTTGGTTATTTGGGGTGCTAATTCAGAAAATGGGATAGACCACATCAGCTCTAGTTTCTGATACAGAACATCTGCCATCCAGTAGTCACCATCTTCTCGCCCACAGAAAACCATATTTAATAATCTTAAGCTGATGTGATCATAGTAATCTTTCGTGGGTAGTTAGTCTCTCCCCTCCTGACATCTCTGTTGCCTCGGCACTATGAGAGGGTTTCGCAAGACCAGTTGCTCTCATTGCTGCGTGGTTTAGTAATGGTGTAGTAATGGTGAGGCTGCAGACCATATTTTTGTTCTTGCGGACCATTGGTGGTCCACAGACCAGAGGTTGGGAACCACTGGCCTATATTGTGGAATCCTAGAGTTGGAGGAGACCCCAAGGGCCATCCAGTCCAGCCCTCTTTGGCCAGCAGGAGGTCAGCATCCAAGCCCTCTCAACAGAGGAATCATTGAACTTAGAATGTACTTTGAACGTCAACATTTATGAATGCCAAGATAAAACAGGATAATGAGTAACAGGTAGATTAGGGACCAGAGTGTCTGTGCGTCCTATAGTTTGTGGGAGTTCTCCTCCAATGAGATCAGAATTGGGGCTTTCCTGGAGCGCTGCTGGTCTTTCGTAACAGATAGCAGCACTTATGCAGGTTGGGTGCTTTCCTCGCAACTTCCTCTCCTGCAGAATTGGGCTTGTATTTCTGATGGATGAGTCTTTCCTATTTTCAAAAGTTTTGTCTGATTCATACATCCAGCAATTTACATTTGCACCCATTGGAGTTGTGGAAAAGTAGTAAAGGAGTCCCAATCTTTCTTGAAGGCCATTTGTGATTTCTCCTCCTTCAGCATCTTCAGTTTGTCTATCTCTTCCCCGCCTTTTACTTGTCAAGTAGCAAGTCATCTATATAAATAAAAATGTAATGTTCGTTTGTGGGATTAACAGAACTCAAAAACCACTGGACGAATTGGCACCAAATTTGGACACAAGACACCCAACAACCCAATGTATGTTCTTCACTCAAAAAAATTGATTTTGTCATTTGGGAGTTGCTGGGATTTATAGTTCACCTACAGTCAAAGAGCATTCTGAACCCCACCAATGATGGAATTGAACCAAACTTGGCACACAGTTCTCCTGTGACCAACAGAAAATACTGGAAGGGTTTGGTTGGCAGTGTCCTTTGGTTTTGGAGCTGTAGTTCACCTACATCCAGAGATCACTGTGGACTTGAACAGTGACGGATATGGACCAAGCTCTACAGGAATACTCAATATGTCCAAATGTGAACACTGGTGGAGTTTGGGGAAAATAGAAACTTTACATTTGGGGGTTGTAGTTGCTAGGATTTATAGTTCACCTTCAATCACAGAGCATTCTGAACCTCAGCAACGATAGAATTGAGCCAAACCTCCCACACAGAACCCCCACGTAGGCCACAGCAACGCGTGGCAGGGGACAGCTAGTGCTATCATACAAGGCATGCTGGGCATTAATTCATGCCTCCTACTTTGGCATGACTTTTTGCCAGAGAGAGGCAGAGCTTGTTACGATAAGTCCTTGCTGGACCAAATATATGTGTGTTGAAGAAAAACCTTATTGTGTTTAATTATCATGTACAGCTGGAAATGTAGGTCAGCCAGCAAGCCTGGGTGTCACCCAAGGGGCTAGATCTATTTGAGTTTTCTTGAATACATTCTGGAGTAGCAGCATGGAGTTCCAGCAGTAGATCCTGAAGGAGAGCTTGTGGAGAGCCTTTTCTCTGAGGAGACCCATGGACAAAGGCTTTGCTCTGGGGAGCAGTTTGGAGAAGCTACTCTGAAGGAGGCTATGGTGAAATAGCTATTGACTTCAAGGTTTATTTTGATCTCCCATTTGTTGTAAGATGAAGATGCCTTATTTTGTGTAAAGTTTGTTGCACTGCTTGTTGTTGTATGCAACATAGCCAGTTTATGTTTTCATCTCTGCTGAGTAAAGAGTAAAGATTTTTCTGTTCACTTTTACTCCAGTCTGTGAGTCGTTTGCGTTTGGGCTTTGGGCACTGGGACGATGGGCAAAACGTTCCTGTGTAACAGAGCTGGCCACATGGATTGTGTCCGTTACAATCCCTCCTCCCTTGTCTCTTGCAGGAGTTTTGCCTCTTTGCCGTAGTGGGTTTGGTGTCCGACTTCTTTCTCCAGATGTTCTTTTTCACCACCGTCCTCTCCATTGACATTCGACGGATGGAGGTAAGATTCTGCCCTTTCACGTGGAATGTTCTTTCTTGGCTACGTTTTTTCGTTTGGCGTCACCAGGAGGTGACTTCAGGGAGTCCATTCAGAAATCCAGCACCAAACACATCTTTTGCACTTTAATCCTGGTCTGTAACCTGCCATAAGTCACAAATGTCTTAAAAACTTAGCAGGGCAACAAATATTATAGTATATTATATCACAACCCACTTTTTCCCAGACCAGGAATTGGGCGAGTGGGCTTATTAACGAAAGACCCTCCCCATAAATGTACAGCAGAGTAACTTAGCAGCCGCATGACCCAGCACCAGTATCCCAAAAGTGAGAAAAAGAACAAAAACACACAAACCAATGTTATATCCTCCTTTTGAGGCTTTTCTTTATATGGTTGCACTATTTATAAGAAAAAGGTTTTGATGACATAAATAAAGTTTAGCCTCCACACTGGAGCTTCACACATGAGGTCTTCTCATACCGAGGCCTACCTCACACTGTGAGGCCTTCTCACAGACTGAGACCTACCTCACACTGTGAGGCCTTCTTTCACAGACTGAGGCCTGCCTCACACTGTGAGGCCTTCTCACAGACTAATGCCTACCTCACACTGTGAGGCCTTCTCTCACAGACTGAGGCCTACCTCACACTGTGAGGCCTTCTCACAGACTAATGCCTACCTCACACTGTGAGGCTTTCTCTCACAGACTGAGGCCTACCTCACACTGTGAGGCCTTCTCTCACAGACTGAGGCCTACCTCACACTGTGAGGCTTTCTCTCACAGACTAAGGCCTACCTCATACAGTGAGGCCTTCTCACAGACTGAGACCTTTCTCCTAGTGAGGTGTTCTCTCACACAGGCTCCTCTCACACTGAGGCATTACTAAGCAACAGGCACACCTGCTTATACTGAAGTACAGCTTTTGCTAAGTCATTGCATCCATTTAACCCTTTCCATACTTGACTCGCATTTTTGTAATTAAAAATACCTAGTTAATTTTTACATTTCTGACAAGAATTAGGATCCCTTGCGTAAGGCATGGTTTTAAACTTTAATTAAACTGTAAAAGTGGTTTAAACATGACTTAGTCTGTGAGAATGCAAATGGTGCAAGGAAAGGACCTGAGGTTGTTAGGAATTGTGGGAGTTGGAGTCCAAAACACCTGGAGGGAAGGCCAACATTTGTCTATGCCTGAATTAGACCCTTCAAAATGCCCCATGCATATATCATGCACTAACAAGGAAGGATACTCTACTAGCCAGATCCACCATTCTTCTATGATGCATCTTGTGAAGACACTCAGTGCTGGTGTTGCGGTTCTCCTGCCTCCTGATGCGATCTGCTTCCCTTCTCTTGGCAGCTGGCAGACCTGAACAAGCGTCTCCCGGCCGAGGCCTGTGTGGCCCCCGCCAAGCCCTCAAGCGGCTGCCAGCGCTACGAGCGACAGCCGGCCATGCGTCCCGCCACCCTGCACACCATCACCCTCCAGCCCTCCTCCTTCCGGAACCTGCGCCTCCCCAAGCGCCTGCGGGTGATCTACTTCTTTGCCCGGACTCGGCTGGCCCAGAGGCTCATCATGGTATTGCCCTGTTATTCGAGGGACCTTCAAGGGAGTGGGAGGCAGTTGGATCCAGGGTTCAAAGGCTCTGCTGCAGGACCAAGGGGAAGGCTTTCTTTGCCAACAGAACGAGAGCAAGGAAGGGGCCAAGCCAAGCCGCTCTGGGGAACAAGCTCCATAATCTGAGAGCCGCCACTATTAAGGCCACCTTCTTTGTGTTAGGGAAAACTACCCTAAAATAGGGCAGAGCATCCAAAAACATAAACAGGATACTGTTGCACTCCAGGACAGGAATAATCCTCTGACTTTAAACACATTGAATAGGAAAAAACAATTATTTTATTGAAAATAAGTAAAAAACAGTAAAGCAAAAACACTTTAAAGAAATTGGTAAATCCAATTAGGTAAGAATATTTATTTATTTATTGTGTCAGGTGCAGACCAAACAGTTGCATTGCATTTTTTAACAAACAAACAAACAAAACACAAAGTTTGCAAGCTTGGTAGTGGATTAAATGTCCTTTGACCAGTATATGGACACTTGGGAGTGCCTCTGGTGTTGCCGCAAGAAGGTCCTCCCTTGTGCATGTGGCAGGGCTCAGGTTGCATTGCAGCACGTGGTCAGTGGTTTGCTCTTCTCCACACTCGCATGTCATGGATTCCACTTTGTGGCCCCATTTCTTAACGTTGGCTCTGCATCTCGTGGTGCCAGAACGCAGTCTGTTCAGTGCCTTCCAAGTTGCCCAGTTTTAGGTAAGAAAATAAGCAGGAACAAGTTAGTCCAAGGTAGAGTTCAGCAAAGTCCATAAAAGCAAAGTCCACACAACTCTAATACAATCCAGAAAATCAGGAATACATTGATCCAAGGCTTGGATAAACAATCATGAAATTCAAGAATCAAAACCTTGAAACAATTATTATTTATTTATTTCTGGTATTTCTACTCCATCTTTTCTCTACCCCCAAAGGGGGACTCAGGATGGCTTACATTTAGTAACGGTACAAGGCCGCTACATAACAAGAAACAAATATCTTAACATGAATCTTTAAAGCAAGGCTTCCATGAACAAGGACAAAAACTTGGTGTGATTCTAAATGATACTTCATCTGACTACACATTCCAAACTTGAGACTTTTATCCCCTCGTTAGCTAGGTCACTAGCGGTCAGAAATTGGTTTCTCTTTACTTGAGGCTTTGTTATTGTTTTCTGTCAAACCCTGGCAGAGCGCCGAATAATAATAATAATAATAATAATAATAATAATAATAATAATAATAACAACCTTTATTTGTACCCCGCTACCATCTCCCCATGGGACTTGGTTCAGCTTACATGAGGCCAAGCCCAAAATACATCAAACATCAATAACACAACATTAATAAAGCAATCAATAAAATACAAATCATATAAATCACATAACAAAACAACTATCAGTAGTGACATATAAACAGTTTTAAAATGGCTGGGCCAAATGTAATAGATTAAAATTGAAAATATGCTGACGTGAACAGGTAAAAAAATCTATCTGGATCGGATTTTTCAGAGAGAAACAAGGGAACAACAATCCATCCTAAGTCAGTATTAAAGTGCATTATGAGGGCATATTGCTGAGAGTTCTCCTAATCTGGGAAGGCACACTGGGACAGCCGAAGCCATTGTTCAGCTCTCCTGTTTTGACTGATCTCTTCTCATCTATCTCTTGGCTTTGTTATCTACTTGCTCATTAATTTTCGCAGCTGGGCAAGGTGCCGAGCTATTTTCATGTTCTCTCTCATGAGAGCTCTCTGGTAACAATTCAGAGAGCACACCATCATCCCCACACCCCTCAGGGACATTCTCCTGGGAAACTACAGGGATCTCCAGGTCATTCTCTGCATCAATATCACTGACCAAACCATTGATGTCTTGAAACTCACCTTGAACCTCATTAACACCATTCCCCACATCCAAAGCACCCTGATCCTGAAACACAATCACAGGCTGAACAGATACCAAAATTGAGCATTCAGCTCATTAGCAAGCAGAGCGTGAAGTGCCGTGTGATGTGGCTGCAAAGAATTCAGAGCTTAGGAGGCAAACATGCAGAGTCCAATTATCTATCTATACACATAATAAAAGTGAAAATGTGCATATGTGGAGGAGGTCTCCACTTACACCGACAGTCTCCTGAATCCACGCACAGACTATAGTTCCAAGTGCTGATAATCCTCCGAAGGCACTCACTCAACCAACATTGCAGGTTATAGTGAGCGCGGTGAACATGTCGCCCAACCCCTGCCAATGTCCTCTCCAAACACCAGCCTCCCAAGGAATGTTTTCATTTGGGAGCCATTGCATCCTAGATGTTCTGGTTTTTTCTCCAGAATTATTACCATACTTCCCAAAACAAACAATGCCTTTCTCAAGTAACCCGGGCATCGCCGGGTTTCCAAGCTAGTTTACAATAATAAGAACTAACTACATTTCTTAATAATCAAAGAACTGAGCTACTCCAACACCCATCTCGTCTAAGGTTTCAAGAGAGGGAAAATCATCCAATCACGACATCTCTCCTGACACGCAAGCAGAGAGAGATCTCAAAGCACACAGCACATACTCTCCGTACTAAAAGTGTAAGAAGGCAGATTCAAAAAACTTGCAGTAGAAAAGCATCCATTTTAAACAACCAATCAGAATGAGAACTGAAAGAGAGAAGAGAAGAAATTAGATTCATTCCAACTGTCATACAGGAGACATGGGGGAAGGGAATTCCCTCAACCTACACTAAACTAACTTAATGCTCCTCACTGAGGACTTGTGACTTGGGCAGTGTGGGGTTGAATTCCAACACTTTGTTCCCACCAAACATGGCTGGGTAGGTAGTGCGATCTCTCCTTGGAGTGTTGTGTGGTTTCTGGGCTGTATGGCCGTGTTCTAGCAGCATGTCCTCCTGATGTTTCACCTGCATTTGGGGCTGACATCTTCAGGAGAAAATGCTGCTAGATCATGGTTGTAACACTGCCTCTTTGCCTCCACAGACTGGGACCGTGGTCTGGATCGGGATCCTGTTTTACACAGACCCAGCGGGCCTCCGCCCCTACCTGGCCTCGCAGGTGACGGAGCAGAGCCCCCTGGGAGAGAGCGGCCTGCCCGCCCTGCCGGTGCCTGTCCCCGGAGAGGTCCTTCCCACTGGCGGGGACGCCAAGCTCTCCCTCGCCATCTTCCCTCCGGACCCTGTTCAGCAGCTGTCCAGGAACCAGACGCTGGAGTCCCTGAGTCGGCAGGAGGCCGGTCTCCGGACCGAGGAGGAAGAGGAGGAGGTCCAGCAGCGGCAGAGGAGGACCAGCAGCCGGCAGACGGAGCTGGACCCCAAGGCAGAGGTGACCTGGGGAGCCGAGGATGAGGAACTCTGGAGGAGGCTCTCCTTCCGGCACTGGCCCTCCCTCTTCAGCTATTACAACCTCACGCTGGCCAAACGGTGAGCAGCACTGCGCCTGCGGACAGAGAGAGAGCCGGGCTACAGCTCTGTGTTTCAGTGCAAGAAGGAAGGGCAGAGGGAGGGAAAGGACCTGGCAGCAGACTATTAAATTTGCACCTTGGTGGGCTTTGGTTCACTGTCTTAGGTCCCTTCTACACTGCCATATAATCCAGAATATCAAGGCAGATAATGCACATTGGAGCTCCCCATGGCGCAGTAGGTTAAACCACTGAGCTGCTGAACTTGCTGACCGAAAGATTGACAGTTCATATCCAGGGAGTGGGGTGAGCTCCTGCTGTTAGGCCCAGATCCTACCAACCTAGCAATTTGTATTGAGGTGTTTATTTACTGTTTTGATTTGGTTTGATTTGTTTCTATTGTTTACTAGCCGTCCGCCGCCAGACGTTGCTGTGGCCCGGTCTGTTTTGTGTGTGTGTGTATATATATATGTGGTTTTGCTCATGCATTATAATGTTATCATTTTTATTTTTATTTTTTTGGCTTTTTTAGTCCCTTCCACTGTGTTTTTCAGTGTTTTATGAGTGATGGTCACTTGTAGGTCTGATAGGTATCTTGTGTCCAAATTTGGTGTCCATTTGTCCAGTGGTTTTAGAGTTATGTTAGCCCCACAAACGAACATTACATTTTTATTTATATAGGTTATGGCATTGAATGTGGGCCATCTTTTGTTGGAATTCACCCTGAGTCCCCCTAGGGCAGTGGTTCTCAACCTGGGGTCCCCAGATGTTTTTGGCCTACAATTCCCAGAAATCTTAACAGCTGGTAAACTGGCTGGGATTTCTGGGAGTTGTAGGCCATCTGGGGACCCAAGATTGAGAAGCACTGCCCTAGGGAGACAGGGCGGACTATAAATAAAGGTTATTATTATTATTATTATTATTATTATTATTATTATTATTCTAGCTACTACAGCTAACTACAAACATACATCACAAAGCACAAACCGGAAAACGAAACACATACCTAGAACACTTACCTGCAAGGAGGGGACTCTTCAGATCAGTTGTGCTCCTCTAAGATGTTCCAGTGAAGCTGTTCTGCTTCTCCCACTCTCGGCCATCTTCTATTTTCCCTTTGTTTGTGTTCAATGCAGATACATCAGCATCCTTCCTGTGATCCCGGTCACGCTGTACCTGGACCCGCAGGAGGCCTTAGAGGCCCGTCACCCTCACGATGCAAATCGCTACCAGACTTTCTTCTCGTTGAGCGGCGGGAAGCCGGAGAAGGCGGACCCTCTGGCGGAAGGCACGGCCAAAGTGCAGGCCCACCGAGACGTCACTCTTTACAAGTGAGAGAGAGAAGGGCGGGGGAGCCTGGGAGTGGGTGAGAGTTGCAGGCATCACACCGGGACATTTTTGCTGCCTTGCTCACTTGTAAAGGGCTTTAGGCTGTTAGAAATGGTGGGAGTTGGAGTCCAAAACAGCTGGAAGGAGTGTCCAAGTATGCCCATGCCTACTGTAGCTTTTTCCAAAGTGGAGCTATAACGTACAACACTTAGGCTCAGACATCCGCTCCCCGGGAATTGATTCCGAGGCCAGTCCAGTTGCCTCCGCCTGGACCTGTTGCCTTTGTGCCCGGCCTCACTTCTCCCCCGTTTCCGCTCCAGGGTGGCTGCTCTGGGCCTGGCGTCCGGCATCCTGCTGGTCCTCCTGCTTTTCTGCCTCTACAAAGTCCTGTGCCCCAAAAACTACGGGCAGAACGGCCCTTCCCACAGCCGCCGGAGGAGAGGGGACCTGCCTTGCGACGACTACGGCTACTCCCCGCCCGAGACGGAGATCATTCCCTTGGTCCTCAGGGGCCACCTCATGGTAAGCAGCCGGGAAGGGGTCAAGGCTGAAGCAGTCACTTCACTGAGGCAATCCCTCCTAGCTCGAGGATGATGGTCCTCCAGATGTGGTGTCCTGGCAGTGGGTCCGTAGGTAGCTGTGGAGCCCTATTCTAGATCCACATGTTCCCCCGCAGTGAGGACATCGGTTTCCAGACGGAAGGCGGTCCCAACAAGGGTTGGCTTGATGCAGCTTCTTTCTCTTGGCACGTTTCTCCCTTTCACCATCCATTCGTGCCTCTTTGAATTCTGCAGCACTGCTGGTCACAGCTGACCTCCAGTTAGAGCACTCAAGGGCCAGGGTTTCCCAGTTCTCTCTTGGTGTTTCTGCCACAGTTTTAAAGCCTGGCTTCAAGCTCATCTTTAAATCTCTTTTCCTATCCACCAACATTACGTTTCCCATTCTTGAGTTGGGAGCAGAGTAACTGCTTTGGGAGACAGTGATCAGGCATTCAGACAGCACAGTTGATGGCGTAATGTGATGGTGTTCTAGACACTAGGATGTGTCAAGAACACTCAGAGGAAGGCCATGGCCAACTTGGTTCCTGCTGATCTCCTTTTTTCCACTTATAGGCTGTTTATTTCCCAGCTTTGTATTGAAATCCAGGATGGTGCTCTCTCTTTGCAAGCCTTCCTGGGAGTTCCCCAAAGGGCAGCCTGTCACTCCTTCTTCTCTGTGGCTCATGCGCTTGACCGGCTCCTTCCCCTCTTTTCCTCAGGACATTGAATGCCTGGCCAGTGATGGGATGCTGCTGGTCAGCTGCTGCTTGGTGGGCCAGATCCGGGTCTGGGACGCTCAGACGGGCGACTGCCTCACAGTCATTCCAAAGCAAGGGTACGTCGGTGCAGACACAACCTCATAAAGGTTGCTTCTGAGTTGTTGTTGTCTTTCATACAGGCATGGGCAGACTTCAGCCCTCCTATAGGTGCTTTGGACTCCAACTCACACAGTAAATTTTCTGTGTAAGTGGATGCCCCAGCCACATACACACATACATATTTTCCCTTTTATTTTGTGTACTAGTTTGGGGACCCTGCGGTGCCCAGGTTATTTGAGAAAGGCATTGTTTGTCTGTGCTCCAAGTTTAGTCTAGATCCAATGTAGGCTGAGTTCAGTGGGTGCGGGTGAACTACAACTCCCATATGCTAGTCCCATTGCCCATCCTTCCCCAAACCGCACCAGGATGTAGAGTGTGACATGGGGGCTCTGTGTGACAAGTTTGGTTTTTATCAGTCATTGGTGTAGGTCTCAGTGGTCTCAGGAAGTGAGTAAAAGTACTACAAGTCCCATCATCTATAGTCCGTCATTTCACAAACCACATCTGGATATAGAGTGGGTCATGCCGCCAAGCTTGGGCTTGATCAGTCATTGGTGTGGGTCGCAGTGGTCTCGGGAAGTGAGTGAAAGTACTCCAAGTCCCATCGTCTATAGTCTGTCATTACACAAACCACATCTGGATATAGAGTGGATCATGGTGCCAAGCTTGGTCTTGATCAGTCATTGGTGTGGGTCGCAGTGGTCTCAGGAAGTGAGTGAAAGTACTCCAAGTCCCATTGTCTATAGTCTGTCATTACACAAACCACATCTGGATGTAGAGTGGGTCATGCCGCCAAGCTTGGTCTTGATCAGTCACTGGTGTGGGTCGCAGTGGTCTTGGGAAGTGAGTGAAAGTACTGCAAGTCCCATCGTCTATAGTCTGTCATTACACAAACCACATCTGGATGTAGAGTGGGTCATGCCACCAAGCTTGGTCTTGAACACTCATTGGTGTGGGTTGCAATGTTCTCAGGAAGTGAGTGAAGATACTGCCTGTCCCATCCTTCATGGTTGTGCATGGTCCACCCGCCTTCCAACCACACCAGGATTTAGAGTAGGTCATGAGTGCTCTGTATGCTAAATTTGGTCCTGATCTGTCAATGGTGGGGGCTGCAGTAGTCTGTAAGAGCTGAAGTGATGGAAAGTACTGCAAATCTCATAATCTGTGGTCCATCCTCCCCCAAACTGCACCAGGATGTAAAGTGCGTCATTGGGGTTATGTGTGCCAAGTTTGATCCAGGTCTGTCGTTTGTGGTGGTCGCAGTGGCTTGTGGAACTGGGAGGCAATCAGAAAGCTGCCACATAGACACAAACCCACATTGATAGACAGACAGACAGATAGATATGTACTTCAACACACAATTTCAGAAACAATTCTGCAAACTTCACTCACTGTCTTATTTTTCCTTTATTGCTGTTTTTGCAATATGACCCAGGCCTGGGCCACTCCCTCCAGGTGTTTTGGACTTCAATTCCCACCATTCCTCACAGCCTCAGGCCCCTACCTTTTTTAAGCGGCTGAGGGGAAAAAGGAAAGGGCCTGAGGCTGTGAGGAATGGTGGGAGTTGGAGTCCAAAACTCCTGGAGGGAGGGCCTGATGTAATAATGACCTCCGTTCTGTTGCAGGCTCCGCCGAGACCACAGCGGGGTCTTTGACTACCCAGAGGCTTGGGACCACAGCCCTGAGAGCGGCCCCGAGGATCCCTTGGAGGGGCCCCGCCTGTGCAAGAGGGCCCGCAGCCCCCCGCAGCCCCCGCTCTTCAGCGACCAGCCGGACCTCTCGTCACTCATCGACACCAACTTCCTGGAGCAGGCCAAAGCGGGCGGTCCCGAGCCCCGGCACCGGACTGTCTGCGGCCGCCAGAGAGAGGCGGGCTACGACTTCTGCAGCCTGGTGGAGAAGGCCTGCGAGGAGCAAGGGGCCCCCAACTGCCTGAGCGCCCTGGGCTTCTCGGCCCCTCGTGGACCCCCGGAGGGACGGAGCGCAGCCCCCGGTTGCAGGGCTTTTGAGGAGGAGGAGGAGGAGGAGATGGGACAGTGGGGCCGCCGGCGGAGCAGCCTGGGCGAAGAGCCCTGCCCTGCAATGGAGAGGGCCCCGGGGCCTCCTTCTTGGGGAGCGGGGGACCTGGAGAGCTCCATCTGGAGCCTGGAGCTGCAGGGGAACCTCATCGCAGCCGGACGCAGCAACGGGAGGCTGGAGGTGAGGACCAGTGGTCAAGGAAAGCAGGAAAGGAGGGGTCCTTGGGGCCAGGGTGCAGGGGCTCTGTTGCCAAGGCAGAGCTTTCCAAAACACTTCACTTTTTGGACGTGCAGTGTTTAACAACACAAGTCATTCAGCTTTGCAAAAATTGTCAGAAATGTGGAGATCGTAGGATCATAGCGTTGAAAGAGACCACCTGGGCCATCTAGTCCAACCCAACCCATCTCTGGTATGATGAGGCCCATAGGCAGAGAGTTCCACTGTTGAACAGCTCATATGGTCATAAAGTTCTTCCTAATGTTCAGGTAGAATCTCCTTTCCTGTAATTTGAACCCATTGCTCCTTCAAGAGCAGCAGAAAACAAGTTTGCTCCCTCTTCCTTATGACACCCTTTCACAAACGAGTACATGGCTCTCCTGTCTCCTCTCAGCCTTCTCTTCTGCAGCTAAACAGACCCAGTTCTTTAAGACGCTCCTTATAGGGTATTCATGGTCTCCTGGCAGTAAAACTTCCTGGTGGTAAAAGCTGTTTGGAAGCTGCTAAGAAGTCTGATGGAGTTTCCTTCTCTGAAGATTTTCAGAACAGTTGTTTGGATGGTCACCTGCCTGTAGGGCTTTGATTGTGCCTTTTCTGCCTGGCAAAAGGGGATTCGACTAGATGGCCCTTGGGAGTCCCTTCCAACTCTGTGGAACCCTGGCAAACTGCCCCTGCTCTTCAGGGGTGACCTTGTATTGGACTAGATCAGGCATGGGCAAATTTCGGCCCTCCCTCGAGGTGTTTTGGACTCCAACTCCCAGGAGGCTGTCAGGAATTGTGGGAGTTGAAATCCAAAACACCTGGAGGGAGAGCTGAAGCTTACCTATGCCTGGACTAAATTGTCCAGCAGGTTATTTCTCGTGTCAGGGCGGCCAGTCAATTATATTGCATTTCTAACAGAACAAAGCAAACAAACAGAGAAAATACAATATGTGTGAGTTTGGTAGTTGATTAAATGTCCTTTGACCAGTATCCGGCCCCTTGGAGTGCTTCTGGTGTTGCTGCAGGTGGTCAGTGGTTGGCTCTTCTCCACACTCGCATGTCGAGGATTCCACTGTGTGGCCCCATTTCTTGAGGTTGGCTCTGCATCTTGTGGTGCCAGAGCGCAGTCTGTTCAGCGCCTTCCAAGTCGCCCAGTCCTCTGTGTGCCCAGGGGGGGAGTCTCTCATTTGGTATCAGCCATTGGTTGAGGGTTTGAGCCTGCCACTTTTGGACTCTCGCTTGCTGAGGTGTTCCAGCGAGTGTCTCTGTCCAGCAGGTTGGCTCTTGGCAACAGGAGAGTTCACTGAGCCACATCTGCCTTTGCTGAAGAGACAAGAGGAGGGAGGCCAAGTGGCCCTTTCTTGGAAGGGTCAGGTGTCCAGGGAGGATTGACTCCGTTCCTCCCTCCTTAATGCCTTCCGTCCTTCCTTGCAGGTGTGGGATGCCATTGAGGGCACACTCCGTTGCAGCACCGAGGATGGCCAGTCCGGCATCACCTCCCTGGTCTTCCTGAACGGCAGGTAATAGCCTTCCTTCCTTCGTTCCTCTCCCAGTGAGGCCTCAATGGTGGACCTGGGAATGGGGTGAAGATGCTGCAGCAGCGAAGGATAGTTTAGCTTGCCTTCATCCAGTGTAATATCCAGGATGAGGGGAGTGATAGTCCCCCTGTGTTGTGCACCACTCTCCTGGAGTCCTGGGCCCCTTTTAGGGATATAGACAAGTGGGAGCCCATCCAGAGAAGGCCAACAAGTGGGATACGAAGGAGGGAGAACAACACCGCATCAGGAGAGGTGGAGGGAGCGGGGCAGGTTCAGCCTAGAAGAGGAGAGACCCCAGAGAGGGCCTGATTCCCATCTTGGAATGCCTTCAGAGCTGGAGGGCCAGGCCTAAGGGCTTGGATTGACCAGTGGTTGCCAACCTGTGGGGCCCCAGATGTTTGGACCTTCACCTCCCAGAAATCCAAACAGCTGGTAAACGAAACTGGCTGGGATTTTTGGGAGTTGTATGCCCAGACACCTTGGGACCCACAGGTTGAGAACCACTGCATTGGAAGGAGCTCCTTGTCAGTGAAGAATCATAGAATCATTGAGTTGGAAGAGACCTCATAGGCCATCCAGTCCAACCCCCTGCCAAGAAGCAGGAGCAGCTCAGCAATGCAGCCTTTGTCCTCAGTGATGCTGGGGTCTCCTCCTTCCTCCGAATGTCTTCAAAGAGAGAGGCCAGGCTGCTTCCTGCTGCGGGTGCTTTCCTGGGAGACCATGCATTGAGCAGGTGGTTGGACTACAGACCCCAAGGAACCCTTCTTTGCCCTATTTATCATGTCAGGAGCGAACAAAACAGTTGCATTGCGTTAAAAACAAACAAAACACAACATTTGCAAAATTGGTATTTGACCAGTAGCAGACCCCTTGGAGTGAGTGCCTCTGGTGTTGCTGCAAGAAGGTCCTCCCTTGTGCACGGAGCACAATTGCCCTTTAACTACATGAAATATTTTAGCTGGAATCCAATTGCTTATTGAGTATTTCAAGATGGGTTTCACATTCGTTGTTTTCAGGAGAGCGTTGAGAGGGCTTTGAAAGGGCTTTCAGCCTTAGAAGTGGGTTCTGGAACAGTACAGATAATGGAAATGCATGCATGTGTGTGTTGGTTTCACATTGGTTGTTTTCAGGAGAGTGTTGATTGAGATTGCTTTAAAAGGGCTTCTGGGCTTCGAAGTGGGTTCTGGAACAGTCCAGATAATGGGAATGCATGCATGTGTGTGTCTTGCCTTTGTATCCTTGCCATAGGATTGTTGCTGCCCGGCTGAATGGCTCCTTGGACTTCTATTCCTTGAGGACGCACTCCTCCCTGGATCACTCCCAGTTCCGAGGTGAGAGAGATGGGTTCATTCGTGCCGAGCACTCTCCTGCATCCAGACCCCCATTCCACCTGCACTTTTTCCTGCTCCCCAATAGCACAAGGAGTCTGTTTTCGTACTCCTGATGTTCAACTGGAGCCCCCGCTGGCGCAGTGGGTTAAACCACTGAGCTGCTGAGCTTGTTGACCGAAAGGTCACAGGTTCAAATCCGGGGAGCGGTGTAAGCTTCCGCTATCAGCCCCAGCTTCTGCCAGCCTAGCAGTTTGAAAATATGCAAATGTGAGTAGGTGAATAGGTATTGCTCCGGCAGGAAGGTAACGGCGCTCCAAGCAATCATGCCTGTGGCCACATAACCTTGGAGCTGTCTACGGACAACGCCGGCTCTTTGGCTTAGAAATGGAAATGAGCACCAACCTCCAGGGTTGGACACAACTTGACTTTATGTCATGGGAAACGCTTTACCTTTACCTTATGTTCAACTAGGTTTCCAGAATCCCCATTTCCTGGCAGAGAATTGTCTCTGCTTCCAAGAACAGCAATTCCCCCGCTTTAAATAATACGATTTCAGCCTAACATCAAAAATATCCATTATCCAAATGCAGTGGACACAATTCAGTAGCCAGTAGTTTCCAACCTTTGGTCCTCCAGTTGTTTTGGATTTCAACTCCCTTCGGTCAAGATGGCTGGGACTTTTGGGAGGTCAGGCCTCAAGCATCTGGAGAACTAAGGATGGGGGCCATGTTGGAGCTGTTTGCAATTTGTAATGTAGATTCCAAAGTATGTATGTGTTTAAAATGTAGTAGCTTTGTGCCGAGTGTATTCCTGTGTGGAAAGAGTTAACTGTACCATGGAGGGAACAGCATTCCTAGAGAGGTCATAAATCAAGTGAATAGAGCAAATGGACACAGCTTGCATATGTCATACATCACTCTGGAATGCAGGAGGTGTGGACTAGTGCTGATAACAGTGTTTGTGATGCTACGATCAGTCAGAAGGAAGCAAGTTTTATGATGTGCTGAGTGTTAAGTAATACAGCTGTAAATAAAGTAGTTTATAGCCTAAGGTGGCTGTGATTGATCTGTTTCCTGCCTTGCTGTGCGACTGATGCCACTCACAAACCACTGCAGCTTGTCCTCAGCATAATCTAAAAATATCCCTATTTGGACGCAAGCAATCAGAGCACAACAGAATAGTAGCAATACAGGCAGCATATGCAAGGTGCAATGGCCAGGGAGTCAAAGAAAACATAGTGATCATTGTGTCATGGCTTGCATGGTGCCCAGTGTGTCATTTGGGCAACCTCATGCTGCACAGTTCTTATTACCACCATTTTTTTGGCATAATTCATTCATAGTATGCTACTGAGATCTTTGTGCTGCGTGTGCAGCAACTATTCCATCTGCTTTCCTTCCTTCCTTCCTGAATTCAGACACTGGTCTTGGGCTTACCCTGGACTACTTTGTTCCTGCTTATCTTCCTACATAATTGGATTTACCTATTTCTTTAAAGTGTTTTTTTACCTTTTTGCTTATTAATTATCTTCAATAAAGGGATGGTTTTCCATCTAACAGTGTGGTGTTTAAAGTCAGAGGGCTTTTCCTGTCCTGGCCCTTTCCTTTTCCTTTGGCCCTCCCTCCAGGTGTTTTGGACTTCAACTCCCACCATTCCTAACAGCCTCAGGCCCTTTCCTTTTCCCCCTCAGCTGCTTAAGCGGCTGAGGGGGAAAAGGAAAGGGCCTGAGGTTGTTAGGAATGGTGGGAGTTGCAGTCCAAAACACCTGGAGGGAGGGCTGAAGTTTGCCCAGGAGAGTGTTCCCTGGGAAAGGCCCACGCCAAGCTCACCTGTCCTTCCTTCCTGTCTCTCAGGTGCGCCAGGGAGGAGCAGCCTTCCCCCGCCCCCCATGTACAGCAGCGGCGACCTCCTGTCCTGCCAGCTGACCCACACGGTCACCTGCGCCCACCAGAAGCCCATTACCGCCCTGAAGGCCGCAGCCGGGCGCCTGGTGACGGGGAGCCAGGACCACACTCTCCGGGTGAGTAAGAGGTCGGCTGTCAACGTGGGCGTCACTCCAATGCGGTGAGACCCAAAGTGGTTCACAGCCTTAAGAGACTATACAATTTAAACGCTAGTCAAAGATGAAGAAAAATGAGAGATTTCTAGCTGCTGCAATGGCGGCGGATGAAAGGATCTGAGGCAGTAGCCCCTCCCACTGGCTATATATATATATATACTCTCAAGGGGAGAGTGGGCGGGGCTACCATCTAAAAGTGTGTAATAAGTTTTGTAGAAGATTCCGAACAGCGGGAAATACCATATGTGCGATTCACAGGGACCACGATGGGGAATGTAGACAATTCAGTTTTAGGGTGATTCAAGGAGAACTGGAGGTGATCCCTATAATAACTACTTAATATTACACGATCCCACACCGCTGCAAACCAATTATAATAACTACTTAATGGCCGTCTGGGCAGRAGGTCAAACAATCCCACCGCTGCCCCACCAATTATAATAACTAGGCAGATGGCAATACGATCAATCTCACCATCTGACACCAATTATAAAGGCAGGCTTTATGGCCAAACAATATGACTGGACAGGGGGCAAACAGATCCCACCAACTGTCCCTCTAATATAAAGAAGTTACACCACTAATATAGCACTTGAGGAGATGACTCTCTATTTAAAACCTTCGCTGCCACCATAAACCAAATGAACAGGAACCCTCTAGCTGGTTAAAGATATTAAAAGGCTTTTTAGACCATCAAGTATTGTGTKTTTTTTTAAAGGGTTTCTCTGAAGGGAAACAGGTGAGGTTGAATTAAAAAGAAAAGGGACTAAAACCACAAATGGCACTTGACTCAGGCTTAAGTTTCAAAAATAACAAGGAAAGTTTATTTGATATAGTACAGAAGAAAGTGAATGCAGTTTAATAGGCTKGGCTGTTACAGTTAAAAATGTTCTTGTTCTTAAAAGCGTAACGGTTGCATGAGAGAATGGTTCTATCTTTGTTACAAATATGAAACCCAGCTATTTCTTCTCTAAATAGCTGTATCCAGTTTGCCACAGCCTAATTCCCTGGCAAACTTCAGGCAAACTGCCTATTCTAATCAGGAACTCCTACAAGCTTCTCTAATCCTGCTCTAACTCGAACATCAACCAGAACTGAACTGAACTGACTAAAATAAGCTTCTTTCTTTCCCTCCAACAGTCTAACTCCGCCCCCCTTTAACAAACCAATCCTGGCTGTTTCAGGGCTGGCTCAGGCCTAGGCCACTCCCCCTCTCTGAACTGGAGCTTTCCCTAAACTAAAATGGCTCCTGCTGTTCTCTGCCAGGCCTTCTAAGCTGAAACTACCTAGCCTGTCTCTCCTAGGCCCTGCCACCCAGGCTGGCAAGGTAAGGGATCTTCACAATCCCCACTGGGGATCAGGGTCAGAGGACCCAATTATTTCTGTTGCTACTTCATCACGGTAATTTTGCTACTGTCATGAATTGTAATGTAAATATTTGATATGCAGGATGTATTTTTATTCACTGGACCAAATTTGGCACTAATACTCGATTCAACTAAATTTGAATACTGGTGTGGTTGGGGAGGGGATTTATATTGTCATTTGGGAGTTGTAGTTGCTGGGATTTATAGTTCATGTACAATTAAATAACATTTTGAGATCCACCAATGATGGAATCGAACCAAACTTGGCACATAGAACTCCCATGACCAAGAAAAATACTGGAAGGGTTTGGTGGGCATTGCCCTTGAGTTTTGGAGTTGTAGTTCAACATCCAGAGAGCACTGTGGACTCAAACAATGATAGATTTGGACCAAACTTGGCAGGAATACTCAACTTACCCAAATGTTAACACTTGTGGAGCTTGGGGAAAAAGAGACCTTGACATTTGGGAGTTGTAGTTGCTGGGATTTATAGTTCAGCTACCATCAAAGACCAACCATGGAATTGAACGAAACTTGGCACACAGAACTTCAATGACCAACAGAAAATACTTGAAGGGTTTGGTGGGCATTGACCTTGAGTTTGGGAGTTGTAGTTCACCTACATCCAGAGAGCTCTGTGGACTCAAACAATGATGGATCTGGATCAAACTTGCATAAATACTCAATATGGCCAAATATGAACACTGGTGGAGTTTGGGAAAAATAACCTTGATATTTGGGAGTTGTAGTTGCTGGGATTTATAGTTCACCTACAATCAAAGAGCATTCTGAACTCCACCAATGATGGAATTGAACCAAACTTGGCACACAGAACTTCAATGACCAACAGAAAATACTTGAAGGGTTTGATGGGTATTGACCTTGAGTTTGGGAGTTGTAGTTCACCTACATCCAGAGAGCTCTGTGGACTCAAAAAATGATGGATCTGGACCAAACTTGGCCGGAATACTCAATGTACCCAAATGTTAACACTTGTGGAGCTTGGGGGAATAGACCTTGACATTTGGGAGTTGTAGTTGCTGGGATTTATAGTTCACTTACAATCAAAGAGCATTCTGAACTCCACCAGCAATGGAATTGAACCAAACTTGGCACACAGAACTCCCATGACCAACAGAAAATACTGGAAGGGTTTGCTGGGCATCGAGTTTGGGAGTTGTCGTTCACTACATCCAGGGAGCACTGTGGACTCAAACAATGATAGATCTGGACCAAACTTGGGACGGATATTCATTATGCTCAAATGTGAACATTGGTGGAGTTTGGGGGAAATAGCCCTTGACATTTGGGAGTTGTTGTTGCTGGGTTTTATGGTTTACTTATAAAGAGCATTCTGAAACCCACCAACAATAGAATTGGGCCAAACTTCCCATACAGAATCCCCATGCCTTGAAGGGACTGGCTGCTGTGAGCCTCTCTCCAGCCTTGCACGCTCTACTCTCGCTCATACATGCGCACCATACTGCCATGTGCTGAACATGCATGCTTAAAGTCTCAGAAAGAGCCCTCCCTTTAGCTGAGAGGCCGGCCAATCACAGCAGAGGAGGGCTTTTGGTGGAAGAATTTGCCATCTGTTTCCAAAAAGGAAGAGAAGGACAAGTGGAGAGATCTTCAGCCTTCTCTGCCAAAGGGATTCCTATGAACATATATGTTTTCTGATGGTCTTTGGTGAGGGGTCAAGAAAGACCATCAGAAAACATGTATGGTCTTAGGAGACCCCAGGGGTCCCAATCCCCAGGTTGAGAAACGCTGTTCTAGATGTTGTTGGGCTGCGACTTGCATTGTTTTCCTTTGGTTCAGCCAGAACCAACTTTCCAGCCAGAAAATACATTTTCCTCTTAAGTAGGACAAGTCATGATTTGTCTGAATCCTCCTCCTCCTCTTTGTCCTGTTTTGAATGTCTTTGAACCCGCTTCCCATCCTCACAGGTCTACCGCCTGGAGGACTCCTGCTGCCTCTTCACGCTGCAGGGCCACTCGGGGGCCATCACGGCCGTCTACATTGACCAGGTAGGAGGAGGTCTTTTGGGGGGGGCGGGGCTAGACTCCCTCTGGTCCGGCAAAGGGGGTCTGATGCGTTGCCTTTGCCTTCCAGACCATGGCTCTGGCCAGCGGGGGCCAGGACGGGGCCATCTGCCTCTGGGACGTGCTGACGGGGGCCCGGGTGGGGCACATGTACGCGCACCGCGGGGACGTCACCTCCCTGACCTGCACCGCCACCTGCGTCATCAGCAGCGGCCTGGACGACATCATCAGCATCTGGGACCGCAGCTCCGGCATCAAGCACTACTCCATCCAGCAGGTGAGAGAGATGAGGTCGAAGTACCCCAAAGGGACCAGATCTGGTCTCATCTTGGAAGTGGAGGAGGGTGCACCAACTATGCCCGTACCTTGGGAAGTCTGCCTTGGCCACGCTAGTCCATGCTCTGGTTACATCCTGTATAGACTACTGCAACACGCTCTACGTGGGGTTGCCTTTGAAGACTGTCCGGAAGCTTCAAATGGTCCAGCAGGCGGCAGCCAGGTTGCTAATGGGAGCAGCGCTCAGGCCTCTGTTGTGCCAACTCCACTGGCTGCCAGTTTGCTACCGGGCACAATTCAAAGTGCTGGCTTTAGCCTATATAATAATAATAATTATTATTATTATTATTATAAAGTCCTAAACAGTTCTGGCCCAGCCTACCTGTCCGCACATATCTCTCCCTATAAGCCAGTTAGGAATTTAAGATCTTCTGGGGAGGCCCTGCTCTCAATCCCGCCTTAATTGCAGGCGCGCCTGGCAGGGATGAGAGACAGGGCCTTCTCAGTGGTGGCTCCTCAACTGTGGAACTCTCTCCCATAGAATCATAGAATCAAAGAGTTGGAAGAGACCTCATGAGCCATCCAGTCCAACCCCATTCTGCCAAGAAGCAGGAATATTGCATTCAAATCACCCCTGACAGATGGCCATCCAGCCTCTGTTTCAAAGCTTCCAAAGAAGGAGCCTCCACCACACTCCGGGGCAGAGAGTTCCACTGCTGAACGGCTCTCACAGTCAGGAAGTTCTTCCTAATGTTCAGATGGAATCTCCTCTCTTGTAGTTTGAAGCCATTGTTCCGCGTCCTAGTCTCCAAGGAAGCAGAAAACAAGCTTGCTCCCTCCTCCTCCCTGTGGCTTCCTCTCACATATTGATACATGGCTATCATGTCTCCTCTCAGCCTTCTCTTCTTCAGGCTAAATATGTCCAGCTCCTTAAGCCGCTCCTCATAGGGCTTGTTATCCAGACCATTCAATATTAATTGAATGAATGAATGAATGAATGGTTTATTGTACTAGCCATAGGCCATGACATACATAATATACTAACATTATGAACAGTTTCCAATATAAACCTTAAAATGTAACAAGAATTAAAACTAAAACAAGTTCTTTAAAATTATGAAAGCAGAAACATGGCAATGACAGTGTCTGCTTTGTGTCATTCCAAACTGTTTCCATTTCTGACCCCCAGTATGGATTTTGGTGCTTTGGCTCTGATCTTTTGGGCTGCGATTGCGAATGTGGCAACCTTTAGTGTTATATTTTTAGAATGATCTGCTAGCAAGTCGCAGATCACCGCAGATTGTTGCCATGATGCCCTTTCTTCCAAGAGTGATCCTAGGAGATTTTTCCTAGGGTCATTGTACAAGGGGCAACGTAGCAAATAGTGTGTTAGGTCTTCTCTTTCCCCTGTGCCACAAATGCAAAGTCGTTGGGCATGGGGGATCCCTCTGTATCTTCCCTCTAGCCAGTTTGATGGCATTGTTTGGAATCGCAGGGCTGTCAATGCTTTCCTCAGGACCGCTGACGTTAGGTCTTGAAGATATTGTTGACGATATTGGTCACTTTTTAGCCAAGGATACCAGGTAGAGAAACCCTAACCATGAAACAGTGAGTCTGTGGAAAGCAAACTGCAAATCAGACGGGAACACTGTAAACCCTTTTGTGATTTTTTAAGATCAGACTCTGCATGTTATTATTATTATTATTATTATTATTATTATTATTATTAAACTTTATTTGTATCCCGCTAGCATCTCCCGCAGGACTCGATGCGGCTTACAAAGGCCAAGGCCTCAACACACAATACAACAATACAAACCTAGGCAAATTAAAAACAATTAAAGCAATCTAAAACAACAAGCAATGAGCAATCCACTAAGACACAATAAAACTGGGCCGGGCCAGAGTAAGGGTACAAGGGTTAAAAGTGCTGATGTGACAGGTGGAAATGAGGCTTATGGACGTGTGCAGTGTGCGGCGGTCTTGGCTTTAATAAAGTGCTTGTGGGACTTGGTAGTGGAGGTTTCCTATTCAGGAAAGGCACATCGGAACAGCCAGGTCTTCAAGTTCTTTCTGAAGACTGCCAATGTAGGGGCCTGTCTAAGATCTTTGGGGAGGGTGTTCCAGAGTCTGGGGGCCACCACGGAAAAGGCCCTGTCCCGTGTCCCCACCAAGCGCGCTTGCGACGCAGGTGGGATCACGAGCAGGGCCTCTCCAGATGACCGAAGTGAGCGTGTGGGTTCGTAGATGGAAATGCGGTCACACAGGTAGGATGGTCCCAAACTGTTCAGGGCTTTGTAGGTAAGCACCTGCACCTTAAATTGGGCTCGGAAAATAAACGGCAGCCAGTGGAGCTCCTTGATCAAGGAGGGTTGACCTCTCTCTGTAGGGAGCGCCAGTCAACATCCTGGCTGCTGCTCGTTGGACCAGTTGGAATTTCCGAGCCATTTTCAAGGGCAGCCCCACGTAGAGCGCATTACAGTAATCCACCCTAGAGGTGACCAAGGCATGGACCACTCCGGCGAGATCAGCCTTCGTTGCTTCCTAAGCTCTGAATTCTTTACATACATCCACATGACACGGCATTTCACGCTCTGCTTGCTAATGAGCTGATTTGCTCAACTTTTGTATCCTGTTTGTTTTTGGATGCTCTGCTGTATGTTTTAGCGTAGTTTTCCCTGATGGTAGGCTATGTCTGACCCCCAGACGAGTTGTGTCCTGCCTGCGTTTCGCCATCTCACCTGATCTCACCCGTTGTCGTCTCCTTTCCTTCCCTCAGGACATGGGCTGCGGGGCCAGCCTGGGCGTCATCTCGGACAACCTGCTGGTGACGGGGGGCCAGGGCTGCGTCTCCTTCTGGGACATCGGCTACGGGGACCTCCTGCAGACGGTCTACCTGGGCAAGAGCAACGAGGCCCAGCCCGCCCGCCAGATCCTGGTCCTGGAGAACGCGGCCATCGTCTGCAACTTCGGCAGCGAGCTCAGCCTGGTCTACGTGCCCTCCGTGCTGGAGAAGCGGGACTGATGCGGACGGGGGCAAGAGGCCCGGCAGCCGGCAGTCAGCCCTTCCGGGTCCTTGTCTGACCGAAGTGGATGATGGGAGAGCGCTTGAGAGGGAGGGCACACTGGCTGCCAAGGGTCATGGGAAGTCCCACTTGCAGAGGTGCAATGGGGTCGGCCAAGAGGCAAGGAACCCTCGCTACTCTGGAGGCATCTCTCCATGCTCTCGAGTCGAGATTATGAAGGAGAGGGGCGAGAGTCCTATGTGGACAAGAGGAGATCAAGGAGAGTCCACACTTGGCCCCTAGAATTGGCAGGTGCCCCAAAGAAGAGCCTCTCTCTCTCTCCCCGCTTTGGGACAGGAAGGGCTGCTTTGGCTGGCTCCCACCCTCCCTCTGCCCATTCCTACCCCTTCTGCCCCATATAGTCCTGGGATAGATCTTGGGCTCTGCTCTTGGAAGGCTTCTTGGGCCCCTTGTTGCATCAGGGGCCCTCCTGCCCCCTGGCAAAATGGCAGCTGGCTTTCCACCCTCCTTGCTTCTCCTCCTCTGGCCCATTCCTGTCCAGGGCTCCAGCCAGGTACACTTTTGGGGTCGACCTTGGGCTCTGCTCTTGGGAAGCTTCGTGAGCCCCTCATTGCCACCTCCCTCCAAGGGTGAGCCTATCCTGCTGCCTGCCATATTTATTTATGTCCTGTACATACTTATTTATTCTGGCCTATAATAAGCTCGGAAGGAGAGAGAGGGGTGGCGGCAGGGGATTCCAAAGCTGGCCCAGCGGTCAGGCCCAAGGGGAGCAGCTAGAGAGGCAATCCGTTCCTGGGCCAGTCTTGGCTTTGCAGATTCCAGTGATACACCCCAAGCAAAGGAGGAAAACAGGGTGGCCGGGAAGACAGGAAAGGGAGAGCGGAGCAAGAAGAGGCTTTACTACTTAAGTATTTAAAGCCACGGACTGACCACCTAGTTGGTGTCTTTGGTTGTTTTCGTTTAGGGCCCCTTCCTGTAGAAAGGACGCTTTGGGTCTAGCCTGCTGCATCCCTTTTCTGCCCCTTTTCCCATTCTGGACAATGGAGCAGCCCCCCATTCCTCCCCCCTGCTGATCCCTCTGGGCATTGTCTCCCACATCGCCCCCCCCCTCCCCCAATGCCTCAGGTGGCCTTAGCTCTGCTGTGCCCTTTTTGGACCGTACGGCGGGAGCGGCTTTTGTACCAGATTGTGTTTTATAACGTGGACAGGGACATTAAACAGAACTAACTTGACGGCTCTGGCGTGTCTTTGCGGGGAAACGGCCAGGAAGGCCTCTCGGGGTCTGGGTGACTTTGTGTTTAGACCATTATAAGCCCTGTTCCATAGTTGATGGTGGTTGGTGGTGGTAGAACTGGCAGTTGGTGATGGAAGGGTTAATGTAAGTTTTGGTTTTAAAGGGCTGAGTAGTTTGTAAGTAATGGTTTACAGGTAAAAGCAACTAAGGGTGGAGGCATGCAGGGGATTAGTTGCAGCTGGGTGTTACTGCATTCAAGGAGCTAACCTTGAGACTGATCTTTGGGAGAAAATATTCTGTCACGTTGCCAGGGCTCTGCCTTATTTAGGTAGAGATGAACCAAACTCCCAGTTTTATCAAACAGTTTAATTAAAACAGCACTTACTTGCGGGCTGTTTTAATAGACCAAAATATAAAACATAAAGAGCACTCAGCCACAGAATAAACAAAAACTGATTGCAAAAATAACTTCGTAGTCAAAAGCGTCCGGTCCAGTGGTCAAACGCCGAGAGTTCAATAAACAAAGTCCAGGGATTAAGAGTCTACACTGTAGTCAAAAGCCAGTCCAAAGGTTCAAGGTTACAGGGTTCCAAGATTACAGGAGACAGGTCAGGATACCAAAAATCCAACAGACCTGGGGGGAAAGCCAGCAGCATCCACCACCAAAATATGACAACAGATACTTTTCTCCCTAAGATCAGTCTCAAGGTTAGCTCCTTAAATTCAATAACACGCAGCTGCAACCTATCCCCTCCATGCCTTGACCCTAAATGCTTTTACCTGTAAACTGTTACTTACAAACTACTCAGCCCTTTAGAACCAAAACTTACATTAACCCTTCCATCACCAACTGCCAGGTCTACCACCACCAACCAGCATCAACTATGGAAGATATGACAGGCAGCCAAGGACTATGCTGGAAGCTCCCTCCCGGGGCAAACATACCCTCGGCCTCTCTGCAGACCAAAAACCTGCACGGCAAAACTCAACAGTGATCTCGTCCCCTTTTTATTTAGTTTAGTAGCAAAGAGCTGAAAAAGATTGGTTCTAAATTACAGAAGAGGAAGTCCATGTTACATTTATACAGAAGGAAAGCAGAGGAGCCCCCAAAGCCATCTCCCCAGGAGGCACAAGGGGGGCAGCGTCATTGGGGCGGGAGCGCAGGTCCACCTTTTCTTGGATGGCCGAGGAAAGACGAAGCCTCTGCTCCACGGCTGCAAGGGAGGCTGGCAGCCCTCGATGATGGGCATTGCAGTCCAACCTCTAGAAGAAGGCTCACGGGGTTGGCATTCCTCCTGTGCCGCCTTCAGCTGCCCCCCAGCCCTTTGGAACAAGTGGACCACTATCCCAAAATCCCACGACGATTCAAGTTTTGCTGCTGAAGAGCCCGAGAGCAGCTCACCCTTCAGTCCCACCGTTGCAAGATGTGTGGGGTTGCATGGGTGTATCTTCAGTGGAGGAAGGGCTGCAGAGCTAACAATCCCCAAATGGACCCCCCCACCCCACCCCAAAAAAAAAGGCTTGGAGGCAGCCACGGAGAGCCTGGCTGGAAAACCAAGAGGAGCTTTGGCAGCAGAGGGTGAAACCCATGGACGTTGCGCTCTGCCCTCAAAATGGACAAAGCACTTGTGGAGGAGAGCAGCAGCAAACCGTTCTGGGAGAGTCACACAAACGCTGCTCCTGCCAGGACTCCCTTCTGTGGGCATTATTCCCTCCAAAGGCAAGTGAGCAACAGCCGAGACGAGGAAGAGCGGAGGAAGGGGTGCTGATCACAATGCGGATGGTGCAAGGCACTGGGCGGCGCCTTCCTTTCCTTCCCAAAAGAGCAAGAGAGAGAGGTCTGTGGGGCTGGTGGAGCACAATGCAGAGCCCATGTGAACCTCTCTTGAGGTTGGAAGAGTCCGGAGGTGAAGTCCATGTGGGGCAGCCAAGCCTCCTTGTGCAGAAACCCGTGCAGATTCACCCAGCAATGGGGCATTGACAACACCCCTGTGCCCTTCCCTGGGTGCTACAGGAGTGGGTCTGGCTCACACAGATCTGCGGAGACTTCTCTGACCACCACTTGCCAGCAGGAACAATGGTGAAGGGCGCATGCAAACCGCATCAAGAGGAGCCCAGGAGTCCCACCCCTCTTTGAGGCAGAGAAGGAAGGGGGGCAGGATGTAACAGAGAGAGAAATCTTCGGGAATCTTCCTCGTCCACAGCCTTTGGGGAACCCGTCTGCTCAGAAAGCAGGTGAAGGAGAACCATCTCCTGGCCATGTTCTTGTTGTGTGAAACCAGCCGGCTCCCTCTCCCACCCCAGAGAAATGGGGAAATCCCAACAGCCGCAGAGTCTGCTTGCCCTCCTTCCGCTCCATTCTGCTCACGTCTTGTTGAGGGTCCAGAGCGGGTCCAGCAGGCTGAGGGGGTCGTCGCTGGGCCGGGACCCTCGCAGGCCCTCCCCGTTCTGGGGCTGGAGGAAGCTCTGCTTGCTGACCCGCTGCCGGCCCTTGAGGGCGCTGTCCAGGGTGAAGGCCTCAGGCGTGAGGGAGGCCAGCAGCTCCAGCGAGGAGGAGGAAGGGGCCACCGCGGAGGAGGCAAGGGCGGAGGCAGCATCCAAGTCAGGGGGTCCCTCCTCTGTCTCCACCTCTTCCACATGGTTGCTGTTCTCTGATGGAGCCTCTGGCCCCACGGCGGGGGGAGAGAGGGGCGGAGGGGGTGGCTGCTCTGGGACCACAGACACCGGTGGGTCTGGCACGGCCGGATAAGGAGCAGCTGCTGGGAAAGTGCCGGCATTGGTCATGGAGGGCTCCATCAGGGGCTGACCGTTGGCAGCGGACGTTTCTCCCCCTCCGGAAGGCGGCCGGATGCTGAGCTTGGCAATGGTGGCCTGGATGGAGCTGATGGGCATGTCGCCCCCCAGGACCAGGTCCTGAGGGTCTTGGTGGACGTACGGCTGGAAAGGGAGGAAGAATCTATATAAATACAAATGTCATGTTCCTTTGTGGGATTAACAGAACTCAAAAATCACTGGACGAACTGACACCAAATTTGGACACAAGACACCTAACAACCCAATGTATGTCCCTCACTCAAAAATATTGATTTTGTCATTTGGGAGTTGTAGTTGCTGGGATTTATAGTTCACCTACAATCACAGAGCATTCTGAACGCCACCAATGATGGAACTGAACCAAACTTGGCACACTGTTCTCCCATGACCAACAGAAAATACTGGAAGGGTTTGGTGAGCAGTGTCCTTTGGTTTTGGAATTGTAGTTCACCTACATCCAGAGGTCACTGTGGACTCAAACAATGATAGACCTGGACCAAATGTGGCATAAATACTCAATATGCCCAAATGTGAACACTGGTGGAGTTTGGGGAAAATAGAATCTTGACATTTGGGAGTTGTAGTTGCTGGGATTTATGGTTCACCTACAATCACAGAGCATTCCGAACCCCACCGACGATAGAATTGGGCCAAACCTCCCACACAGAACCCCCATGTGGGCCACAGCAATGCGTGGCAGGGTATAAATAAATTATTATTATTATTATATAGATGGCGGTTTAGGCATTACAAAACAGGTATTTTGGCAGTACCATGGTTTCAATGTCAACAACCTTCTATATAGAGTGTCAGCTTCATTTGGAGATTTCTATAAAGTGGCGATATGGAAGGAGCCATCCACATTTAACCACCACTACAAAGTAGACAAGTGTAGACAAAGTAGACGGCTAGTAATAGTAGTAGTAATAATAACAACACACCTTTACATAATTATATTCCACCCTAACTCTGGAAGGACTCGGGGCGGATTCCCAACATAAAAGGTAAACATTCAGTGCCCTTTACAGCATGGGGTCTGGGTTTGGATGGAGATGGAGCCCTGCAGTGGGCTTCTAAAACAGTGGTTCCTAACCTTTGACCACTATGACTAGGGGCCACTCTCCAATATTAGCACCAAAGGGGTTGTGAATCAGTTTTTGGTCAACTTTAGATTCGGTTTGAGGTGCTGATTCAGAAAATTGCCTTGGATAGACCACACCAGCTCTAGTTTCTGATACAGAACATATACCATGGTTAGCGACAGGGAAGGAGTGGCAGGCGGCGCAAAAGGAGAGGAAATAAAGAGGATGGAGGCTCACAGACCAGATTTTCATGCTCACGGCCCACTGGTGGTCTGCAGCCCACAGGTTAAGAATGACTGTTCCAAAAGTGTGTGTTTCTATGCCAGTTTCCCAACCTTTGTTTCTCAATATTGTGGACTTCAGCTCTCAGAATCCCTCACTGCTGGCCGGGCTGACTGGGGAAAGCTGAGGGCCAAAAGACTTGGAGGAGGACCAAAGTTGGGAACCTCTGTTCTCTGCAGGCCCTTGGGGGTCTTCCTTCCAAGCAAGCTTTGGAGTACTGTTGGAAGGCTTTCATGGCCAGAATCACTGGGTTCCTGTGAGTTCTCCGTGCTGTCTGGCTATGCTCCAGAAGCATTCTCTCCTGACATTTCACACACATCTATGGCAGGCATCCTCGGTCTGTTGAAAACTAGGCAAGTGAGGTTTACATATCGGTGGAATGATGTCCAGAGTGGGAGAAAGAACTCTTGTCTGCTTGTGGCAAGCTTGAATGTTGCAATTGGCCATCTTGATTATTTATTTATTTATTTGTGTCGCTTTTATCCTGCCCTTTTCAGTCTGAGGGCGACTCAGACCGGCAACAATTAGATGCCACATATAAATACATATAACAGTTAAAAGCAATTAAGACACACCATAAAATTCATATAAAAATCATGAAAACGGTAAAAAAAACTATAAAAATCTAAAACAATGTCTTCCAGTCCAATTCCTCTTCTGTTTACATTGTCTAAGCCAGGAGTCCTCATATTCCAATCTTGTGTTTATCTGGTCACGCTGAAGTTCCAAATTGTTTGAAGAGCCAGGTTTTTACTCTTTTCAAAAGGTCAGGAGGGAGAGGGCCGATCTAATATCCCTGAGAAGAGAGCTCCACAGCTGGGGGGCCACCACTGAGAAAGGCCCTGTCTCTCGTCCCCGCCAGATGAGCCTGTGAGGTAGGCGGGATTGAGAGCAGGGCCTCCCCAGAGGATCCTAAATTTCTAGAAGGTTCATAGGGCGAGATGTGTTTGGATAGGTAAGCTGGGCCAGAATCATTCAGGGCTCTATAGGCCAAAGCCAGCATCCTGAACTGTGCCCGGCAGCAAACTGGTAGCCAGTGGAGCTGGCGCAACAGTGGCGTTGTATGCTCTCCGAGCGATGCTCCTATTAGCAACCTAGCTGTCACGCCAAAGCCTAACTGCTTCCTGCCTGAGGGAATTCTTTGTTTGGGAAGTGTTAGCTGGCCCTGATTGATTCTTGCCTTAAATTCCCCTGCTTTTTGACTGTTCCTCTTTATTTACTGTCCTGATTTTAGTAGCCAGTTCATTTTTATGGTTTCCTCCTTCGAGTTGAAATTGTCCAGCATAGAACATAGAACGATACACGAATATAAAACGATCTCACATAAAAAATATGTGGGTGAAACATCAGGAGAGAATGCTAATATACAGCCCGGAAAACTCACAGCAACGCAACCTTCAGAGCTTTTCTATCTCGTCCCCAAAACCCTGCTTTGACATTTAAAGAGATGCCGTGTCCCTTCTGGGTCGCCGTATGGTGGAAGTGCTGGAGCCAAAGCCCCAGCCACAACGGCGCACCAGCCGCAAAGGAATCCCACCAGAGATACGAATTTTGAAACTGTTCCTCCTCCTCTGACTCCTTGTCCCACAGAGGAGACGATGCAGTGGCAGGTTGATACCTGCACATGGGTAGAGGCACCTTTCTCCCATTGGACTCCCCCTCCCCAGTGTCCAAAGGTCAAGGGAATGATGTGGCTCACCTTCTGGGGGCCGGAGGTGCTGCTGGGAGGCTTGCAGGCGGAGGAGGCGGCGATGACCCCGTGCCTCTGCAGGACCTGCTTGGCGTGTTTCAGGACCGCCTCGAAGCAGAACTTGAGGTGGAGCTGGAAGGGAAGCAATGGTCAGCGAGGCACCCTTGACCCAGATGCCCACTCAGAGAGAGAGAGAGAGAGGTCTTCTGCCTCCAAGTCATTTTGTGCAATTATGAATGGCTTTACATTAAGGCAGGCATGGGCCAACTTGGGCCCTCCCTCCAGGTGTTTTGGACTTCAACTCCCACAATTCCTAACAGCCGGTAGGCTGTTAGGAATTGTGGGAAGTCTAAAACACCTGGAGGGAGGGCCCAAGTTGGCTCGTGCCTGCTGCAAACCAACTGGAGTCCCATTGGAGGAGGAAAGGAGGGCTGTGGCCCCTCTAGTGCCCCTGGCCCTACCTTCTCCTGCAGCATGTGCTTCCTCTGTTGGCGGATCCTCTTCACCATCTGGGCCAAGTCCGGGATGCTGTTCCCAGCCTCCACTTCCTGCATTGCGGCGTAGAGTAGGCAGAAGGCCCCCGTGCGCCCGACACCAGAGCTTCAGGAGGAAGAGGAGGAGGACTGAGTTAGTAGGTGTTGCACCTCGGCTGAGCGCACCTTGCTCAAGCACTCACCGGGAAGCCCAGCATAGAAATAAACAGTTTATTGAAAAAGCACACACAGTAAAAGAGTAAAAAAAAATCCAAAGGTAAGATAAAAAGTCTCACAAAACCAGAGATAAAATTCCAATGCAAAGGTTAAAGCATGGATATAAATCCAAGGAGCAGGGTAAACTCGAACTTGAATGATCCAAAGACAAGGAATAAAACATCCACTTAAGTGATCCAAGAATCGAAGAACAACACATTAGCTGGAGTTCATGGTAAAATCCCCAAAACTTAAAGCAAAACTTGAAGYGGGAAACAAGGCAAGAGCTCGCTTCAAGTCATGTCAAAGCAAAGAACAACACATGARCTTGAGTTCATGATAAAATCCCCAAGACTTAAAGCAAAACTTGAAGCGGGAACCAAGGCAAGAGCTCACTTCAAGTCATGTCAAATCAAAGAACAACACATGAGCTTGAGTTCATGATAAAATCCCCAAGACTTAAAACTTGACCAGGACATGGCTTGAAGCGAGAACCAAGGTAAGAGCTCGCTTCAAGTCATGTCAAATCAAAGAACAACACATGAGCTTGAGTTCATGATAAAATCCCCAAGACTTAAACAAAACTTGACCAGGACATGGCTTGAAGCGAGAACCAAGGYAAGAGCTCGCTTCAAGTCATGTCAAATCAAAGAACAACAAATGAGCTTGAGTTCATGGTAAAATCCCCAAGACTTAAAGCAAAACTTGACCAGGACATGAAGCGAGAACCAAGGCAAGAAATCCTTGCTCTAATTGCTAAGATACTTGATCTAAAAAACCAAAAGCAGTTTTCCCCCTTAATAAGGCAGCAATGCATGAAAGCATTCCTTCGGCCCTTCAGCCATCTTTTCCCATTGCCTGACTTGCACCTGGAATTCTTCCCACGCAGAAGCCATCTCGCCTCCCTATCTAATCTCTTCTCTTGCCTGTCATCCTGCAAAACAGTTTCATTTTCACACAGAGTCCACCACACAAACACAGGCTGATTCCCAACAATTAGCATCATAGGATAATCTTAATGCTGAGCCAAAGCAAAAAGGGAAGCTGCTTCAGGAGCTGCACCTGGAGCTTCTATTTGAGAGACGTCACCCCTCATTCAATAGCCATGGTTCAATGCAATGGGATCCTGGGATGTATAGTTTGGTGAGGCATCCACATCCTTTTGCAGAGAAAACTCCAAGGCCTTGCAAAACTATGCACCCCCCCCCCCAATTACTCCACTGCATTGAACATAAAGTGGATTAATTCCACATCAGAGACGAACCCCAAGGTTTTCTTTTCCATCACTGGAAGCTTTCGTGTTCTAACATAATTTTTTATCGCGAAGGAATTCTAAGCAGGCAGCAATTGCAATGGCCATATGGAAAAGAGCGCACTTTTTGCATGACATTCAGCAGCAAAAACTTATGTTGTTTTGTTTCCAGGCTTTTGAAAATTGAGGTGCGCATTAGACTCAAGTCAATATGGGTAGTAATAATAATAGTACATAGCAAAAGTGGCAACTTCTGGGTTGCTGTGAGTATTCCGGGCTGTCTGGCCATGTTCCAGGAGCATTCTCTCCTGACGTTTTGCCCACATCTATGGCAGGCATCCCTCAGTGGTGTAGGATGCAGGGAGTTGCAGCCTAGCCCCTTCTGCTCCTCAGCCTAAAGCCCTTCACCTTGGAATGTTTGGGGAAGATGGGGGGCAGGACCTTCTCAGTGCCTGCCCCGGCCTTGGGGCAGACAACTCAGAGAGTGGGAAAGGGAACTGCCAGAAGCTTCCCTCAGGTGAGCACCCCCATTCCTCCTTGCATCCCTGACCCCGGTTGGCCCGTCTGTATCTCTGCTTCCTTACCTGCAATGGACCACGATGGGCATGTGCAGCGGGCGCTGGTGCAGGTAGTGGCTGTGCACCTCCTGGATGAAGCGGAGCAGGACACCTTTGCTGTCGGGGAGGCCGCTGCAGAGGGGAGGAAAAAGGTCAGCATCCAGACTCTCACAAGGAGAGTCCTCCTACCCAGGAGGAGAGAGTCCCTTCCGTACTCCAAGATTCCTAGAACCACCAAACCTTGGAACAACCCTTACAAAATCTCTTTTCTTGTAATCTGAATGCACAGCCTCATGCTCCAGACATGGGCATTGGGCCAAGGAGGGCCCTGCCTCCTGGTGTTTTGGATTTCAGCTCCCACCATTCCTAACAGCCTTAGGCCTTTCCCTTTTTCCCCCTCAGCCTGGTGGTAGTTTCACATCTCCTGTCAGACTGTAGGATCTATACAGCAATATTAAATAACCACTCACAAGCCGTTTTTGCTTTGAAATGGATATATTGCTTGTATCTCTGCAGCAAAGAAAGACACTACTGACTTTTTCCCACCACCACTTCCTTTTATACACCTTTCCTGCCCATCTCCCCCCTCTTCTCAGTTTCCTTATTAGAACTTGTGGCTTCACAAGTTCCAATACAAGGCTTCCAGCACCTTCTGCTAGCTTCAAAATGTCACAGAGAGAGAATTGATTCAGCCAGAATGTCACGGATGGAATTTGTGATGTCTTCATGCCGTCGGAAATTGACTCCTAACATCTCCAAGATATTTCACTATGTAAGGTAAAGGTAACGGTTTCCCCCTGACATTAAGTCTAGTCATGTCTGCCTCTGGGGGTTGGTGCTCACCTCCATTTCTAAGCTGAAGAGCCAGCATTGTCGGTAGATACCTCCAAGGTCATGTGGTCAGCAAGACCGCATGGAGCACTGTTACCTTCCTGCTAGAGCAGAACCTATTGATCTACTCACCTCTGCAAGTTTTCGAGCTGCTAGGTTGGCAGAAGCTGGGGCTAACAGCAGGAGCTCACCCTGCTCCTTGGATTCGAACCACCGACTGTTCGGTCAGCAAGTTCACCAGCTCACCAGTTTAACCTGCTGCACCACCAGGGGGCCTTATTATAATAATAGTAGTAGTAAAAAGGTTTTCCCCTAACATTAAATCCATCCGTGTTCGACTCTGGAGTGTGGTGCTCGTCTCCATTTCTAAGCCAAAGCGCCAGCGTTGTCCATAGACACCTCCAAGGTGATGTGGCCAGCATGATTGCATGGAGCACCCTTACCTTCATGCTGGAGTGGTACCTATTGATCTACTCACATTTGGATGTTTTCGAACTGCTAGGTTGGCAGAAGCTGGGGCTGACAGCGGAAGCTCACGCCACTCCCCGGATTCCAACCTGTGACCTTTCAGTCAACAAGCTCAGCAGCTCAGTGCTTTAACCCACTGCGCCACCGGGGGCTCCAATATAATAATAATACTATTACTGATAAAACTTTATTTGGATACTGCCCTATTTCCCAAAGGGACTTAGGATGGTTTCCAACATGTAAGACAATCATTCAATTGCCACAAAGAAACCATACGGACAATCACATCAAGACAAACACATTCGACAATCTTATTAAACAACTGTAGACATCACAACATACAAAAAAAAATCTACTAAAACACACTAAAGATTAAAAAATATGAAAAATACGGTTTCATTGTAGCTCCATCAGTAGAGGTTCAAAAAAACCCGAAAAGCTTTCAAGGACAAACCCATTTTGGAAGCTTTCTTCCAGGGTGGAAATGACGGTTGCCCGCTGTGACTTGGGGGCTCGTCCGGGCTTCCTCCGGCCACAGAGGCCCAGCCAAGCTCAGCTCCCCCCTCCCTCCAATGCCGAAGAGGGGGTGCCTAAGAGCAGTGTTTCTCAACTTTACTAATGCTGTGACCCCTTAATACAGTTCCTCGTGTTTTGGTGACCCACAAACATAAAAATAATTTTCATGACTGCGCCACAACTTTAATTTTGCTACTGTTATGAAGCATAATGTAAATATCTGATTTCCACGATGTATTTTCATTCACTAGACCAAATTTGGCACAAATACTCGATACACCCAAATTTGAATACTGGCGGGATTGTGGGGAGATTGATTTTGTCATTTGGGAGTTGTAGTTGCTGGGATGTATAGTTCACCTACAATCAAAGAGCATTCTGAATTCCACCAGTGACAGAATTGAATCAAACTTGGCACACAGAACTCCCATGACCAAGAAAAATACTGGAAGGGTTTGCTGGGCATTGACCTTGAGTTTGGGAGTTGTAGTTCACCTACATCCAGAGACCACTGTGGACTCAAACAATGATGGATATGGACCAAACTTGGCACAAATCCTCAATATGCCCAAATGTGAACTCTGGTGGAGTTTGAGGAACATAGACCTTGACATTTGGGAGTTGTAGTTGCGGTGATTTATAGTTCACCAATCAAAGAGCATTCTGAACCCCACCAATGACAGAAATGGGTCAAACTTCCCACACAGAACCCCCATGACCAACAGAAAATACTGTGTCTTTGGCGACCCCTCTGACACCCCCTCGCAACCACTCCAGGGGTCCCGACCCCCAGGTTGAAAAACACTGCCTAAGAGGTACCTACAGCTCAGGCCAGGAGGAGAACTGCAGGTGGATGATGGTGCGCTTGAGGCTCTGGTCCCGGAACTGGAGGCTGATCATGCGCTCGGTGTGGGTCGGAGTGGCCTTCTGGCTGGTCAGCACCAGTGTGATGAGGCCCTGGACCATGGGCTGCCCTCGCTCCGTTGGGAAGTAGCGCACTACCTTTTGCTGCCGGACAGAGAATCACAGTTGGAAGAGGGTCATCTCCAAAGAGCGGAAAACAAGTCCACTGCCTCTCAGCCTTCTCTCCAAGCTTAACATCTCCAAACTCCCTCCGTTGTTCCTCATAATGCAGGCATGGGCCAACTTTGGCCCTCCAGGTGAGCTACAATTCCTAACAGCCTCAGGCTTAAGCGGCTGAGGGGGAAAAGGAAGGGGCCTGAGACTGTTAGGAATTGTGGGAGTTGGAGTCCAAAACACCTGGAGGAAGAGCCCAAGTTGGCCCAAGCCTGTCAAAGGCCTTCAACTATTTTGGTAGTTTTGGCCCAAGTCTTTAATGTTGAAGTTGTTTACAATTCATAATGTAGATTTTAAAGTATGTATGTATGTATGTTTGAAATGCAGCTACGTGCCAAGTGTAATGTATTCCTGTGTGGAAAGAGTTAACTGAACCATGGAGGGAACGGCATTCCTAGAGAGGTCATAAATCAAGTGTATAGAACAAATGGACGCAGCTTCGTACGTCATACGTCACTCTGGAATGCAAGAGGTGTGGACTAGTACTGATAACCGTTAGTGTGTTCGCAATGTTACGATTGGACGGTAAAGAAACAAGTTTACGATGTGCTGAGTGTTAAGTAGCTTCAAATGTATATAGCTGTAAAATAAAATAGTTTATAGCCTGAAGTGGCCGTGACTGATCTGTTCCTGCTTTGCTGTGCTGTCGATGCCACTGACATTTAATCTGTTGAGGTCATTTTGGACCCCGATCCCTGGCTATTATGAGCCCATCTTCCCAACTTGATCTCAACTAGAAATTTGATCTTCCACTGCCTTCTATGTCATCCAAGCCATTGGACAGAAGAAGCACCCTTTGAGTCACCTTCTCCACCTCCGCCTCCCTGGCTCACCTTCTCCATCTCCTGCTCGGAAACCAGCATGACCACCACGGAGACCTTCTGCTCGTAGATCATGAGCCAAAAGTCAGAGGCGGTGCCCACCAGTGGGGCCTGGGTGGCGATGATGGTGGGGCAGTAGGAGGAGAGGTCCTCGATCCGGCTGGCGTTGATATAGTCGTCCTTCCCGGACTGCAGCACCACGCGGTTCTTGTCGTAGGGCATGATGTCCTGGTGCCGGTTCTTCATGGCGTAGCAGCGGGCGATGGCGATGGAGCGCTGCCGGGCCTCCTTCTCCTGGGCCTCCTGCAGCTCCTTCCACAGGCCGTCCAGCTCCGTGCCCCCGGGACCGGGTCTCCCCAGCGCCGCCACTGCCTCCTGGAAGCGCTCCAGCTCCGAGAGCAGCCTCCGCAGACGCTCGGGCTTCTCATAGGGGTCGTTCTCGATCAGCTGCACCGCCTTGGGTCGCAGGCCATCCTTGGCGTCCGCTTTGGTGGGCTGCAGCAAGGGCTGCCCCACCGCTGCCTTGGGCCCACCATGCTGGCTCTCCGGGCTAGAGGACAGCAGGTCGTCCGTGGTGGAGGAGGAGGAGCCCTGCCGGTGGAAGGGGGTCTCGGAGGGGCCCTGCAGCGAGGAGGGTGGGGCCTGCAGGGCCATGGGGGGCTGCGGCTGTGGGGAGGGGGCTGGCGAGGGCAGGGCGGCTCCCGGAACCACCACCCCTCCAGTCATCTGGGCCAGTCCTGGGCTGGGCGGTGGAGGGGGCGGTGGCTGCTGTGGTCCTGGGGGCATCTGGGCGGCAACCGGACCGTAGGCCCCTTGGGCTGCTGGGGGCATGGGCTGCATGGCGACAGCGGCGTGCGAAGGACGCAAGGGCAGCGGCTGTCCAGGCCCCACCAGGCCCACTGTGATGCTGGAGCCCCTGGGGACCTGGGCTGGGAAGGCCATGGCCCCGGAGTGGGGAGGAAGTGCCAGCGGAGGGGGCATCTTGTCTGGCAACTGGTAATGCTGGGGAGCCATCTGCCCTGGGATCTGTCCTTGGACCGTAGGGTGAACGGGACCTTGGCTCAGGATGGTGGGTGGGACAGAAGCCTGGGGAGGGAAGGGGCCCTGGAAGGGGCCCTGTTGGGGGGGCTGCCCTCGGGGCAGGAACTGAGCTTGGTACGGCTGGCCCGTAATTGCCTGAGGCTGGGCCTGCCGGTCAAGAGGGCTCTGGTGATGCCCATGAGGAGGGAAGCCGGGCTGTGGATGGGGCTGAGCGGCAGAGTAAGGAGCCACGGCCGGTGACATGTAGGGAGGCCCACTCACTTGTCCGTAAGGATACTGGGCGGCGGGCCCTTGGGGTCCCACAAACCCTCCCTGCGGAGGAGGAGGGGGCGCTGCCCAATGAGAGACCGGGCCGGTGACCCCCCTGGGGGCGGAGCAGCTGGAGATGGGGCCCTGGATGCTGTCTACGGTGGTGGTGGCCGGGCGGATGACCTGCGCCTGAGAGGGGAAGTTGTGGACCCCAAAGTTCTGGTGCGGAACTACAGTGGTGGGCCTCACCGCCAGAGGCATGGGCTGCGCTGGGGCCACCACTACATTCCCGTGGGTTGGACGGCCCATGACGTAACCCCCGCCCGAGGCAGAGACTGACATGGGGATGTGCTGGGGGGATGTGTGCTGGGGGGGCAGCGGAGGCCCCGGGTAGGGTGGCTGCCCGGGGGCCAAGGGGGGCCCCTGTACAATGGTCCTCGTTGGATACACCTGAGGGCTGGGGACCGCTGCAGGAGCAGAGCTCATCGGAGGGAGGCCCGCCCGAGGCATGGGAGGCGGCATCTGGTGGGTGGGGAAGGGGGCCGGCACCGAGACCCCAGGGAAAGGCCTCTGTCCAGAGGCAGCAGCGGGGGCTCTGGGGGGCTGGTACTGCCCAGGCATGGGGCCCCCCGCCATGAAGTGTCCCGGGCTGAAGGGAGCCTGGGGCTGGCTTGCTCTGGGGGGCGGCAAAGGAGTGGCCCCAAAGGCCTCAAGGCCTGGACCCCCCATGCCTGCGCAGGCAAAGGCCGGGTCCATGCCGAGGGCCGCCAGGGCATCGGGGGGCAGCTGCGCCAGGTGGGAGGCCAGCACCTCAGGCGGGAGGCTCCTCAGCTCCTCCGGCAGGTCGGCCAAAGAGAGGGAGGCCAGGGCCGGCATCATCTCAACCCCCTCCGGATCCATAGGCTTCTTCTGAAGCGGTGGTTTCGGGGTCGTAGGCCTGGGCGGGGGCCTCATCTTTGCCTCCCTGGAAACGCCGAGAGAACAGAGAGAGAGAGTAGAAATAGGGACCGAGGAGCAGTACACATTCCCCTCCTGACTGCCTTCACTCCCCGGCCATGGGGGGCAGGGTGGGGGGCACTTACTTTGCCAAAGCCTGCTGCCTGGCTGCTTCGGCCGCTTTGCAGGCCGCCCGGCCCTTCTCCAGGAGCTTGGCCACTTTGTTCTCCAGGTCGGCATAGAAGTCCTTCCCCTCCTGGGACTTCTTCATCAGGTCTTCATACGCTTCGTAAGAGGCCACCAGCGACTGCAGGGTTGTGTTCCACCTGAGGGTCGGAGGGAGACGATAATAATGTGTTTTCTGCCGCCCCAGAGATTGAGACACAATGGAGCGGGGAATAATTCAAACTACAGGCAAAGAGATTTCACATCAATATTAAGGAAAACCCGTCAGAAATAATAAATATTAACTAGATATTTTTAATTACAAAATTGTGAGTCAAGCACTGAAAGGGTTAAATGGATAAGTTCAATCTAAGCAGGTATATACCGGTAGCTTTGTAGCCCTTAGTTTGTGAGAGGTCTCTGTGGGAGAAGAGCCTGTGTGTTAGCAGGCCTCAGTATGAGAAGGCCTCAGTGTTAGTTCGCCTTAGTATGAGAGGCATCTCATACTAAGTGGGAGAAAGCCTCAGTTCGAGAAAGGCCTGTGTGAGGGAGGCCTCTATTAGTTCGCCTTAGTATATGAGAGGCATCAGTCTGAGAGAGCCCTCAGTGGGAGAAAGCCTCAGTTGGAGAAAGGCTTCAGTTTGAGGAAGGCCTCAGTGTTAGTTCGCCTTAGTATATGAGAGGCATCAGTCTGAGAAAGCCCTCAGTGGGAGAAAGTTGGAGAAAGGCCTCAGTGTGAGGGAGGCCTCAGTGTTAGTTCGCCTTAGTATATGAGATGCATCAGTCTGAGAGAGCCCTCAGTGGAAGAAAGCCTCAATTGGAGAAAGGCCTCAATGTGAGGAAGGCCTCAGTGTTAGTTCGCCTTAGTATATGAGAGGCGTCAGTGTGAGAGAGCCCTCAGTGGGAGAAAGCCTCGGTTGGAGCAAGGCCTCAGTGTTTGTTCACCTTAGTATATAAGAGGCATCAGTCTGAGAGAGCCCTCAGTGGGAGAAAGCCTCAGTGTGAGGGAGGCCTCAGTGTTAGTTCACCTTAGTATATAAGAGGCATCAGTCTGAGAGAGCCTCAGTGGGAGAAAGCCTCAGTTGGAGAAAGGCCTCAGTATGAGAAGGCCTCAGTGTTAGTTCACCTTAGTATATGAGAGGCATCAGTCTGAGAGAGCCCTCAGTGGGAGAAAGCCTCAGTTGGAGAAAGGCCTCAGTGTGAGGGAGGCCTCAGTCTTAGTTCGTCTTAGTACATGAGAGGCCTCAGTCTGAGAGAGCCCTCAGTTGGAGAAAGATTCAGTTAGAGAAAGGCCTCAGTGTGAGGGAGGCCTCAGTGTTAGTTCGCCTTAGTATATGAGAGGCATCAGTCTGAGGGCCCTCAGTGGGAGAAGGCCTCAGTGTGAGGGAGGCCTCAGTGTTAGTAGGCCTGGTGTGTGGTTAGATTTGTGAGAGAAACCCAGGTTGAATACCATTGTGTGTGAAGCTTCAGTGTGTGAAGGCTGTTGTGTGTAAAGCTACTTTATGAAGCTCCTGTGTAAGTTTGGTGTGAGAAGAGGCTCTGTGAGAGCGAAGCTGTTTATCTGCAAAAGAAAGAAGCCCAGCGTGGAAGCAAAGAAGGAAGTACAAAGAACTTTGTTCGTTTTATGGAAATCTTGTTTTTGTAAAATCATATTATTTTACTACCAAGAAAAGCCTCTTTTGGAAGAGATAACATTGGTCTGTGTGTTTTTGTTCTTTCGGTCACTATGGGCTCCTGGTGCTGGGTCACAGTGCTGCTAATAAGTTACTCTGCTGTACATTTATGAGGAGGGTCTTTTGTTAATAAGCCCACTCGCCCAACAGAACCTCCTGACGGTCAGAGCTGTTTGACAGTGGGATGTGCTGCTGTTGCTTGGGAGGCTGATGGACTCTCCTTCTCTGGAGGTTTTTAAGCAGACGCTGAATGGCCATCTGTTGGGGCTGCTTGGATTGTATCTTCTTACCTGTCAGAAGGGGATCTTCCTTTTAGAGCTATTGTGTAAAGATCCAGCGCAACACTACATTCTTATGGGAGGAATTCCAGGGGACAAGGGACCCTGTTAAAGCAGTAGGTCTGAGGATCAGGACACAAAGACAACTGGAACACCACTATGCTATTAGTCCCAAGGATATGGAGAACCAAAGCATCTAAGAATGGTTTAGTTACAACAGGGAAATGTGCCTTTCACCTTAAGAACAGACAAGCATCCCGAGCTCTGAGGATGACCTGGGAAGGAATTCCACTGGAGCATTGCAGCGCACCCCAATACCTGGGAGTCACTCTGGACCGTTCTCTGACCTACAAGAAGCACTGCCTGAACATCAAGCAAAAAGTGGGTGCTAGAAACAATATCATACGAAAGCTGACTGGCACAACCTGGGGATTACAACCAGATACAGTGAAGACATCTGCCCTTGCGCTGTGCTACTCTGCTGCTGAGTACGCATGCCCAGTGTGGAACACATCTCACCACACCACAACAGTAGATATGGCTCTTAATGAGACATGCCGCATTATCACGGGGTGTCTGCACCCTACACCACTGGAAAAATTACACTGCTTAGCCGGTATTGCACCACCTGACATCCGCCGGGAAGTAGCAGCCAATAGTGAAAGGACCAGCCACATCCACGTGCTGGGTATCAGCCAGCACGTCAACAACTTAAATCTAGAAATAGTTTTCTTAGATCTACAGAGATACTCGCTGGAACACCTCAGCAAGCGAGAGTCCAAAAGTGGCAGGCTCAAACCCAGCACCTCAATCAATAGCTGATACCAAATGAGACTCCCCCCTGGGCACACAGAAGACGGGGCGACTTGGAAGGCGCTGAACGGACTGCGCTCTGGCACCATGAGATGCAGAGGCAACCTCAGGAAATGGGGCTACAAAGTTGAATCCACGACATGCGAGTGCGGAGAAGATCACACCACTGACCACCTGTTGCAATGCAACCTGAGCCCAGCCACATGCACTTGCGGCACACCAGAGGCACTCCAAGGGACCAGATACTGGTCAAAGGACATTTAATCAACTACCAAGTTTGCAAAATTTGGGTTTTTTTTAATCTGTTTGTTTGTTTTGTTCTGTTAGAAATGTAATACAATGTTCTGGTTGCGGATGACACAATAAATAAATAATCAGAGAAATGTGCCATTTGTGGGCCTTATGTGACTCTGACTTCCACCCCAATATTTTCCAGCCAATATTGGTCCTTTCATCCCAAACGAGCTGGATTTGGAATGGAAAGGCAGGAGGAATGTGAAGAAACCTCCCCTCCAGCCTCTGTTCCCGGTGCCACAGCCTCCCCGCACTCACTTGTGCTCCACTTCTGACAAGGCCTTGCGCACGGTGGCATACTTGACGTTGGCTTCGGTCAGGGCCTTGAGGATGTTCTCCTGGGCCGCCAGGTTCTGCTCCAGGTAGACCTTGATCTGGTCGTACTTCTTCAGCTGCTCCTCAAAGAGTTTCTGGCGCAAGAGGGAGTCAAGGCAAGAGGGTGAGAGGTCAGGGGGCAAGGAAGGGGCAGGAAAAAGAAACGGGCAAAAAGGGAATCAGGGATATGTAGATCAGAGAGGTAGGAAGTGGCTTCCTAATGGATTGGTGCCCCAGGTTTGGCCAAAGTGGTGGCTTCCAGGTGTGCTGGACTACAACTCCCACCATCCCACAGCCATCAGGTCCCTGGGGCTTGTTTTGTTTATCTATATAAATAAAAATGTAATGTTTGTTTGTGGGATTAATATAACTCAAAAACCACTGGATGAATTGATACTAAATTTGGACACTACACCCCTAACAGACCATCAAGTGACCATCACTCATAAACCCCTCCCAAAAAACAGCAGAAACGACTTAAAAACCCAAAAAAGCTAAATGACGATGCAACACATGCATGAAAACAACAGCTCACAGCATCCCCTAGACCAGTGTTTCTCAACCTGGGGGTCGGGACCCCTGGAGGGGTCGTGAGGGGGTGTCAGAGGGGTCGCCAAAGACCACCAGAAAACACAGTATTTTCTGTTGGTCATGGGGTTCTATGTGGGAAGTTTGGCCCAATTCTATCATTGGTGAGGTGCAGAATGATTGTGTCACGTAGCCAGAGCTCTGCCTTATTTAGGTAGAGATGAATCAAACTCCCAGTTTTATCAAACAGTTTAATTAAAACAGCACTTACTTGCTGGTCTGACCTCACAACCTCTGAGGATGCTTGCCATAGATGTAGGCGAAACGTCAGGAGATAATGCCTCTAGAACATCGCCACATAGCCCGAAAAAACCTACAACAACCCATCCTGCAGATATTTACATGATGATTCATAACAATAGCAAAAAAGTTGTGAAGTAGCAATGAAAATAATGTTATGGTTGGGGGTCACCACAACATGAGGAGCTGTATTAAGAGGTCACGGCGTTAGGAAGGTTGAGAAACACTGCCCTAGACCCATGATGGCGAACCTATGACACGCGTGTCAGCACTGACACGCGTAACCGTTTTTGATGACACGCGGCCATATACTTTTGTGAGACCTTATTCTCAGTGTTAAATAATATCAAAACCATCAAAAGAAACAGATTGACAGATGATGTTAGTAGCACTTGCTTGGGCATGAAGTGTACAAAATACCAACCTTCAATTGAAGATTTAGTCAATGAAATTCAGCAACAAAAAAGTCACTAATAAGCAGCTTAGTTAAAGAATTTCCCCTCCCCTTCACTTATCTTAATTTACGGCAACCCACACAAGTTAAACAAAATCAAGACCAACAAAAGAAACCGACTGAAGGATGAACAAAGAAGTCACTAAGCAGGTAAGTTAAATAATTAGTTTTTGGGTTATTAAATACGGTTATATTTTACAATTATGCATTTTTGTTATTTAAACTATAAATATAGCAAAATTATGGGTTTTTTCTCAAAGTGGCACCCCACCTGAATTATGCTCGCTTTTTTGGTGAATTTTGACACACCAAGCTCAAAAGGTTGCCCATCACTGCTCTAGACCAAGCCCTTTAGGGAAGGAGAATGCTCCAAATGTACTACTTCCAAGCTGCAAGCTTGGTTCTCCTTGGATTTCCTAATCCGTACATATCTGGGACCTAGAGGTTTAGCACAGCTGGTAAATCAGCAGCAGCTATAAGATTTATCAACCAAAAGGTTGCAAGTTCGAAACCCCGGGTTGGCATGAGCTGCCAACTGTCAGCCTAGCTCATTGTTTACCTAAGCAATTCGAAAACAGTTTTAGCTGTAATTAGAGAAATTAGGTACCGCTAAAAAGCGGGGGAGGTGCTTTACGATGCCATAAAGAAAGAAGACCAGAAAATGCTGGGCGACCAAAAGGAAGGAGGAAGTCCTGACGGCTCTTTGCCATAGAGGATAGAGCAACAACACCCCCTGGACCCAAGCCCAACCTTCCATGGCACCAAAAACAGCTGAAACAAACTACTTCTTGTTCTGTCTGTCTATTGTCTAGACCAGGGGTCCTCAAACTTTTTAAACAGAGGGCCAAGTCACAGTCCCTCAAACTGTTGGAGGGCTGGATTATAATTGGGAAAAAGCATGAATGAATTTCTATGCACACTGCACATATCTTATTTGTAGTGCAAAAACACTTAAAAACAATACAGTAATTAAAAATGAAGAACAATTTTAACAAATATAAACTTATTAGTATTTCAATGGGAAGTGTGGGTCTGCTTTTGGCAGATGAGATAGGATTGTTGTTGTTGTGTGCTTTCAAGTCATTTCAGACTTAGGTTGACCTTGAGCGAGGGCCGGGTAAATGACCTTGGAGGGCCGTATCCGGTCCCCGGGCCTTAGTTTGAAGACCCCTGGTCTATACAAAGCGGCACTGAATGTTTGCTGAATATGTACTGTGATCTGCCCTGAGTCCCCTTCGGGGTGAGAAGGGCGGAATATAAATAAAGTATTGTTGTTGTTGTTGTTGTTGTTCTTGTTGTTGTTATTATTATATTTCCTATTTCCTATTCCCGGACTGCAACTCCCAGCAATCCTCCAGATAGATAAGAGAGATAGATTAGATAGAGATCAATAGGTAGGTAGATAGATGAGGAGGACTGCTGGGAGTTGCAGTCCAAGAATAGGCAGAGAAAGGAGAGAAAGAAAAAGGGAGGGGAAGGAAGGAAAGAGGTAGGGAAGGAAGGAAGGAAGGAAGGAAGGAAGGAAGGAAGGAAGGAGAGGAAGAGGAAGGAAAGAAAAAGGGAGGGAGGAGGGAAGAAGGAGGAAAGGAAGGAAGGAGAGGGAGGGAGGGAGGGAGGGAGGAGGAAGGAAGGAAGGAAGGAAGAGAAGGAGAGAAGGGGAGGGAAGGGAGAAAGAGGGAGGGAAGGAAGGAAGGAGATAAGGAAAGAAAAAAGGGAAGGAAGGAAGGTGGGAGTGGGAAGGAAAGAGAGAAAGAAAAAGGGAGGAGAAGGAAGGAAAGAGGTAGAGAAGGAAGGAAGGGAGGGAGGGAGGAGAGAAGGAAAGAAAAAAAGGGAAGGAAGGAAGAAGGAAGGAGGAGAGAAAGAAGGGAGGGAAGGAAGGAAGGGGGAGGGAGGAAAGAAGGAGAGAAGGAAAGAAAAAAAGGGAAGGAAGGAGAGAAAGAAAAGAGGGGAAGGAAGGAAGAGAAGGAGGGAGGAAGGAAGGAAGGGAAGGAAGGAAGAGGAAGGAAGGAAGGAAGGAAGGAAGGAAGGAGGAGAGAGGGAGGGAGGGAGGGAGGGAGGGAGGGAGGGAGGGAAGGAGGGAGGGAAGGAAGGAAGGAAGGAAGGAAGGAAGGGGGAGAAAGAGGGAGGGAAGGAAGGAAGGAGATAAGGAAAGAAAAAAGGGAAGGAAGGAAGGTGGGAGTGGGAAGGAAAGAGAGAAAGAAAAAGGGAGGAGAAGGAAGGAAGGAAGGAAGGAAGGAAGGAGAGAAGGAAAGAAAAAAAGGGAAGGGAGGAAAGGGGAGAGGAAGGAAGGAGAGAAAGAAAAAGGGAGGGGAAAGAAGGAAAAAGGTAGAAAAGGAAGAAAGAAGAAGGAAGAAGGAAATTTTAAAAAGAGAAGGAAGGAAGGAGAGAAAGAAAGGAGAGAAAGAGGGAGAGAAGGTTGGCCACAGCAACGTGTGGCAGGTACAGCTAGTAGTTATATATATGTGTGTGTGTCTTGTTTATTTTCTATCCTGCCCTCCTTCTTTTATGAGACCCAAGGCAGTTCACAATATAAATCAGGTGTGGGCCAACTTTGGCCCTCCAATTGTTTTGGACTTGAGCTGCCATGGTTCCTAACAGCAGGTAGGCTGCTAGGAATGGTGGGAGTTGGGAGTCCAAAACACCTGGAGGTCCAAAGTTTGCCCATTCCCCGCAGTGCCTCACCTTCATCTCGGACCGGTCGGTGGTGACCAGGGAGGTGGTGATGTCGTCCTTCTGGATCATCTCCCGCAGCTGCTGCTCTAAGGAGACCCGCTGATCCTTCATCTCCTGCACTTTGGACAGGATCCGCTTCAGGTTCTGCATCACCTGCTGGTCCTCTGCAGGGAGAGACGGGGCTGGTGAGGCTCCATCCGAGAGCAGGGCAAAAAGGGGAAAGAGGGACAATCCCCATCCAAATATACAGACTATAAGCAGGCATGGGCCAACTTGGGCCCTCCCTCCAGGTGTATTGCACTTCAACTCCCACAATTCCTAACAGCCTAGGCTTAGGAATTGTGGGAGTTGAAGTCCAAAACACCTGGAGGAGGCCCAAGTTGGCCCATGCCTGGACTATATTATGACTCTCACCTTCGGTCAAGCTAGGGCTGGGTAGGGCCGCCCTCACTTGCTCCAAGGGCCCGCTGAGCAGGCGCAGGTTGCTGATGTGGAGGTTCATAGCCTTGTGCAGCTCGGTGTTGGTGAAGCTGGCCTTCTCGTGCACCTCCATGTACTTGGCCCACTCCTTGGACACTTCGGCCAGCCCCGGGGAGGAGGAGGAGGAGGAGGAGGAGGAGGAGTGCAGTGGCCGGAGGGGAGTCCTGGGGCTGTGGAGCGGCTTTGCCCAGCGCCTCCCGCTGCTTCTGCTCTTGGGCCTCGTCTTCGTCCAGAAGGTCCTTGATCTCCCGCAGAGAGGCCTCCACATCCGTAAAGACCCCCGAGAGGACTGGCGGGAGAGAGGGGGGCGTCAAGGAGGAAGGAAAGCAAGTGGGATCAGGCTGGTGTCAAGCACTTAATCCTGCCAGGTTTACTTGAAGTAGCACATATGTATTTCAAAGTTTCACTTAAGTATTTTGTTGGTCATGGGGGTTCTGTGTGGGAAACTTGCACCAATTCTGTCGTTTGTGGAGTTCAGAATGCTCTTTGATTGTAGGTGAACTATAAATCCCAGTAACTACAACTCCCAAATGTCAAGGTCTATTTCCCCCAAACTCCATCTGTGTTCATATTTGGGCATATGGAATATTAGTGCCAAGTTTGGTCCAGATCCATCATTGTTTGAGTCCACAGTGCTCTCTGGATGTAGGTGAACTACAACTCCCAAACTCAAGGTCAATGCCCACCAAACCCTTCCAGTATTTTCTGTTGGTCATGGGAGTTCTGTGCACCAAGTTTGGTTTCAATTCCATCATTGGTGGAGTTCAGAATGCTCTTTGATTGTAGGTGAACTATAAATCCCAGCAACTACAACTCCCAAATGACAAAATCAAATTTTTTGAGTGAAGGACATACATTGGGTTGTTAGGTGTCTTGTGTCCAAATTTGGTGTCAATTCCCCCAGTGGTTTTTGAGTTCTGTTAATCCCACAAACGAACATTACATTTTTATTTATATAGAAATCTGCATGGCTGTATTGTTGGCCTTGGCCTCATGTAAGCCGCCCCGAGTCCCCTTAGGGAGATGGTGGCAGGGTATAAATAAAGTTGTTGTTGTTGTTATTATTATTATTAGAACACAGAAAATGATTGTGTCCAGGAGAAATGTCTTCCCCCTTGTCAACCGTCTGCAGAGACATGTACCAGATGACAGGAAGTGACATGGCGATACTTCTGGGATCATTTCCAACTGATTTGGGGGTGATTTCTCAGCCCCCAGAAATATTTAAAGATCTACAGGAAGCTTCTGGTGGTAGTTTAGTAAAAGCCCTATTATTTTGCATCTGTTCTAAAGTACGGGGATTGCATTTGGAGGCAATAATAATAATAATAATAATAATAATAATAATAATAATAATAATACTTTATTTATACCCCGCCTCCATCTCCCCCAGGGGGACGTGGGGCAGCTTACATGAGGCCACACCAGTAAACACAATATAACAAAAGCATAACTAAACCGGAAAATAAAATACATACAATGCAAAACCAGTATAATAAGCGACACAGCAATATAAAATCAAACATTAAAACACAAAAGATTACACTGGGCAGAGCCAAATTCAAACATAAAATTTTAAAACACTGGGAGATAGGACAATGTAAATTATCGGGGAGGGGGATCCGGAGATGAGGAAGGATTTAATTGCACGAACCATAAAATAAAGTCCTTCTGAGGTCATTTTATGCAAAGTTTGGTCAGGGAGTATTTTACATTCAATCATTGAAGGCACATTGGAATAACCAGTTTTTCGGGTTCCTCCTGAAGACTGCCAGCATGGGGACTTGCCTAATATGTCTGGGGAGTGAATTCCAGAGCCGGGAGGCCACCACAGAGAAGGCCCTCTCTCTTGTCCACACAAGTCACACTTGCGATGCAGGCGGGAGTGAGAGAAGAGCCTCTCCGGAAGATCGAAGTGAGAGCCGTTCAGCAGTGGAACTCTCTGCCCCGAAGTGTGGTGGAGGCTCCTTCTTAGGAGGCTTTTAAACAGAGGCTGGATGGCCATCTGTCAGGGGTGATTTGAATGCAATAGTCCTACTTCTTGGCAGAATGGGGTTGGACTGAATGGCCCATGAGGTCTCTTCCAACTCTAGGATTCTATGATTCTATGAAGTGGTCATGTGGGTGCGTAGACGGAAATGCGGTCGCGCAGGTAGGCGGGTCCCAAACCGTTCAGGGCTTTGTAGGTCAAAACCTGCACCTTGAATTGGGCCCGGAAAACAAACAGCAGCGAGTGGAGCACCTTAAACAGGAGGGTTGACCGCTCTCTGCTATTCGCACCAGTTAATAATCTGGCTGCTCCTCGTTGGGCCAATTGGAATTTCCGGGCCATCTTCAAGGGCAGCCCCACGTAGAGAGCACTGCAATAGTCCAATCTAGAGGTAACTAAGGCCTGGACCATCGTGGCCAAATCCAACTTCACGAGGTACAGTCGCAGCTGGCGCATGAGCTTCAATTGTGCGAAGGCCCTCCCGGCCACCACTGACGCCTGAGCTTTAAGCGTCAGCGCTGAATCTAGGACACCCAAGCTGCAGACCTGTGATTTCAGGGGGAATGCAACCCCGTTTAGAACAGGTTGCCACCCTATACCTTGAGAAATCATCCTGTTTGGGAGACCAGTTCATGGCACTCTCTGATGTCCCCGCGTTCACTCGGGACCTGCTTACCTTGCATGGACTGGACCAGGTTCTTCACGGTCTCTGGGCGCACGCTCAGGGCCGCGCATTTCTCCATCAAGACGGGCGGAATGTGGTCGTACATGTCCAGGTTGTCGACGGTCTCTGGATCCAGCTGCAGGGAGTCCATGAACTGCCTGGAAAGAGAGGGAAGCCATGACAGGGCTGACAAAAGCACTGACAAAACCCTCCCAGAGAAGATGTTTTGATTATGAAGAAGGCAGGAAGTGCTAAACAGGACTATGAACTTTTCTATCTTCTGTGTTTCTATGTTGGGCACAGGCAAACTTTGGCCCTGCAGGTGTTTTGGACTGTTAGGAATTGTGGGAGTTGAAGTCCAAAACACCTGGAGGGCCAAAGTTTGCCCATTTCTGTTTTATATTCTCTGAACTATATGTCCATCCTTTCTTGGAGCATACGTACTCAAGGACTTCGTTCTTCGCCTCGATCTTGGCCATGACTTCCCTCAGCAGCTTGGCCTTCTCCTCACTGGAACAAAAGAGGAAGCACAGAAGCATCAAAAGCAAGAACAGCAGGGAAGGCTTTCTTTTGCTCTCTGTGCATGCTTCAGAGGCAAGCACTCCTCAACCTTCCCTGCTGCAATAGGCCTGAGAAGACCCCACACCCACTTCCCTGAGGAATCCAAGGCCCCATCTAGACTGCCAGATAAAATCCAGATTATCTGATCTGAACTGGATTATATGGCAGTGCCCCTGCTGGCGCAGCAGGTTAAACCACTGAGCTGCTGAACATGCTGACCGAATGGTTGGCAGTTTATATCTGGGGAGCATGGCAAGCTCCTGTTATTAGCCCCAGCTTCTGTTGTTGTCTGTTCTGTATGTATTTTATCTTGCTTTATTGTAATTATTTGGGCTTGGCCTCAGGTTATCTGCCCCGAGTGTCCCTTCGGGGAGATGGTGGCAGGGTATAAATAAAGTATGCGTGTGTGTGTGTGTTATTGTTGTTCATTTGTTCAGTCGTTTCCGACCCTTTGTGACATCATGGACCATCCCATGCTAGAGCTCCCTGTCAGCCGTCACCACCCCCAGCTCCTTCAAGGTCACTCCTGTTACTTCAAGGACAACATCCATCCATCTTGCCTTTGGTCGGCCCCTCTCCCTTTTTCGTTCCATTTTCCCCTGCATCATTCTCTTCTCTAAGCTTTCCTGTCTTCTCTCTCTCTATATATGTGTGTGTGTGTGTGTGTGTGGGTGGTTGCTGGAATTTATAGTTCACCTACCATCAAAGAGCATCCTGAACCCCACCAACGATAGAATTGGGCCAAGCCTCCCACACAGAACGCCCAAGACCAACAGAAAATTGTTTCAGAAAATACTGCCTTTGGCAACCCCTCTGACATGCCCCTTGTGACCCCCCAAGGGGTCCCGACCCCCAGGTTGAGAATCACTGCTCTAGAAAGATAGAGTAGCCATATCCTTTGCCCATTTAATCATATTTTCCTTTATCCGTTCGGTTTCCGTATTCCATTCTAGGAGTTTTTGGTATACTATCTTTATTTTATTTATTATTTTCTCCTTTGACATCATGGCCTTAGAGGTGTCTATGGACAACACCAGCTCTTTGGCTTAGAAATGGAGATGAGCACACCCACCCCAGAGTCAGACACAACTAAACTTAATGTCAGGGGAAACATTTACCTTTACTTCAGACTAATATAATCCAGTTCGAAACAGTGGATGACTAGGAATGGTTTTAAATGGTGTATTTTAATATTTTGCTAAATGTTTTTAATATTTATGCATGTATATAAAAAACTGTGTCCTGGCACAGTATATATGCTGTGCTCTGCCCTGAGTCCCCTTCGGGGTGAGAAGGGCAGAATATCAATGTTTTAAATAAATAATATAATAAATAAATAAATAATCTGGATTTTTTTTTCTGGCAGTGTAGATGGGGCCCAAGAAAATCTTTCTTTGGGTGATCCAACTCCCCCCCCCCCCCCCCCCCCCCCCCCCCCCCCACACACACACACACAAGCAAATGGCAAACAGTTTAGGGAGAGGACAGTGTCGGCCATTTCTCTGCTTTAGGAGAAACTGGACATTTCAGGGCTCTTTGTACACTTTCCCATATTTCAGGTTTGGTTTGAGTCCCGCACATTTCCTTTTTTGAAAGAAAAGTGGGGGAGATTTACAGAAAAGCCACTTCCCCTTGGGGAATCTCAGGTGAAGGCCTTCCTACTCTCCCATCCTTCAATCACCATTGATTCAATTAGTTCTCAAACACTATCACACTCTTCTGCAACACATGGAAAAGCCCCACAGGGCTCCCAGAATGCAAAGCAGCCAAGAGGAGGCAGAGGGAGTGGCTGCTCACCTGTAGAGGGAGGATGCTTCGTGGGCAGCCATGGGGACCAGTTTGGCAAAAATATCGGGGCCGGTCACGGCGGGGTCCGTGGGGTTGACCGGAAGGGCCTTCACCAGGGGGGCACCTGTGGGAGAGACAGCAAGGCTCAGGAGGGACTCCCAGGGAGGCTTCAACTGGCACGCTGGAAACATCAGAAGGAACTTAAACTTTTGCTGGAATTTGTAAGCCGCCTTGAGTCCCCTACGGGGTGAGAAGATTAGCTGGCCCTGATTGCTTGTTGTCTGGAATTCCTGTTTTTCAGTTTTGTTCTTTATTTACTGTTATGCTTTTATATACCGTATTTTCTGGCGTATAAGACTACTTTTTAACCCAAGAAAATCATCTCAAAAGTCAGGGGTCGTCTTATACGGCTATGGAAACGGATTATGATAAGCTGAATGGGCCCAGAAAAACACACCTCTTTTACCTGTCTGGCCCACTCTTGTATCCTATTACTGTACCTCCTCCTCTGCCTCTCAGATCTGCAGTGAAGCGGTGTAGGTGTGCATGTGTGAGATCCGAGAGGCAGAGAAGGAGGTACAGCAATAGGAAAATTACTGTATTGACATCAAATGTGATGCTTTGTAAATTTTTATTTGGTGTGTGTTGGAAAAGGGGTAGTCTTCTATGGTGAGTATATCCCAAACTCTATATTTTAACTGGAAAAGTTGGGGGTCGTCTTATATGCCCAGTCGCCTTATATGCCGGAAAATAAGGTGTCTGTGGACATCTCCAAAAGGGTCACGCTTCTAAAAGCCTGTGGAGACTCCTGGTTTTCCCAGTACTTTTGTCCCCAGGCAGCTCTCGAGGGAAAAGGTGCCTCCAACTCAGGTTTAAGGTGGCTAAGTGGTCTTTTGACAATACCAAGAGGTAAATGACTGGCATCATAACAAACATTTCTGTTGTTTGCTTAAACTATCTATTGGGAGGGCTTGGATAGTGTGCCTGGCTGAAAAGGGTTGGACTGGATGGCACTTGGAGGTCTCTTCCAACACTATAAATGGATGAGTCTATGTTTTTCAAAATATGCACAGTGTCTGTAGTTCACAGCCTAAGATACGCCGATATAAAAACAGACAAGAGAGGAACTCCTTTGCGAGCTGTAGCAAACATGACCCCACTTGAGCATCCCGTGGAGCGACTGCGTTGCCTCTGCTTTACCTTTCACGGACTGCAAGGTGTCCAGGGCAGGGACGGCTTCGTGGTAGATGAAGTCGTTGTCCTTTTTGGCAGAGTTGTACCTGAAGGGCAGCAAAAGGAACAGAAAGAGGTGAGGCTGACACTGGAGGACTGGATGGCCCCACGGAAACTGCCACAGGGAAGTCAGAGGAAATTCAAGGTTGCAAATAGGGCTGCGGCAGGATCCCTACACAATGAGTTTAAAGATTCCCCTCCTCTTGAGAGTCAGGAGGAAAACTAGGCAGAACAGCTGAGATGGAGGACTAGACATGTGGCTACAGCGGAGTCTCCATTTCTGGAAGTGGAACAGCGGTACAGCGGAGGTCTCCATTTCTGGAAGTGTTTAAAAAGAGGCTGGATGGCCATCAGCTGGGAATGATTGGGTGGTGTCTTCCTGGGCGGTGTTGGGAATCAGCCTGTGTTTGTGTTTCAGGATCCTGATGTGGGAAATGATGGTGCCGAAGCTGAGGTTCAAGATGGAGATGGTCTGGTCAATGATTTTCATACAGACAATGACAGAGAGGCCCCAGTGCAAAGCGCAGTTTCTCATGAGAATATCCCTGCTGGGCCTAGCAATGATGGTTCACTCCCTCTCTCTGTGAGCTCTCAAGATTTGGGTTTGGAAAACAATCTGACACCTGGGAATTTTAATGAGCAGCCAGATAGGGATCTGAAGAATAGGTGGCTGGAGATTAGCCAGGATCGACAGCAAACTCAGTGTTTACGTCGCTCTGAAAGGCTTCGTCTGACAAGGGGAAAATGTGGGGGGAAAGCAAAACCAATTTCTGAGTTTTGGGATATAAAGTTTGCTTCAAGGGAAAACCTGTTAGATCAGGCATTGTTTGGAAACCAAGTTCATGTGCCATGGAAATCCTGTTCAAGGGGTCTTGTTTCTGTGAAGGTTTTTTTTAGCCTTTTGGATTGTCTTTGCATCCTGTTTGATTCCTGTCTGGATTAATGCTGTCTTGGATTGCTTTTATTTCCTGTGTGGACATAGCTTTGTGTTACTGCTTTTTTATGGACTTATTACTTTCTGGTACCTTCTTATTTTCTTACAAGCATTTATTTCTTCTGACTATTTACTAAGCTTCAAAAAAAGATTTGTTTCTTCATTCTTCGTGTGCTATGTTTTAAAGTCAGAGGGCTTCCTCCTGACCTGGAGTGCAACAGGCGGCAGATTGGGATTGGACTGGACAGCTCTTGGGGGTGTCTGGACTCTAGAACTCCAGGGTACCGCATTGAGTCGCCGATTTAGGCTGAAAAATGCGGTATAGAAATAAAGCAAATAAAATAAATAAATAAATAATACATTGCCAGAGGGACAGTGACTCCACTGCAGGCATGAGGCTACACTGGGCATGGGCCAACTTGGGGTCTCCTTCCAGGTGTTTTGGACTTCAACTCCCACCATTCCTAACAGCCTCAGGCTCTTTCCTTTCCCCCCTCAGCTGCTTGACAGCCCATGCCTGTTCTTTGAGATACATACATATGTTGTACTACCTAGTTACCCTACATTTAAAAGTGATTTTAGAGATCTGATGTGTTAGCAACTCCCAACAGGATTTGGATTGTCTCTACAGAAATATATTGAAAAGGGAAGAGAGGTGTGTGTTTCAATTTACCACCATATATATATGTGTGTGTGTATGTGTATATATGTTTAGGAGCCCTGCCATGAAACCAGAAGCAATTGAAGCTGGCAAAAGTTACATTTCAGAACTGCGTATCCCATAATCCCCTATACCCATCACCGGTGTGTGTATCTATATAAATTAAAATGTAATGTTCATTTCTGGTATTCACAGAACTCAAAAACCACTGGACGAATTGACACCAAATTTGGACACAAGACACTTCTCAGGCCAACGAGTGACCATCACTAAAAAAATTGATTTTGTCATTTGGGAGTTGTAGTTGCTGGGATTTATAGTTCACCTACAAAGAGCATCAAAGAGCATTCTGAACCTCACCAACGATGGAACTGAAACAAACTTGGCATACAGAACTCCCATGACCAACAGAAAATACTAGAAGGGTTTGGTGGGCAGTGTCCTTTGGTTTGGGAGTTGTAGTTGCACCTCCATCCACTGTGGACTCAAACGATGGATCTGGACCAAACTCTACACGAATACTCAATATGCCCAAATGTGAACACTGGTGAAGTTTGGGGGAAAGAGAATCTTGACATTTGCAAGTTGTACTTACTGGGATTTATAGTTCACCTACAATCACAGAGCATTCTGAACCCCACCAATGATAGAATTGGGCCAAACCTCCCACAAAGAACACCCATGTGGGCCACAGCAACGCATGGCAGGGGACAGCTAGTATAAAGACAAACTCTTCAATTACCTAGTGACGGTGGCTAGAATAAATTATGCAAGATTTTGGAGAACGAAAGAGACTCCATCGCAAGACCAATGGTTAATGAAAATCTTAGATATTATGAATATGGACAAACTAATCCAACGGATGAGCATAAAACAGAATTTAAAAACATCCAAAACAGATTGGTGAAGAAGATTGGAAGTCAAACCAATTACTCAACCCAAACTTTCATCGTTTTTTTCTTTTTCTTTTTTGTCTTTCTTTTCCCCCCTTTTTTGGATCTTAAATATACACTTTCCTACATCAACTATATGTTGTTTTCTGAAAACCTTAATAAACTCAGTTCTTGTGGGTTTTTTCGGGCTATATGGCCATGTTCTAGAGGCATTTCTCCTGACGTTTCGCCTGCATCTATGGCAAGCTTCCTCAGAGGTGAGGTCCTCTGAGGACCTCACCTCTGAGGAAGCTTGCCATAGATGCAGGCGAAACGTCAGGAGAAATGCCTCTAGAACATGGCCATATAGCCCGAAAAAACCCACAAGAACTGAGTGATTCCGGCCATGAAAGCCTTCGACAAAACCTTAATAAAACTTTTTTGGACAAGACAAGAAGATATGAAGACCAGGATTAAAGTTAGAGGACAATATTTTTCCTCTCTTTGTTTTAAAGAGGAAACGTTGCTGAACTGCAGCTCCTAGCACTCCTTATCGCTGGCTAGGCCACCTAGGGCTGCTGGGACATACAGTCCAACAACCTCTGGAGGGTCACATGCTTCCCACCCTTGCTTCATATTACAAGGCCGAGACAACTGCAAGCAGACAAACAGACTTACTTCCCGCCAATGACATCCATGGTGAACCTCAAGGCTTCCTGCACAGTTTCTGGCTGGCCCTACAAGAAGGAACATAGGGAGAGGGTGAAGCATTTGCAAGCCTATTTCCTAAACATAGATCCATAGGTGGAAAATCCAAAGAGGAACCTGGTGGAAAGCATGGATGAGTCAGAGAGTTCTAGGCTGTGGTGGCGCAACGGGTTAAACCACTGAACTGTTGAATCTGTTGACCTAAAGATTGGCAGCTTGAAGCTGTGAGTCAGGGTGAGCTCCCGCTATTAGCCCTAGCTCCTGCCAACCTCCCCCCCCCCCAGTGGCGCAGTGGGTTAAAGCACTGAGCTGCTGAGCTTGTTGACCAAAAGGTCGCAGGTTCGATTCCAGGGAGCGGCGTGAGCTTCCGCTGTCAGCCCTAGCTTCTGCCAACCTAGCATTTCAAAAACATGCAAATGTGAGTAGATCAATAGGTACCGCTCCGGCGGGAAGGTAAGGGCGCTCCATGCAGTCATGCTGGCCACATGACCTTGGAGGTGTCTATGGACAACGCTGGCTCTTCGGCTTAGAAATGGAGATGAGCACCACACCCCAGAGTCAGACATGACTGGACTTAATGTCAGGGGACAACCTTTACCTGCCAACCTAGCAGTTTGAAAAAATGCAAATGTGATTAAATCAATAGGTAGTCTGACTTGGCCACGGTAGTCCACGCTCTGGTTACATCCCGGATTGATTACTGCAACGCGCTCTACGTGGGGTTGCCCTTGAAGACTGCCCGGAAGCTTCAGATGGTCCAGCGCTCGGCAGCCAGGTTGCTAACGGGAGCGGCACTCAGGGAGCATACCACTCCTCTGCTGAGCCAGCTCCACTGGCTGCCAATCCGCTACCGGGCACAATTCAAGGTGCTGGCTTTAGCCTATAAAGCCCTAAACGGTTCTGGCCCCGCTTACCTCTCCGAACGCATCTCCACCTATGAACCGACCAGAACATTAAGATCGTCTGGGGAGGCCCTGCTCTCGATCCCGCCTGCGTCACAGGCGCGCTTGGCAGGGATGAGAGACAGGGCCTTCTCAGTGGTGGCCCCTCGGCTATGGAATGCCCTACCGGCAGACATCAGACAGGCACCTTCGCTGCTGACGTTTCGGAGAATGGTTAAGACCTGGCTTTATGAACAAGCGTTTGGTTAAGCAGTGCAACCAATCAAAGGAAGACGGTAAATGGAACATAGGAATGGCACAAGGATTATGAGAACGGATCTGATTTCAACTGAGGCGTTATGTTATGTCTGTTTTGTTGATCTGTCTTGTTGATTGTTAACTGTGTGGATTGATGCTGTTGATCCTGTTTGTTGCATTGTTATGTTTTAATTGCACTGACACTGTTTGATAATTGTACCATGTAAACCGCATTGAGTCGCCTGTTAAGGGCTGAAAAATGCGGTATAGAAATAAAGCAAATAAATAAATAAATAAATAATACTGCTTCGGCAGAAAGGTAATAAGGAAATCCATTCAGCCATGCCACAAATACGACAGGAGGTGTCTATGGACAACAGACTCCTTAGCTTGGAAATGGAGCAAGAGCACCTCCCCATGGCCAGAGTTGAGCACCACATCCAGAAAGCTGGAGGTGAAAGGGGAAGCATTTACCTTTGTTCTGTGTATTTGTGTGTCATCGTTATTCCACTGTATCAAGGATATGTTTGCCTATCTGTGTATGTTGTAATCTGCTCTGAATCCCATCAGGGAGATAGAACAGAATATAAATAAAGTGTTGTTGTTGTTGTTATTAATTTGCTAAAACATACATATTAAAAGGAATGCGCTCCCCATGGAGGCTCCACTGGTGTCAACACGGCTGTTGGTCCAGTGGCAAGTAAAAACAGGGCTGTTTACTTTATTTATTATTATTTATTTCAGAGTTTTATATACCGACCTTCTCACCTCTTTTGAGGGACTCAGACCGGTTTCCAACCATAAAAACACATACAATCGGTAAAAACATCATAGGCGCAGGTTCGCAGCTTGGGTGTGACCCTGAACTCATCACTGAGCCTGGAATCCCAGGTTACGGCGGTGGCCAGGGGAACTTTCGCACAATTAAAACTTGTGCTCCAGCTGCACCCGTACCTTGGGAAGTCAGACTTGGCCACGGTGGTCCACGCTCTTGTTACATCCAGGGTAGACTACTGCAATGACCGCTACATGGGGCTGACCTTGAAGACTGCTCGGAAGCTTCAAATAGTCCAGCGCGCGGCAGCCATGTTACTAACGGGAGCGGGACGCAGGGAGCACACAACGCCCTTGTTGTCCCAGCTCCACTGGCTGCCGATCTGCTACCGGGCCCAATTTAAGGTGCTGGTTATCCTACAAAGCCCTAAACGGTTCCGGCCCAAAATACCTTTCGGACCGCATCTCGGCCTATGAGCCCACGAGGACCTTAAGATCGTCTGGGGAGGCCCTTCTCTCGATCCCGCCTGCCTCACAGGCACGCCTGGCGGGGACGAGAGAAAGGGCCTTCTCGGTGGTGGCCCCCCGGCTGTGGAACACCCTCCCTGTTGAAATCAGACAGGCGCCCTCCCTTTTGGCTTTCCGTAAGAGCCTAAAGACCTGGCTATTTGGAAAGGCATTTAATTGAGTGCTTTACAAATGGGTAATGACAAGTGGAACGGAATACGGTCTATGAGATTGGCTATGATTCTATGTGTGACGATGCGGATTAGTTTAGTGTAAATTAGCTTAATGTGTATAATGAATTGTTGATATTGCGATGCCCTATTGTATACTGTTTTTTATATGTTGTACACCGCCGCGAGTCGCCCTAGGGCTGAGAGCGGCGGTTAACAAATGCAATAAATAAATAAATAAATAAATAATAGTTCATATTACAATAACACATTAAAACAATAAATATATCCAAAACTACAGTGGTCAGTCGTCATACTAAAAAACAATTATACATCATCATCCAGCAAGCATGTCTTAGGGTGTTGTCTCACTCATCGAATCCCTGTCTCCATAACCACACTTCACCTGTTTCCTAAAAGTCAGGATAGAAGGGGCGGTTCTGATCTCCGGTGGGAGAGACTTCCAGAGTCGCGGGGCCACCACCGAGAAGGCCCTGTCCCTCGTCCCCACCAGGCGCGCTTGCGAGGCCGGTGGGACCGAGAGCAGGGCCTCTCCAGACGACCTTAATAATCTTGATGGTTCATAGGGGACCGGAGTCGTTTAGGGCTTTATAGGTTAACACCAGCACTTTGAATTGTGCTCGGAAAGTAATTGGCAGCCAGTGGAGCTGGTGTAACAGCGGAGTGGTGTGCTCCCTGTACCCAGCACCCGTTAGTAGTCTGGCTGCCGAGCATTGGACTAGCTGCAGCTTCCGGGCAGTCTTCAGAGGCAACCCCACGTAGAGAGCGTTGCAGTAATCTAAACGGGATGTAACCAAAGCGTGGACCACCGTGGCCAAGTCAGACTTCCCAAGGTACGGGCGCAGCTGGCGCACAAGTTTTAATTGTGCAAAAGCTCCCCTGACCACCGCCGAGACCTGGGGCTCCAGGCTCAGCAATGAATCCAGGAGAACTCCCAGACTGCGAACCTGCGCCTTCAGGGGGAGTGTGACCCCATCCAGCACAGGCTGTAACCCTATACCCTGTTTGGCCTTACGACTGACCAGGAGTATCTCTGTCTTGTCTGGATTTAGTTTACTAGCATTGGAGACCTGATTGTTCTTACTCAAACTGGTTGTAAACTGTTTCAACAAGCTTTTAATATGTGCTGAGGGTCAAATGGTTTAATATGCTTTTAAACTTTGTGTTGTTTTATACTAGGCATGGACTGTGGTGCAGCTAGCTGGGAGTCAGCTCCCTTAAGATCACTACTGACCAAAAGGTCATGAATTCGAAGCCAGCCTGAGTCGGAGTGAGCTTCTGACCAATTTGTGTAGCTTGCTGTCGACCTTTGCAGCCCATCTGCCAAGTAGGAAATTTAGGTACCGCTTATGCAGGGAGGCTAATTTACGATGCCATAAAAATCTCCAGCAAGCATGAAAAGAATGAGGAAGTACTTCAGTAGTGTCACAAATGGATGGTGAAGCGACAGCTCCCCTGGTGGACAGAATACCCTCATGAAAAAGCTGGAATGTTAAATAGCCTCTGTGTGTCTATCTATATATGTTGTATGTCTATGGCATTGATATACATTGTAATCCGCCCTGAGTCCCCTGCAGGGTGAAAAGGGCGGAATATAAATAATGTAAATAAATAAAATAAATAAAAACTTCAGCCCTCCAGGTCTACTGAACTTCAACTCCCACAATTTCTAACAGCCTACTGACTGGAGTTGGAGTCCAAAAGACCTGGAGGGCCCAAGTTTGCCCATGCCTGTTTTGAACTGTTCAAACCAATTTTCATTGTACATTGCCCAGCAATATTGCAATAGTTGTGTGTGTGGGGGGGGGGGGGGGGGATATAATATTTTAATGGTCTGACTTGGCCATGGTGGTACACGCTCTGGTCACATCCCGCCTTGACTACTGCAACGCTCTCTACGTGGGGCTGCCCTTGAAGACGGCCCGGAAGCTTCAGCTAGTTCAGCGCGCGGCAGCCATGTTACTAACAGGAGCGGGACGCAGGGCGCATACAACGCCCTTGTTGTCCCAGCTCCACTGGCTGCCGATCTGCTACCGGGCCCAATTTAAGGTGCTGGTGTTATCCTACAAAGCCCTAAACGGTTCCGGCCCAAAATACCTTTCGGACCGCATCTTGGCCTATGAGCCCACGAGGACCTTGAGATCGTCTGGGGAGGCCCTTCTCTCGATCCCGCCTGCTTCACAGGCACGTCTGGCGGGGACGAGAGAAAGGGCCTTCTCGGTGGTGGCCCCCCGGCTGTGGAACGACCTCCCTGCTGACATCAGACAGGCGCCCTCCCTTCTGTCCTTCCGTAAGAGCCTGAAGACCTGGCTATTTGAGAAGGCATTCAACTGAGCGCTACGGCAACTGGTAATGACAACTGGAACGGAATACGGATTACGATATTGGTTATGATTCTATGATGTGACGGAGCGGATTATTTAGTGTAACTAGATTATAGTGTATTATTGTTGTATTGATTCCCTGTTTTGCCCTTTTTGTAAACTGTTTTTATATGTTGTGCACCGCCGCGAGTCGCCCTAGGGCTGAGAGCGGCGGTCAATAAATGCAGTAAATAAATAAATAAATAAATAAATAAATAAATAAAACCAAAGTGGGGAATGAAGGCGGAAAGAGCTGTTACCTTGGCCAGTTTGATAGCTTCGTTGAGCTTGTCCAGGGCGCTCTGGAAGTAGATGACCTGCAAAAGGCAATCATGTCCAGATCAAGAGAAGTCAGAGTCCCTCCTTTTCCCTCTCAGAATCCTAGAGTTGGAAGGGACTTCCTGGGCCATCCAGTCCAACCCCATTCTGCCAAGAAGCAGGAATATTGCGTTCAAAGGACCCCTGACAGATGGTCCTCCAGCCCGTTTAAAAGCTTCAAAAGAAGGAGCCTCCACCACACTCCAGGGCAGAGAGTTCCTCTGCTGAACAGTTCTCACAGTCAGGAAGTTCTTCCTTATGTTCAGATGGAATCTCCTTGTAGTTTGAAGCCATGGCTCCATTGCGTCCTAGTCTCCAGGGAAGCAGAAAACAAGCTTGCTCCCTCCTCCCTATGACTTCCTCTCACATATTTATACATGGCTATCATGTCTCTGCCTTCTCTTCTTCAGGCTAAACATGCCCAGCTCCTTAAGCCGCTCCTCATAGGGCTTGTTCTCCAGACCCTTGATCATTTTAGTCGCCCTCCTCTGGACACATTCCAGCTTGTCAATATCTCTCTTGAATTGTGGTGCCCCGAACTGGACACAATATTCCAGGTGTGATCTAACCAAAGAGGAATAGAGCACGGGGAGCATTACTTCCTTAGATCTAGACATTATGGTCCTATTGATGCAGGCCAACATCCCATTGGCTTTTTTGCCGCCACATCCCATTGTTGGCTCATGTTTCAACTCACCCTCTCGCCATACTTCTGCTGCTCCTCGGCCTGCTTCCCCATGTGCAACTGCAAGGAAAAAGGAAAAAGAATGAGAATGGCTGGCCAAGATGGCAGCCAGAAAGTGCTCAGGGGAGCACAGGCAGCAGTATCTCATGGCTTTGAGCTCTATAATTGCAAGAGTTGAAGTCCAAAACACCTGGAGGGTCCAAGTTTGCCCGTGCTCCTGCTAAACGGTCACCTCACATTTCATAAGGGTCTCATAGGGAAAGGAAGGACCTCTTATACTTTTGTGATGCTCACATGGGCCACAGCCGCAAAATAGTAGATCTTCATTTGGACCAACTTCTTCCAGTCCTTCTGGATCTTCCCCAGCAAAGAGGCCGTCTCAGAGTTCTCCAAAGCCCGGCAGGCCTCTTTGTAGTAATCTACCACCTTGCGGGAGAAGAGGAATGACAGAAGATTAGGAATATATAATGTGAAACGTCAAGAAAAATGCTTCTAGAACGTGGCCATACAACCCGAAAAAACCTACAACAACCCAAACACGGTAGCCTTACACACAGCAGCCTTCATACTGGAGCTTTCTAACATGAGGCTTCTCTCACACAGAGGTTTAGCTCACACTCCTCAGAACAACACTAGCTCTAGCCTACTGACTCCTAACAGGCTTCGAGCTATTCGCCTTCCTCACCAACTTTGGCCCTCTGACTCCAACAGACTTCGGCCTACTCACTCTCCCCAGGACGACACTAGCTTTGGTGCACTGACTCTAACAGGCTTCAGCCTACTCGCTCTCAACAGGACGACACTAGCTTTGGCGTACTGACTCTAACAGGCTTCGGCCTACTCACTCTCCTCAGGAAGACACTAGCTTTGCCGTACTGACTCTAACAGGCTTCGGCCTACTCACTCTCCTCAGGAAGACACTAGCTTTGGCGTACTGACTCTAACAGGCTTCGGCCTACTCACTCTCCTCAGGAAGACACTAGCTTTGCCGTACTGACTCTAACAGGCTTCGGCCTACTCACTCTCCTCAGGAAGACACTAGCTTTGGCGTACTGACTCTAACAGGCTTCGGCCTACTCACTCTCCTCAGGAAGACACTAGCTTTGCCGTACTGACTCTAACAGGCTTCGGCCTACTCACTCTCCTCAGGAAGACACTAGCTTTGGCGTACTGACTCTAACAGGCTTCGGCCTACTCACTCTCCTCAGGAAGACACTAGCTTTGGCGTACTGACTCTAACAGGCTTCGGCCTACTCACTCTCCTCAGGAAGACACTAGCTTTGGCGCACTGACTCTAACAGGCTTCGGCCTACTCACTCTCCCCAGGACAACACTAGCTTTGGCGCACTGACTCTAACAGGCTTCAGCCTACTCACTCTCCTCAGGACGACACTAGCTTTGGTGCACTGACTCTAACAGGCTTCGGCCTACTCACTCTCCTCAGGAAGACACTAGCTTTGGCGCACTGACTCTAACAGGCTTCGACCTACTCGCTCTCAACAGGACGACACTAGCTTTGGCATACTGACTCTAACAGGCTTCGGCCTACTCACTCTCCTCAGGAAGACACTAGCTTTGGCGTACTGACTCTAACAGGCTTCGGCCTACTCACTCTCCTCAGGAAGACACTAGTTTTGGTGCACTGACTCTAACAGGCTTCGGCCTACTCACTCTCCTCAGGACGACACTAGCTTTGGTGCACTGACTCTAACAGGCTTCGGCCTACTCACTCTCCTCAGGAAGACACTAGCTTTGGCCCACTGACTCTAACAGGCTTCGACCTATTCACCTTCCTCAGGACAACACTAACTTTGGCCCACTGACTCTAAAAGGCTTTGGCCTACTCACTCTCCTCAGGACAATGCTAGCTTTGGCCCACTGACTCTAACAGGCTTCAGCCTACTCACTCTTTCAGTGCTTGACTCACACTTTTGTAATCCAAAATACCCAGTTAATTTTTAATATTTCTGACAGACTTTGCCCTAGGATTAAGCTAGCCTAGACTTGGGGGGTAAGACCTGTTTCTCATATACCAGTCTTGCCCCAGTTGTTGTACTCATGTTGTTCACCTGAGCGCTAATCCTGGCCACCAGGAAGCTCTTCCGGTTGTCCAGCATTGACTTCTCAAGGAGGCACTCCTGGGCTTGGCCCTATGGGGAAGAAGGCGGGGGAAGAAGAGGAGGAGAAGATAGGTAACATTAATGTGACTTTTCTACAAGGGGACGCATTGGAAAAGGCTTTGGGGATGATCGCGTGACTATTTACAGAAATGCCGTCCCTTCCATTCTTACCAGCATGAGGTTGATGTTGAGGTTAAGGATCTGGTGGCTCATGTCGACGCTGTAGGAATGAGGGAAATGGTCCCGAAGGTACGTGAATGCTCCGGCCGCGCACTGGAAATGGGTGCAGGAGACCTTCATGCCCTGTGGGACAAGAGATGATTGTGAGGGAAGCGAGAACGAGGCCTCAAAGGGGTCTTCTGCCATGACATTTCTGGAGTCTACCAAGAGCCTGAAAGTATTCCTCCACCACCACCTGACCCACTCCAATTGCCCACCTGGAACTCTCTTTACCTGGCACAGGGGAAGGTATCAAAGCCAAAAGTCTTACCTCCTCTGAGACCCTTTTGTCCATGGCTCCCAGCATGGAATGCAAGGCACCTTTGGGAAGAGAAAAACAGGCAAGGATGAAAGACCGGGACTGTGGTGCAGCTGGCTGGAAATCAGCTGCATTAAGATTACTACTGACCAAAAGGTTATTTTTGATTACGAAAGTGTGAGTCAAGCACTGAAAGAGTGAGTAGGCCAAAGCCTGTTAGTTAATGAGCCAAAGCTAGTGTTGCCCTGAAGAGTGTGTAGGGTAAATAATAATAATAATAATAATAATAATAATAATAATAATAATAATGTATTGTCGAAGGCTTTCATGGCTGGAATCACTGGGTTGTTGTAGGTTTTTTCGGGCTATATGGCCATGGTCTAGAATTACAACAGCACAACAACAGAGAGGAAACAAACAAGGACATCTAATCACCTCTCAACAAAACTTTGCTCTAGGCACTGTCAGGCCATTATATGCTAATCAAGGTGGTCAGTTGAAACATTCACACCTAGCTCCAGCAGGCAAGAGTCTTTTGTCCCACCCTGGTTTTTCCACAGATATATAAACCCTTTTTCCTAGTTCCAACAGACCTCACTACCTATGAAGATGCTTGCCATGAATGCAGGTGAAACGTCAGGAGAGAATGCCTCTAGACCATGGCCATATAGCCCGAAAAAACCTACAACAACCTAATAATAATAATAATAATAATAATAATAATAATAATAATCTTTATTTATACCCCACCACTATTTTCCCAAAGGGGACTCAGGGCAGCTAACATGAGGCCAAGCCCAAAGGTACAATACAACAAAATAAAATACAGAATGCAGACAAAAAAATTACATCAAAATAAAATATGTAAAATAAAATAAAACAACACTACAAATAAATAAATAAATAAAATTAACAAATTAACACAATATAAAATCGAGCAGAATGGGCAGGACAAGGTAAAATGATAAAACCCTGGTTGAGGTCGGAAAGAAAATATGTAATTGAGGGGAACCCAAAAGAAATGAACCTTAGTGTGAGAGAAGCCTCGTGTGAGAAAGCTCCAGTGTGAAGGCTGCATGTATGTAAAGCTACTATGTATTTGTTTATTTGTGTTATGGAAATCTTGTTATTGTAAATAGTGCAACTGTATTATTTTACTATGAAGGAAAGCCTCCTAAGGAAGAGATAACATTGGTCTGTTTTGGTTCTTTTTCTCACTTTGGGCTCCTCGTGCTGGAGCCCAAAGTTACTCTGCTGTATATTTATGAGGAGGGTCTTTTGTTAATAAGCCCACTCGCCCAACAGAAGAATCATTCCAAGAGGCAACAGAGTCTTATTGGAGCAAGCTGGGAAGAGGGGCTTCTTTTGAGTTGAACCCAAGCCAACCTCATTCTGCAAGGAAACATCTCTTGCGGCTGTTGCTCATGCACACTCCTCCTTCTGATGCTTCCCTGTTATTTAAAATAACAGGGATGTTATTTTAAAGCAGTGTTTCTCAACCTGGGGGTCGGGACCCCTTGGGGGGGTCGCGAGGGGGTGTCAGAGACAATTAGAAAACTTCTGGAAGACTGCACACTTCTGTTGGTCATGGGGGTTCCGTGTGGGAAGTTTGGCCCAATTCTATCACTGGTGGAGTTCAGAATGCTCTGTGATTATAGGTGAACTATAAATCCCAGCCACTACAACTTCCAAATGTCAAGGTCTATCCTCCCCAAACCACGCCAATATCCACATTTAGGCATATTGAGTATTCATGCCAAGTTTGATCCAGATACATCAGTGCTCTCTGGATGTAGGTGAACTACAACTCCAAAACCCAAGGTCAATGCCCACCAAACCCTTCTAGTATTTTCTGTTGGTCATGGGAGCTCTGTGTCCCAAGTTTGGTTCAATTCCATCATTGGTGGAGTTCAGAAAGCTCTTTGATATTATAGGTGAACTATAAATCCCAGCAACTACAACTCCCAAATGACAAAATCAATCCTCCCCTCAACCCCACCAGTATCCAAATTTGGGCATATCGGGTATTAGTGCCAAATGAATGAAAATACATCCTGCATATCGGATATTTACAAGATAATTCATAACAGGAGCAAAATTATAGTTGTGAAGTAGCAATGAAAATAATGTTATGGTTGGGGGTCACCACAACATAAGGAACCACAACATAAGGAACCAATGTTATGGTTGGGGGTCACCACAACATAAGGAACCAATGTTATGGTTGGGGGTCACCACAACATAAGGAACCACAACATAAGGAACCAATGTTATGGTTGGGGGTCACCACAACATAAGGAACCACAACATAAGGAACCAATGTTATGGTTGGGGGTCACCACAACATAAGGAAATGTATTAAGGGGTCACGGCATTAGGAAGGTTTCAAAGGGATGCACCAATGGTTGGTTTCGAGATCTGGATGACTCCACTGCATTGCTGCAGCACTAAAATCATCTTGTAAGCCAGCACTCTAAAGAGTTCCTCACCCAGCGACTGGACCCAAAAAGGCAAAAGTCTTGGAAAGCACAAGGCCAGCCATGCGGCTGCTCTTCCACTGCACTATCGCTGCCTATCAAGGCGTGAACCAAGAAGCCTTTGAGAAGGATTTATTCCACGGTCCATTCTTGGACGGATCAGCACAAGTCACAAGATTAGCACAAACACAAGCGAAGGAGCCAGATAGACTCTTTTGCTGCTCGCATTTGCCTGAACGGGTTGGCTGACTAGACAACAACAACAATCACACAAACAAATCTTGCCTTCCCCACAAAGATACAGGTAAAAACAAACACACACAAAAAGTTATGGTTAAAATGTCCTCTACATAATTAAAAACTACTAGCCGTCCCCTGCCACATGTTGCTGTGGCCCAGTCTGTTGATCTGGAAAATAAAGTAATGAGAAAGTTTTGGTTTCTAATATATGTAATATCTTGATGCTTGTGGGTATTTGTTTCTTTGTCAGTGTTGATGTGGAGACGCTCTGGTTTGCCTACTCTGGAACATGCAACATATAATTGTCCTTCTTTAGGGGTTAGAATATTATTGAGAACACAGAAATGCTGGATCACTCTCACAACCACCATGTCAGACTACATAAAGAAGCCACTGAAATCCACAAGCATGTGGATAATTTCAACAGAAAGGAGGAAACTATGAAAATTAACAAAATCTGGCTACCAGTATTTTAAAAAACTTTAAAATTAGGAAAGTAAATAAAGAACAACACTCTGAAAACAGAGGAAATCCAGACATGAAACAATCAGGGCCAGCTAACACCTCCTAACAAAGAATTCCCCAAGCAGGAAAGAGTCAGGCCTTGAAGCTGCAGGGCTTTTCAATGCTCAAGGTGTATTGTCGAAGGCTTTCATGGCCGGAATAACTGGGTTGTTGTAGGTTTTTTCAGGCTATATGGCCATGTTCTAGAGGCATTCTCTCCTGACGTTTCGCCTGCATCTATGGCAAGCATCTTCAGAGGTAGTGACCTCACTATCTCTGAGGATGCTTGCCATAGATGCAGGCGATACGTCAGGAGACAATGCCTCTAGAACATGGCCATATAGCCTGAAAAAACCTAAAACAACCCACTAATCAATGTGATTAATTGCAACATTCACACTTGCCTCCAACAGACAAGAGTTCTTTCTCCCACCCTGGACCTTCCACAGATATATCAACCTCCAATATACCTCACAACCTCTGAGGATGCTTGCCATAGATGTGGGGAAAACGTCAGGAGAGGATGCTTCTGAAACATGGCCAGCCAGCCTGGAACACCGTCAGCACCCCCAGCCAGTAGGCTGTTAGGAATTGTGGGAATTGGAAGTCCAAAACACCTGGAGGGCCCAAGTTTGCCTATGCCTGGTATAGAGAAACACACTCTGGGTCACCACAGATGCTTCCTACTGGGTTGAGCTACTGCTGCCTACAAGCAATTTGGGTTGCATCTTCTTAAAGCCACCAGAACCAAAGATGAAGCCAACCATCAAATCCAGAAATCCAAAAGAAAAGGGGCTCCTACCTAGATTGTAGAGGATGCAGGCCTGTTCATACTTGATGTCTTCGTGAGTAACCGCTTTTCCAGAGAAGATCTCAGTCCTGTAAACAGAGAGGGGTGTTACAGAGGACGGAGAGAACTTTGTCTCTATTTAGTGGATGGGTAGGCTCTGCATTCAGGAACCACTCAGGTTTAAGATACGCCTTGCTTGAGATGCCCCCTTCCCAGGTAAGCTAGTGGGAACACAACAGGGCCTCCTCTGTAGCTGCCCCAGATTTTAGAACTCCTTCCATAGCAAGGCTGAAATGACTCCCACCGTGCTGTCCTGTGCAATGTCTAGAACTGATGGCTTTTAACAAAGGGCTGTACAGGTTTACTTTTAACATCTTGTAAAAATAGTTAATAGTTTAATCAGGTTTAATTGCATATTTTTAATTGCAATCTTTTAACTGTGCAAGCTGTCCGGAGTCCCAGTCTTTGGAGGGGGAAAGTGGAATATAAATGAAGTTATGAGTGTAAACTTTGAATATGCTTTGATGGATTTTAATTGGTTTTTTTAGTGCTGTTTGTGTTCAATTCTATTTTAATGGTTGCATGTTTGTCTTTTTAAATAGCATACTAATGCTTTTATGTCAAGCAATTTTGAGTGCCCTTTGTGGAGATAAAGCAGGACATAAATAATAATAACTAGCCATCCCCTGCCACGCGTTGCTGTGGCCCAGTCTGTGTATATGTGTTTCGTGTGTGTGTATATGTGTGTTTGCGTATATATGTATGTGGCTTTGCACATTCATTGTAATATATTTTTTTGTTTTTTTGGCTTTTTAAGTCTCTTCTCTTCTGAGTTTTTCAGTGTTTTTATGAGAGATGGTCACTCATTGGAAAGTTTGCCCCAATTCTTTCATTGGTGGGGTTCAGAATGCTCTTCGACTGTAGGTGAACTGTGAATCCCAGTGACTACAACTCCCAAATGTCAAGGTCTATTTCCCCCAAACTCCATCTGTGTTCATATTTGGGCATATTGAGTGCTTGTGCCAAGTTTGGTCCAGATCCATCATTGTTTGAGTCCACAGTGCTCTCTGGATGTAGGTGAACTACAACTCCCAAACTCAAGGTCAATGCCCACCAAACCCTTCCAGTATTTTCTGTTGGTCATAGGAGTTCTGTGTGCCAGGTTTGGTTCAATTCCATCGTTGATGGAGTTCAGAATGCTCTTTGATTGTAGGTGAACTATAAATCCCAGCAACTACAACTTCCAAATGACAAAATCATATTTTGAGTGATGGTCACTCCTTGTGTTGTGAGACGTTTTGTTGCCAAATTTGGTGTGATTTCGTTCATTGGTTCTTTTGTTTTTAAGGTACTCATTATGCACAGAGCATTTTTATACATATAGATAATAATAATAATAATAATAATAGTATGATTTTGTCAAAGACTTTCATGGCCAGTATCACTGGGTTGTTGTAGGTTTTTTTGGGCTATATGGCCAGGTTCTAGAAGCATTCTCTCCTGACATTTCACCTGCATCTATGGGAAGCATCCTCAGAGGTTGGAAACTAGGAAAATTCCACAGATATATAAATACATTTTTCCTAATTTCAACAGACCTAACAACCTCTGAGGATGCCTGCCATACATGCGGGAGAAACGTCAGGAGAGAATGCTTCTAGAACATGGCCATGGAGCCTGAAAAACCTACAACAACCCAGCAACATGATTAATACTAATTTTTTCTAGCAAACCCTTTTTCCAAGCAGAGCTGGCCCACTTTTCCAAGTTTTTGGCTACCAATTGACATTTTGCTTCTTATTTATTTATTTAGCAATTTTGTATACCGGTCTTCTCCCCTCTATCGGGGGACTCGGGCGGTTTCCAATAATAAAATCAAAAAACAATCATTAAATACATCATATAACATATTCAATTAAAACGTTATAACAGCAAAATGCAATCACATAATAACAATGGTCAGTCGTCATAGTGAATTCGTTGTCCATCATTCATCGTCATCTATCCGATCACAGAAATATTGATTCACTCGTCGAAAGCCAAACCCCATAGCCAGGTTTTCACCCGTTTTCTGAACAACAGAATGGAGGGGGCAGTTCTGATCTCCAGTGGGAGAGAGTTCCAGAGTCGAGGGGCCACCACTGAGAAGGCCCTGTCCCTCGTCCCCACCAGACGCGCCCGAGAGGCCGGTCTGGACTTTTCATTATTAAGTCATGTCCCCTGCGATTCCCCAGTGTGCTACTCTTCTAACCTACTATGTAGCACCTCTGTGCAAAAGATGGGCCACTGTTGTGTGTTTGTGGCACCAGCAAAGTATTCTCCCTTCCTGGTGAAGGGACTGAGCTGCTTCAATCTTGCTTCCATAACCTTTGGGATCACAAAAAGGCCCCTTCTGCCAACCCAGCCATCTTACCAGGTGATGGGGACGGCTGCCTCATGCTCGGCCCCCATGGGGATGCGGCTCTGCAGGTAGTGTAGCTGCCCAAAGTACTTGCGCAGGATGCTGCAGCCCTCAAAGTCCCTGGGCACGTTGACAGCATTCTGGAAGGGGAAAGAAAGTGACAGGAAGACATTCCCATGAGGAGACTTAAGCAAAGAGGAAAAAGACATGCACACACTCCTGCATGACATCAAGACCACTGATGTCACTAGCAATTATCAAGAGGAACCGCAATGAACAGAAGGGTGAGAACAGCATTTGTTTGGGAAGTAGTACAGTGTGCTCCATATATATTTTTTAAAACTTCATTACAATCAATAGTTACAACTTTAAAAGCCGTAAGTCACTTGGGACTGAAGGCCTGTAATGAAGATGCTGACGATAATATTGCAAGCCCACTCTAAGTGCCATCTCCATGAGGAACTGGGAAGGCCCTCACCTGCCTCAGCTGCTCCAGCTTCTTCAGCTCTTCATTGTAGTTCTCTGGATTCTCACCATAGTTCTTCAGGACAAACTGACAGGAAGAAAAAGAGAGCATGTGATAAGCCTGTCGCTGCAAAATCTGGATGTCAGTAAAGTCAAGTCTATCTTGGGATAGAAGACTGCCAAAGAGATTGTTCTTCCCCCATCAGAGAAAGGAGGCTCAATAGTAATAATAATATAACAACAACAACAACAATTCCAAGTGTAGACTCTGCAAGGAAGCAGACGAAATGATGAATCACATCCTCAGCTGCTGCAAGAAGATTGCACAGACAGACTACAAGCAGAGGCATAACACCGTTGCTCAAATGATCCATTGGAACTTGTGCCAAAAAGACCACCTGCCTGCGACAAAGAACTGGTGGGATCACAAGCCCGAAAAAGTTACAGAAAATGAACATAGCAAACTACTCTGGGACTTCCGAATTCAGACTGACAGAGTTTTGGAGCACAAGACTTCTGGCCTCACGATCATGTTAAAAATCAAGTATGGATCGTCGATGCTGCAATCCCAGGCGACAGCAGAATTAAATGAAATAACTGAAAAAGCTGACACGATACGAGGATTTAAAGATCAAACTGCAAAGACTCTGGCACAAGCCAGTGGAGGGGGTCCCAGTGGTGATCGGCACACTTGGTGCAGTGCCTAAAGACCTTGGCCTGCACTTAAAACACAATCGACACTGACAAATACTATCTGTCAGATGCAAAAGGCCACCCTACTTGGATATGCACGCATTATTCGCTGATACATCACACGGTCCTAGACACTTGGGAAGTGTCCAACGTGTGATCCAATACAATAGCCAGCAGAGTGTCTGATGGACTCATCTTGTGTTGTTTCTAATAATGATGATGATGATGATGTTTTCTTCTCTTATGTGGCTTACAGAATCAGTATCTAATGTTCCATTCTGACAAAAAAAGACCAAAAATGAGAGTGCAATAAAAGGATCCCAACTGACACTAAGTTGGCTACCAGGTCCACAGTACCCACTTCCACAAAGCTGTGCTACAAAACCAACAGGCAGTTGTTGTCCTTCTTTTCTGCTTCCAAAGGGAACCATGAAGCCCAGAAGGAAAGCTACTTCTGCTCAAACCAAGCAGATCCAATTAGAAGGGGTCATCTCACCTACTTCATTCCATGAATGGCAGAGATCAGCAGAATAGGAAATTTAATCTGCCCACTTGTAGGCTAAGGTTTTATCCTCAAAACAACCTGGCCTACATCACACAACAATATTGCAAGGTAGGCAAGGTTGAGAGATAGCAACTGGGAAGGGATGAAGGCCTCTCTGTGACCCAAAATCAAATTGAAACCCAGATATTTCTTTATTCTGGTCATTGCTCCACTTGAGTGTGGAATGGTCAGTGAATAGATTGGAAGGCGTGTGTATTGTATATATATTTTTGGAATGCATGTACCCAACAGGAATGCATGTATGTTAGGCATGGACAAATTTGGGCCCTCCAGGTGTTTTGGATGTTGTGGGAGTTGGAGTGCAAAACACCTGGAAGGCCCAAATGTGCCTGGTGCATATGCATCAATTAATTAGGCTGCAGCATAGGAAAGATATCCACTTCCCTGAGATAGCAAACCTATCTTGAGGCGATGATGCCATTTTCTCTCCCCTGATCAGATTCTTTGGGATTAAGAAAAGCGTATTGTGCCTCCTATCCAAGTCTTGAGTGCTGAGGTGGCAAATGGCCAGGAAGCCAGCTTAAAGGACAAGGTACCGCTTTGGCGGGAAGGTAACAAAGGCGTCCATGCAGCCATGCCGGCAACATGACCAGGAGGTGTCTATGGACAGCAGGCTCCTTGGCTTGGAAATGGAACTAGAGCATTTCCCCATAGCCAGAGTTGAGCACCGCCTTCAGAAGCCGGAGATGAAAGGGGAAGCCTTTACCTTTGTTCTGGGTATTTGTATGGCATTTTTATTCCACTGTATTAAAGACATTGAATGTTTGCCTATCTGTGTATGTTGTAATCCGCTCTGAGTCCCCTCGGGGAGATAGAGAAGAATATAAATAAAGTGTTTTTGTTGTTGTTATCTATATCTATATAAATAAAAATGTAATGCTCGTTTGTGGGATTAACAGAACTCAAAATCCACTGGACAAATAGACACCAAATTTGGACACAATACACCTATCAGGCCAACAAGTGACCACCATTCATAAAACACTAAAAAACACAGCAAAAGAGACTTTAAAAGCCAAAAAATAAAAAATACATTACAATGCACGCACAAAACCACACATACACACACATGTATATATGCAAATATACATATATACACATATACACAAATATATACACAAATGAAATACATATACATAGACTGGGCCACAACAACGCGTGGAAGGGGGTGGCTAGTCTATATAAATAAAAATGCAATGTTTGTTTGTGGGATTAACATAACTCAAAAACCACAGGACAAATTGACACGAAATTTGGATACTACACCCCTAACAGACCAACAAGTGACCATAACTCATAAACCCCTCCCAAAAAGCAGTGGAAAGGACTTAAAAGTCCAAAAAAACTAAATGATGATACAGCACATGCACGAAAACGACAGCTCCCAGCATTCCCTAGACCAGGCCCTTTAGGGAAGGAGGATGCTCCAAATGCACTGCTTCCAAGCTGCAAGCTTGCTTCTCCTTGGATTTCTTTGAGAGCACCCCAATCCCTGCATATTTCCCGTTTCCTATTCCTGGACTGCAACTCCCAGCAGTCCCCCAGATAGATAAGATGTATAGATTAGATAGAGATAGTACGTAGATAGATCAATCAATCAGGAGGGCCGCTGGGAGTTGCAGTCTAAGAATAAGTAGAGAAGGAAGGAAGGAGAGAAGGGGGGAAAAGGAAAGAAAGAAGGAAAGAGGGGAGGGAGGAAGGAAGGAAGGAAGAAAGGAGAGAAGAAAAAGGAAAGGGAAGGAAGAGAGAAAGGAAGGAAGGAAGAAGGGGAAAAGGGGAGTGGAAGGAAGGAAGGAAGGAAGGAAGGAAGGAAGGAAGGAAGGATAGAAGGAAGGAAGGAAGGAAAGAAGAGGGAGGAGGGAAGGAGGAGGAGGAGTGAGGGAGGGAGGAAGGAAGGAAGGAAGGAAGGAAGGAAGAAGGAAGGAAGAAGGAAGGGAAGGAAGGAAGGAAGGAGAGAAAGAAAAAGGAAGGGGAAGGAAGGAAAGAGGTAGAGAAGAGAGGGAGGGAGGAGAGAAGGAAAGAAAAAAGGAAAGGAAGGAAGGAAAGAGGGAGGGAAGGAAGGAAGGAAGGAAGGAGAGAAAGAAAAAGGAAGGGGAAGGAAGGAAAGAGGTAGAGAAGGAAGGGAGGGAGGTAGAGAAGGAAGGGAGGAGAGAAGGAAAGAAAAAATGAAAGGAAGGAAGGAAAGAAGGAGGGAGGGAAGGCAGGAGAGAAAGAGGGAGGGAAGGTTGGCCACAGCAATGTGTGGCGGGTACACCTAGTTACTAATAATAATTTGAGGCATGAAACCAAGTTTGTGTACACTGGACCACCAGAAATCCAAGACGTTACTATCTCAACCACCCGTAGGATTATTTTTCATTTTTGGAAAAAGGAAATACTCCACCTGTACAATGGAGTACTTAACGGCATGTAAAAAATTCAAGAAATGCCAGATTTAGGGCACGATCAAAGCCTTCAAACCTCATACCCTCTGAGTCTGATTTTGTTGTTGTTGTTGTTACATGTTTCCCAAGCCTTTTACCCCCACTTCTGCTGCCTCGTGATTGTCTTCCTGGCATGCTCTCATCTTCTATAAAAGCCAGATAAAAACCAGCAAATCCACCCTACTTCCTTATTGACTTCCTCCACGCTGCTGCCTGTCAGTCATCAGACTGTGACTCAGCTCCTCTGCTGAACAGACGTGACAAAACCCAGAGTGGTTTGGCCAGTTCTGCCCACCTGAGCCTTCCGGCCTTTTAGTGCTGGAATCATTTTTAGCACTGGATTGATTATCAGTGCTACTGACTTATAAGTAATGTGACCCATTAGAGCACTATTGTTCCTGAAGAAAGCAGTCGGACTCCAGTTTTGAGAGTCTGACTTTTGCGGATTTGATTAAGGTTCAAAGAAAATATAGATTTTTATTTTCTGGTTGTTCTGCATCTGCATTTCTGTTGAAATTGTCCACATGCTTGTGGATTTCAATGGCTTCTCTGTGTAGTCTGACATGGGCACCTCAACTGCGGCCAGAGAAGTCAGCCATAGCAGAGCAGCTGATGAACCAACCTGGAAACAGCTTATTATTCGAGAACACTGAAATGCTGGACCACTCCAACAACCACCATGTCAGACTACACAGAGAAGCCATTGAAATCCACAAGCATGTGGACAATTTCAACAGAAAGGAGGAAACCATGAAAATGAACAAAATCTGGCTACCAGTATGAAAAAAACTCTAAAATTAGAACAGCAAACAACAGAGAGGAAACAAACAAGGACAGCTAATCACCTCTCAACAAAAGATCCAGGCACTGCCAGGCAATCAAATGCTAATCAAGGTGGTCAGTTGAAACATTCACACCTAGCTCCAGCAGACAAGAGTCCTTTGTCCCACCCTGGTCATTCCACAGATATATAAACCCATTTTCCTAGTTCCAACAGACCTCACTACCTCTGAGGATGCTTGCCATAGATGCAGGCGAAACATCAGGAGAAATGCCTCTAGAACATGGCCATATAGCTCGAAAAAACCTACAACAACCCAGTGATTCCGGCTATGAAAGCCTTTGACAATACAACAACAACAACAAAACCAGAGCTGACAGCTGGCACAACAAAGCATTGCATGGGCAGTTCCTTGAGAAGATTGAAGGAAAAGTTGACAAGGAGAAGACCTGGTGATGGCTCACGAATGGAACCCTGAAGAAGGAGACAGAAGAAGGCCTGATTCTTGCAGCCCAGGAACAAGCCATCAGAACCAAGGCCATTAAGGCCAGGATCGAGAAATCAGTGGATGACCCAAAATGCAGACTGTGCAAGGAAGCTGATGAAACCATGGATCATATCCTCAG